ATTATCCCAGTTGCATGATACGGTTGACTGAGCCTGCCCTCACCCCGGTGCGCAGCGGTTACTGATGTGATTTGGTTTTGGCTCGAAGGTCTGCTTCCCTCTCTCTTTTGTTATCCTCCTTTCCCCTCTGCACTCATTCAACGCAGTAAAGCGTCCCAACTCAGTGAAGCCGCTTCCCTCTCCTCGGTTCTGCGTGATATTTGTTGACCCTCCGTGTTCTTGTCATAACAACTTGTTATGCTCGCATTTCTCCCAATTAAAAACCAAGTGCCTGTGCATGTGAATGCATGTCTCCTCCGAGATGCACAGAATTTGCGGAACTGTGATAACTCTACAAAAAGCTCGTCATTGGAGCCCTTTCTCTATCTAATCCTGATCGTTTGTTCATCCTGTGGGAGGAGGGGGGGGGGAGCAAAAATAGACAGCCTGTATCACAGCTATAGTTGAGACCGAAATGGTGCAAACGCTGTCTTCTCAGGAGAGGAGACTGGGGAGGAGGTGAAACTGCAGAGAACATATGGTGGAGACAGTAGATGCTGTATTTGTAAACCTGTAATTCGTCCGCTGATGAATAGCAATGAGATCTGAGCAATATTGAGGAAAATTACTGAGGAAATCTGTTTGCAGGATGGTGTTTCATAACAGGTCTTTAAAAACTTTTATTATTCTAACATTATAAAAGTGTCTGGAGGGGAGGCAATGGCTCCAGGAATTGAAGGCAAAAACAAAATAACCGTTTCCCTGACAGACATTCACTTCAACAAGCTTAATTTTCTTTCATCTCAAGCACATTATTTCCATGCTAATCACGTTCTTTTTTCCATTTCTCATCAAGGTTTATAAGAGGGGAAAATCGTGAAATATAATACTAATAAAAAGAACATGCTGAACACATTTCACCGCGTATACAGTGTGTTTTCTACATGCCAGCTTCAGGTTCCTCTTTGCTGCCCTCAAACCAGGGACGGGCCGCACAGAAGGCGAGCCATTTAGTCAGGGCAAGGGAACACACTCACTCACCCCTTCTCCTCCCCTCTGTATGTCTCCCCCTCCCTGTTCCAAAGACCCAAAGCCCTTGTGGTCCCTCGTCCGGAGGAAGATCACTTTAATTCTGCTTCACGGATCTTTTTCAAAAAGACCCAAGACCCGGAGACGTCAGAACCGTTGACCGCTGGGTGAACCCGCGCCGACCAGCCGGGACCCGAGAGGTTGCAAACACAGCCTACGCATCACACGCTCTCACCCCCCTTCCTCCCCATTTTAGCAGAAGCATTTGATGTCGAGCAGAGTGTGTTCTTTTTTACTAGGTGTAAGTGTTTCTTTGTGTTTGTGACCCACACAAATAATAATGGGCCGTCAATTACTCGAGCGCAGCTAATCGACCGTTTTTTAAAAGGTCATTTTTCACAAAGACAAACAGAACTCTGTGAGATGATTTTTTTTTTCCATAGTTGGTTGTTTTCGAAGGTCTGGATCCAAAGCTCAATGTTGCAAGACGCATCCTGTGGGAACTGAGAGCTGCTCTTCCTGCGGCGTGGACCACCCCAGCTGATGGTTGGCTTATGTGGTCCCGGAGATGGATTCCACAAACGGTTCGTTTCAGGGATCAGGAGGAGTCTGCAACCAAAGCCAATTTACGCAGAGGGGATTTGAACACAAATAAAATCTATCATTGCTGAAAACACAACAGCTTTTCTTTCAAATATAGGTGCATAATTTTTGTTTTAGCGCTCGTATTGACCAGTCCAATCAGTTCCGCGGCAGCCGGCAGTCATTATAAACAGGTCGACTAATCAATACACCAGGAAAATAAATAGAATAAAGAAAATGCAACAAAGGCCTCGAGAGACCATCTCACAGCAGAAGGAGGGAAGCGTGACGGTTTGTGACAGAAAATGTCAATCTTTCGGGGGCACTCACTCAGCAATTGATAAATGCTCTCTGATAAAAAAAAAAAAAGCAACACGCAAACAAACCAAAAATAAATCACAAATATGTCAGTGTGTGCAACATTCGGTGGCATTCACGGGGAGTGAAACCTGTCTGGTTTACTTAAATCCCTAAAAGGGCAGCCAGCTCATACATTTGATGACTGACGGTGGGATTTGCGGTGATAATGTCTTCAGGAGCCAGAGGATTGGGATTAAACATACTCCAATTTTAACAGCAAAGTTGCCATGGCGATGACCTTCAGTTTCGGCTGAGATGACGCGCAGAGGGGGCAAGGTGTGTGTGTGTGTGGGGGGGGGGGGGGGGGGGGTAAGGGTTTAAAAAACGAAGGGTGTTTTCCATTTTTTCACCTCCAACAAATTATAAACCGTGGACTGGGGTTCAGCAACGGGGAAAATGTATTGTGCGCAAACAGTCCCCCTTTAATTAGTCCTGACGCGTACCATTGTGAAAGCTCTATTTGAGCTATGAGCCTCCAAAGAAAAAATTTAGAAACCCCCCACCCCCCTCTCCCCCTTCCCCTAATTATTAATAGAACCTTGACCTGTCCAGACTCAGTCGGCCCTTCAGTTTTATGAAAACCTTCACCTTGCTAATTGATGTGAAAGAAGCCTTGGAGGGGAGGGGGGGTCTGAGGACGTGAGCACTCACAACGGGCTGAGCGGTCCAGGAGACTCCCGGTTTGGGGTCAGTGCCTGTCCCCCCAAAAGGGCCGTCCAGTCCACTCACACTCTCACACCTGCTTTTCAAAAGGAGGCGACAGCAGCAGGAGGAGGAGGAGAGGGAACCTAAAGAGAGAGTTGGCCAAAGCAAGAAGCAGAGGGAGACTTTTCGCATTTTTAAATAAAGTGCAAATCTTAGCCGAAAGCGATAAAGACAGTGCAAATATTATCATTATTGACTGTGGCCAATCTGAGCGGTACCCTTGAGGCGCGGCTGGTCAGCATGAGTTGCAACAGCCTTCTGGATTAAACAGTCTGCCGAGGTCAAGAGTGTGGCTAGACTGCCTCGCGGTGGCCGCTGGGTGAACTACAACGGCAGGCCTGCTGGGAAAAGGGCGGTAAGGCAACACAAAGAGAGTGTGAAGTAACACAATTACGCATGTCTCTCCATTATCTGAGATTCTTGTACACTCCCATGTTGCCAATAACCCGCTCTGTTAAAATCCGTGCTCATGCCGTTTAGCTTTATGTACACATAATATTGCATGTGTTATTTGATATTGGATCGATAAATCTATGCACGCAGGCCGTTTATGCATCTTCGTACCCAGTTCACTGAAATGTCTGTAGCTTCCCTGTAAGCAGCGATCATCATCAGTGTGACAAATTACATTCCCGGTAATCTGTTAACCTGGTTCAACCTGAGAGCAGCTGTTGTTTCCCAGCTGTTGGATATGTGTTCGCACATTGAAACGTGTCACTGTGGGTGTGGGCAGAGGGGACCTAACCATACTTCCGCACAATGAAAAAACACACACACATCAACTGTGTTGTTCCTTATTTTTCTTGCAATCTTCAGTTTTACACTGAGAGTTTATCATAGCTAGCTTCATCTTTTTATATCTGTTTTATGGATGGATGGTTTTTGGCTCCTTCTCTGACAAATTAGGCGCGTACTACATGCAACGTGTACTCTGTAAGAAACTAAAAGTAGGAGAGAATAGTCACATAGGACAATTTTTATCAGAATCCACCCAATGGTTTTTTTGGGGGGGTTTAAATTATAGGTCAATGTGAGTATAATTTTAATTCAGTTTTTAAAGAGGTACAGGCCACCAATATATGACACCTAAAACATTGAAGAAGAAATGTAGGCTACAAAGTAAGAGTGCATTATCATTTTAACATACACGCCCACCTGTCTGGATTCACTTTGCACAGATCAGCTTCTCCGGTGGTTCTTTCACACTCGTCATCAGGTATCGATGTTGCTCGCTGCTCCCGCCTCTCGCGCAGTCAGAGCCGCAGAAAGCTGCTCACCGCCCCGTTAGCATGTCACCATTTAGCATGTTAGCCGCCCAGCATTCACCTGTTGATTTTTGATTTTGTTCAAATATAATCAGGTGAGACGGAATGTGTTTTTAAGTATTTAAGTAAGAAATACTTATTTGGATGGAATTCTGAATTCTGAACATTTTGTATCAGGGGTTTCTGTAGATCCAGTATGAGGGGTTTATTTACTCAAAACATGCTACTCCCATCCATAGTTGTCAAATATAACAACAAAGAATGTTGTTTTGATATGTAATGAGAAATGTGTAAGTGAAATAGTCCTCAAAAGATTTCTAGAACTTATGACTGTTTATTCTTACTTTAATGAATGCTTGTACTAGAATATATTATGATGTTATAGGATATAGGTTCCTAAAAAATGACACAATAAACAGAACGTCACCAAATAGATTAGTATTTTTTTTATTAAATGTTCTATACAATATATACAGTAGCATCTGACCGTCTTCTAATGAGACGCGCTTAAACTCGGTTCATAAAGTAATTCTTTAAGTGACTTCCAACGCAGTGGGTTGACCTCCTGTGTGTGACACACCGCCTCGTGCACGTTAAATGTGTATTTGCCGATTGTGAGACGTGTTTTCTCACTTTCTTCCAAAATATCCTTGACAACTTGTCAGATATGACAGGTAGGAGGCTGATGATGTAACGACGTGCATCCGATTGAACTCCTGGTGCTGTATTTAACAGGAACCTATGCTGCAAAAAGAACCGTGCTGACATACTAGGACGTGTTAAGGTGAAAAATAAAACTGATGTAGTGCAGCATTAACTTGATTTCACACATTGTGTCCCGAGTGTCGTACCAGAGTGGGGAAACTGATAGACAGCATCTCTTACGCTCTAAATATGGGAAGCAAAACATGAATTATCACTGCATGTTATTACAGCATTTAGCTTCTCGGGTTATTAGCTAAGTGAAATCCATTAAAAAATGACAAACACCCCTTGAGTACTTGAGTACTGCTTAGTCAGTCCAACAACGTGTGTGTAATCCAGTAACACCGAGTAGCACAAGCTCTGCCATGTGCAGTAACCTTGACGTAAAGGCTTAGGTACATTTGTCAAATCAAAGTGGAATTGTAATGCAGCTCCGATTGTGTAGAATCAGTGCGTGAAACAGAATTGTCATTCGTGTTGCAAACGGATGTTGGCATTTGAATTTGAGCTCTTCGTCTACTTGAAAACACAATGGAACAACAGAGGCAGAAACGGCAGCAGGTAGTTGAGTCTTGGCAGCCGGGAGGCAAAGCTGTTCACATTGCAGTCGTCTCCGTAGCAGCAGTGAACTCTGACCCCCGGCGCTCTGTAGCCTTGGCTGTCGGCCTGACTGCAGAAAGACTTGTAGGAGCACGACTTCATGACTCCACCTGACAAATGAACAGCAGAAATAGAAGTCGCTGGTGTAGCAGCTGCCTTGACCCACCAATATACATTTGAGGAAACTTGCCGCTGATTTTCTCACTTTGTCTATGAGCGTTAAGTACACACCACCGGCGCGCCTTACACCAGAATGTAATCTGGGAAAACATTTACAACGTGTCGTTTTTTGATGATTATTAAAATAAAGACGACTCACAGTTCAGTTCATTTGTGAAAAGGAATTGTCTAGTGACGTGAACACATGGCGTCCTAATTAAGGACAAAGATCTACTAGTGGCAGCAAAGCTCTTCATTTCCTTAAAAGCCTTGGACCCCCTGCTGGCTGGGACGTGTCTCCAGACCAGCAGCCTGTTCTCCATCAAACCCAGAGGCACATATCCTCGCACACAGATACAAATAACGCTGTGTGTGTCTTTACTACATTACACTAGTGAAAATAAATGCTGCTACACTGTTGGACTCACTGTCATGGCCGACCACCACGGCACACGCATCAGAGTAGCTGGGACAAGATTTGGAGCCCTGCCGGTTGCAGTTGTCGTTGTTGGAGCCCATACAGGTATAACACCGCAGAGCCTCACCTGGAGGACACACAAAACAGATATAGCTAAAGTGCATGTTTATTAAATGAGTACAATCATGGCATGTTGAGGGGAAAAGGTTTCCTGATCTCTAATGCATAGTTTTATCCCGGTGTGCTCGGATATGTAGCATCAAAGGTGTTCCTATACCTGAAGATTTTACTGATCAGGCTGACCGGGTGTATTGCCACAGTTTAACTGTTTATGATGCTAACAGGATTTCCCATCAAATATATATATTTTTTAAAGCCCTATGTCGAATGTTTTGACTTTTTTTGACTGTCATTTGTGACCTTTAAAAAAATATTTTTAGACCTTGGAACAAGTTTTTGTCATGGCTTTGTCATGTCGTTGACTCCTGCGCGGTAAAGCAGGATCTTCATTGCGGCACACTCCACATAACGCGTTCACATGTGTCGTAGATTCCAGTCCATTGTTCGTTAAGATAATGCAGGGTCAACAAGGGACTCATCTCAGGGTATCTTTACTCCTCGTACACGTAGGGATGTTAAACTCAAATCTAAGTGATGGTGATCCATGAAGTTCCATAAAGATCATAGACATAAAGAGTTAAGTGAAAAGAGAGCTCTTATTATTCTCTCCCCTCAAACAAGTGAAATCTAGCAAAGGATTGAACAAGTGCTCTCAGATTTAAAAACACATCTTTCTAAACTTCAGCTAATGCTTCAGAGGCCCTCTTCAGCACATAAAACCCATACATGTCTTTCTAGATCTCTCCAGAGGAGGCATCGCTTAACTAGCTGACCTTTCATAAGCAGTTGAACACTTCTTTTGGGAAACCCACATGCCTCTCTTATACTCTGAAACGCCCCTTCAGAAGAAGCCTGTGATGCTGCTTCCTAAGAGGATCAAACCAAGCGGGGCTTATAGGAATCATCGGGACAAACATTCTCTGTAGCAGCACATCTCTTGCATTGGAAATCAAAAGACCTCCCTCAACACCAGACTTGTCTTATGTCATCCGGCTCTTTGGTGCAGGACAGAAAAGTTAACCGGACACTGAAAGTCAGTGAGAGGAAACTGTCAACACCAACAGCAGAATCAACTTAATCAGAAACAGCAATAAGTAATAAATGACAAAAAAATATCTGTAACGATAAAAGCAAAACTTTAAGAGTAAAATAACAAAACCAAATCAAACCATGGTCCTATAGGAGTCTGAGCACTTGGTGTCTTTTCTCTGCTTCCTGTTTGCGCCTCCGTACGTTGACATGGCGTATAAATGCCCCCTTGCTGTTCGCACTTGACCCCAATCTATCCGCAGAGCACAGCCGCGCCACACTCAAGCCATGAGTATTAGCCTCCAGGCCTATTAAGAGATTAGTTGCGGGGGGCTTGCATGCTAGTCACAGAGAAGGATGACACATCGAAGGCAAAACTCAGGGAAATTAACAGAAAAACAGCAAAGCGAAGCAAAGCAGACATAATGTAAAGTGTGAATAAAAGCCGTAACTATTAATCAGATTAAATTATTTTCTTCTTTGTTTATTTCTGAAAAATATAGATCATTTTGTCTGGATGTTTTATAACCAGCATTACCTGTCCTGATGTCGGAGATGAAAGCTACTCTGGACATGTGTTCACTCAACAGGTGCCTGCCTATGAGATGACAGAAATACAGGAAAACGACTACAACTGCACCCTCTTGAGATGAGAACAGAAGCAATGAAAGGTGGAAGGTATGGGGGACAGGGGTGGGGGTGAGGTGAAGATAGAAAACAATAAATAAATAAAGAACTATAGTCCTTACTGTTGGTCGCTAGCAGGAACAAAGAGATCAGGAGCAGCGGCGAGCAGCGGACAGCTCTCATGGTGCGGCTGGTCTTCGGTCGTCCTGGTCACTCACTGAAAAGCAGGTTGTTTGCTCCAAAAGCCCCCCGAGCTTAATCTCAAATGAGACCACCCGATACCCCTCCAGCACTGACCGTGGATTAGCAGCCCCTCCACCGAGGCCCACAGCTTTGTGTTGATGAATAGTGGCTTCTTCTGCCTGGATGGCCGAAGGGATTCTTCCTGTACTTCTCATTGCTCGAGGCCGCGCCTCCACAGACCGGCTCCTCCCTCTCCTGTCGTCGTGTCCACATGTACGGTTTGATCTCTGAACTTCAACTGGCATTGGGTCCCTACAGGGTGTGTATTTAGTTTCTACTGTGCCAGGTCCATTTTTCACAGGCTGCTTGTTGTCCTTTGACATACGAGTGTGCGACGATCGTCCACCTTTAGTCGACGCCTCTGTAGACGGCTTAATGTGAAATGTTCCATCTACTCCAGTTGGACATTTGGGAAGATTAATTATTTAGTTACGGGGAGCCATGTCCTGTGCCGCTGAGATTTTGTAGCTGTGGCAATATATTTGCAAACGATCAGCATATAACAGCTATTTCATTAATGCTAATTGTTGGTTTATTTCCACACTAAATACCAATGTGTACTCCAAACCCCTCATTGGGAACCACCGGACTAAAGTAGAGGAAAAGAACCCCACAAAACAAACATTGACATTACCAAAGCATATCACAATCTAAAAGAATAACAATATTCACAACTTTATCCGGATGCGTCATGCAAGACCAACTAAAGTGATGCAGTGTGCTGTATTGCCGTCTTTTATTGCACTTTGTAAGCAGATGCTGTACAGCAGCTGTGCAGAGGGGTTATTCCTCAGTGTGACACAACAACCACAGCAGAACTAGGAAATATCCATCACACATTTATGACTGAATAAGGTCACAATTAGTTTGCTTTATATTAAAATAAAATCCCCCAAAATATTCGCACAATTTAATTGAGAAAGCTATGACAAATATCTACAAGATAAGGGAAACGTGGCGAGGATGACAAATAACCAAAGTCTTTTTTATATTAGGAATTTTCCTACAGTATATACAAACGTATAACATTACAAGTTATTCTTTCTCTTCTTCATGCAGTAAACTATTGTGATAGTTTGTGTTCTCTTAGTGGTGTATGCGCATTTTTATAAAGTCATCTAAATCTCTGTTACTCTTTTTCAAAGTATTATCTTTTCTGTATCAAGAGACAACAACAGGAACGGGTAAACAGTCTTCTTCCTCAGTGGCTGTCATGGCAACATCAATATAGATAATTTCACCCACAAACAATGCTCTCGCTTTCCTATTATCACGCACGCACATACACACTCATTAGTGATATGATACATTTTCTTAAACTTTGAATCAGACCTTTGACACAGTTCGATACACGGTGACATATTTAAAATGTACAGATTGATCAGAGTGAATTCATTCCTGTGTATCGTGTATAAACAAAGTCAGTTGGCCATTTAACCAAGAGACCATTTTGGCCTGAAATGTCCATCAGTCCGCGGAAGACTTCCAAAATATTTGTCTTCCCACAACCATTCCTCCCCTCTGTGAGATTTGGCCTGGCTGTGGTGTGGTCGCTAACTCCTCCCCATCTTGGCGATCAGCTCGTCACAGATCTTTGTCAACTCCTCGATCTCTTTGTTCTATCAAACAATCGCAAAAAAAGTCATTTATTTATTTGATCGCATGGGAATCTTTTGATGATTTCACATCCTTTTAAAACACAGGACTGAGGAATCCAAACTGACCTTTTGCTCCAATGTGCGCTCCAGCGATTCCACCTTCATCTGCTCCTTCCTCAGGCTGGCCTGGTGGCAGGCCTGCTCCTGCTTGGACTTGACCCGTACATGAGCGATGTCTGCATTGGCCCTGAAAACACACAGATAAAACACAGAAATTCTCAACTTGGCATTGAATTGTTGTGCGGTTGGGGATTTTCCATGGGAGGAAAATATGGGGGAATGTAGACGCCATAATGAGACTCACTTGTCTAGTTTCTCCTCTGCGTGAATCTTCAGGGCTTGGTAGCGCTGTTCCTCCTTGCGGACCCTGGACAGATACTCCTGAGCACATCTCTTCAGGACCTCTTCGTTCTGAAGGGTGTGAGAAATATTGTAATTATTACTAACTATTATTACTATTACCCATAGGGATCGACAACCTAATTTCCAGGTGACTTATAAGGCCGGTTATAATGACTAATTAGTTGTGAATAATGTATGTCAGTCACCTTGCGGAAACCCTCCAGTACATCTTTCATCTTCTCGTAGCGTCGGAAGAGGTCGGCCAGAGACTTCTCCACAGAGTTGAGGTCGGCCAAGGCCTGGTCCTTCTCCATGATGAGTTGCTGGATGGTGTGGTGGGAGAGAGACTTCTCTTTCTGGTCATCCTCTGGTGGACACACACAGACATACTGTAGATCAGATCACCCGTCTACTGCATATGTGCTCAACAGTCTGCTGTAGCCGGCACACTATGGTACAAACCATTTTTGACAGTGTATTGAAATGAATTAGGGCATTGGTGTGATTTAGCAGCCTATTATACTGCACTATACGAGTATTTCTGAAGCATGCAAACAAAAAACACGCAACAATGGGATAATCTAGTAATCACCTGTAAACCATAAAAACAGAACTGACAGCTGGTTCTGGCTTCCAGGCCCTTTAGTATGAACCATACAGTGCAGGTGTGTGTGTGTGTGTAAAGGCTCTCAATATGCACACGCACATGTGTTTGCTGTATTTAATATCAGCAAACGACAGATTACGAGTTCACTTTTGTTAACCCACTAAGGAATATAACGGTCTCAACATACAGGACGAAATGCAACAAAATGGATACACAAACGTCACTGAGAGCAATCTGCTCCCTTGACAAACAGGTGGAGAGATGTGAGCTGACACAAACAAGTGAAGGAGAATTCTGCACTACTCACCTGGCATGCCTGTCAGGGTTATCAAATAGTAAGGGGAGCAAAGATGGGAGCAGAACAGAAAAGAATGGACTGTGTTAAGTCGAGCTGGGAGGGCGAGGCTAGTGAGAGAGCCAATTGTTAGACAGCGACAGATTGTTGCTTTATGTGACATTACTTTTAAGGAGAGAACGGATATAGACAGGAAATCAAATGGTCAAGTGTCAAAGAAGTTTAGGAATAAGGCAGAGAGTGAACCTGCAGCAAGATTTAATGAGTTCAGAGGAGCAGGATTCAGTTCATATCAATCACACATGAAAGAAAGCACATGGCAAAGCCAGCTCGAGTGAGAGGATAAAAAGAGTACTCGATTCTCTGAGAACGATAGAGTAATGCAAACAAATACAGTATACATTTCTCGGTTTGCAAATAAACAAGCAAAGGGTAGTCGAGGTTGGGGAACAAAATAAATGTAATGGAAATAAATATTACGTGTACTGAGTAACATGGGACGAATGCTGGGTCTTTGTTAGGAAATGAGCACCTGCGTTAAACACTGAACTCACCAATCATCTGTGCAATCGTCTTCTCGTATTCAGCAACAATCCTCCTATGGATGAAAAATTGCAGATTACCAATACAACGACAGAGATATATCCATATGACAAACGATTTCATGGTGTGCGTGTCTCTAAAACAATGTAATTTTATCCAACCCGTAGATTGGTCCAAAATAATGTCTGCTTATTAGCAAGGTGTTTGAATGAAAACACAGATTTTAAAGGTTGAATGTGGATCAGGCACTTCTGATTAGTGCGGTCTGTCCAAATATAAGTATTGCGTTTATATGTTAGAATAATATGATATTGAAAAGCGGTGTAATAAGTGCTACAGGATATTTTCTTAAAATTCCGGTAAACAATACATGCAGCCTGCAACTTTAGATAATAGGATTATTGAGTAATTGAAGAGTTTTAAGCACCCCTTAGCTTTATAGCTTTTATCTATTTGCACTGTCCAGTTTCTTAGAGATAGAGGTTCCCTCACACTTTGACCAGAGAGCAGCCGGGCAAAGACAGGTTGCCAGAGTTAAGAGGATTGATTAGCCATGCATCCTTCTTAGCCGCTTACCCCTCCTTATCCTCAACCCAATCAGTCAAATGAAGTAAGCGCTGTCTTATTCACACTAACTGAGCTGTGTCCAGCTGGAGCAGCACACCTGCTCATAGCGAACAATGCATCACATCTATCTCCTTGAACCTATATATTGTTGGACGAATATCGATCATCTGTGGACGTAAATAAGAATGTCGTAAATCACAGAGGTTTAAGACGTTGGTGGTGCATAATCCAAATGACACGGAAATCCCCTAATAGATTTACATAATCAATGTTGCGCTATTCTCCAGCTATAACACTGGTGCTGCTAGTAGGACTCGTTTGGTCTTCTTTTACTGTCTCTCCACTCTGCATCAAGATTAACCGATGTAGTTTAACGGTAATTGGTGGAAAATGACAACAAGAATCTTAGCATCCTGACAAAAGTAACACAGAACAGAAACCCAGGGAGGTGTTATGTGCTTCCCACAGTGTATGGGTGGGACTTCACAGTCCCATAAGTGACGACACACAAGGTGCAACTTCCTACCTCATCTCCACCACCTCCTGTCGGCTGTCTTCATACTTCCTCTGCCACTCCAGCACTTCTTTCTCCTTTGTTACGATCTGAGGAGGGTAACAAAAACGGGTTGTGATGCTCATTTAACGTATAGACAGCGTATCTGACTTGTACAATATACAGAAAGAGTTTTATATGCGTACCTCATCCCGTGCGATTCCCAGCGAGTGGTCCAGTTCTCTGGGCAGGTTGGTGCTCTCCCCCTCAATGTAGCTGGTGGTGGTCCTGGTGTAAAGTGAGTTCTTGGACACTCCACTCTCCACTGGAGAACACGCATCTCTGTGCTGCTGCCAGGAGCCAAGGGTGAGGTGGGAGAGGAAAGGAAACATAACCAGTCACAAACCAGACCAAGCCAAAGGTGGGACAACCTCACCGGCGGAGCCAGGCGCATTCTGGAATCAAATCGCAAGGCAGCATCAAACTACATCAAACTGCAAAACGCTGCAAAAATCAATATGTAAATGAGATTGGCTGGTGATGCTCCTGAAGACTTGGTCGGCTGCCACATGATTGGATGAAACAGTCTTCATTGACACAGTATTAGCCAAGTGATTTGGCTGATGCTGCCCCCAGCCGAGCGGCCTGTAGCTTAAATGTGATTGGGTCTGGGAAAGGGAACAGGAAGGACGGCAGCAGGAGACGGAGGACGAGGCACGGACCAGGCAGCATGGGAAATAAATCTCATCTTAAAGTATATTTCAATATACTGCTCTTACCTGTTGTGGCTTGACTCGTTATGTGCTTTGTTACAGCAATGCCCCAATTATTTTATTATTACAAAGACTTGAGGTGAGCAAGGAAATTCCCCAAATGTATCAATAAAAAACTTTATTTTACAAAAAGTATATATGCGTGTGTTTATTGCAACTATAGCGACATCAACAATCCTCGTTGTGTTTGTTCCCTTATTACCCGGCTCTGAAATGGATCCTTGGCAGAGACGGATTACGGTAGGATGAAGTGGTCGAGGCTCTTAAATTCTAAAAAGAGAGTATTTGGTCTGGCTTGAGCAGTAATCCCATTATTCAAGGTAGAGACCGGTCAAGTTCAGTCAACCAAGGACCCCTTTTGCTAAGTGCTGGTATGACTGACAGTAAGGTATTCAAAGGTCTGTTGAAAAGAGACGATCCTAATAAAAACCCATTAAAAATGGCCAGTACCATAAATTAAAAATAGAGTATAATCAGTTAAAAGGTTTAGGGGGTTTGAGGCTCGTATTGATCACAACCCAAAGTCAAATGCCCCAACGTGACGTGAGAAGGAGGAGCTAAAAACCCGAGCACTGAATAAGACATGTTATGTTGACCAAGACAGTAACTGTAACAACTTTCATGAACTGAAAACCCACTATGAAAGACTTTAAGTTAGAAGACCAGGACAGGATTGTTGCGGCTCCCCTTGGATTCCTGCTTTTTGCTTTTTACTTTAATAACTCTGACCATCATTTCCTAAATTACCATTATGAAGTGCGGTAATGAGTCGTGTGATGGTTATTTTCTAAATGACTCCCATAAAAACAGAGATCTTCTGCACCCCTGCTGGCTATTAACAGATTCGTAATGAATGAAACCGTTAAGTATCACAAACACAAAGGACCAGTTGCCGGCTTTGCCCTGCTGGTGAGTCTCGTACAGAACTCCTTTACCGGATCATCAAGGATTACATGTAAGTAAATGGCAAACAATTTAAAACCACTTACTGTAGAATAGAACTACTTAATATTAGGGAAAAAATGGACAACTGAACAAACACAAGACAATGTCAAACACAAAAATAGTCCATTATAAAACTACTTCAAGAGATACGAGCTATAACTCAGAAAGCACAAATCAGACAACGCTCAGCTATTGCAGGCTAAGAGGTAGTGAGACCTGGAAAAAGATCGCAGGCGCCGACTTCTGGGGGTCTACAGGACAGGGTTTTACAGTGCAGTCTGTAGTCGTATGGACATTTTCAAAGTGAGCTTTAAAGTGGGTTAACAGCATTGGATGAGCCATATTATTTGCTTTTCTATGATTGGAGGTACTATTTGTATTAAAGCGATGTGATTCCTACTCTCTTCAGCAATGTCGGTATGAACACCTTCTTTTACCATCAGGCCTTAACTCTCATAGTTACTTTAAATATGGTGCGCTAAGACAAAATCATTGCAAAATGTGTTTGTGACCAAATACTTAGACTGCACTGTAGATGGATTAAGGCCAAAACAGATCACTGGGTCACTGTGTTACTCTTACTTTGAGTAAGGGTGAACCGTTGATATTCCACCGCCGAGCGCTGGGCTTCTTGAGACGAGACTGTGAAATGTGTGTGACAAGAGCATGAGACATGGAGGGGTAGAAGATCTGGGAGCGCCTGACCTGCTTCAACTCTTACCAGAGGTTTTCCACTGACTGAAAAGGGTTCCCCACTGACCAGGCTCAAATAGACCACTCTTATTCTTCTACTACATGTGCGGTTTCACCACCTACTTCGACCAGCAAAATCTCAGAGTTCTACCTACAACTTCCAGCCAAACTCGACACTGTAACCTACCCGGTGTACCTGTCTGTTAGTGCGGTTAGTCTGGGAAAAGGGCCGAATCACCAAACAAGAATGTGACTGGGATGTCGGGGGGACGACGGCAACGTATCAACAAATACACCATGGAAATTTATAACCTCATAATTCCACAGAGACTAATGTAATCTAGTGTGAGACATTCCCAGTCACATTCACGCTCAGGTAAGCTTCTCATGAGCAGGAACCCCGCATGTTGCCCAACGTGCATGCTGCACAACATGCATAACAAAAAGGCAAGGGACGAAGAAGGCACAGCATTCTGTGGCAGAGGAGAACACCTGGAGGGGCTCGCAGCTAGTCGGGGGGAGGGAGCTTTACACGTTAAGCCGCGTTGAAGATTTCGTATGTGGGGGATCGCTAAAGCAGACCCCAAATCCAGCGGTCAACGCCCCCATGTTAATAAGGCCATGAGCTCACAGTTACACTCAAAATGTTTTTTTTGGAGGGGGGGGGGGGGGGGGGCAGGCGGAGACACACTCATGCTCGCACACTATAGCCACGCCCACGTGCATTTCGCACACACACCCGCATTTTTCCTATCACACACACACACTTGCACACAGCAGGTGCAGGTGTCAGCGCAGTACCTGGGGGCTTACAGTGGAGAGGGAGGGGCACTGAGAGATGTTTTTGGCTACCTGCAGAGCCTCTATCCTCAGGGCAGCAAGCACCAGCTCCTCCTGGGCCGCACACATTGGGGAGGATTGGGGGGGAGATTGATAGATTTCAAAGGATAGAGAAGGAGGTCGGCGGCCCAGGGGTGAGAGAGAGCAAAGGGAAAACATATAGAAAGTTGAGCGCACACACTTGCCGCTGCCACATTTTACACACCGTCGACCTATTTTACACAATAAGCTAATAACTGCAACTGAGGCACAGAGGGTGAAAACTGGGGGAAATGAAAAGGCAGGATGTAATAAGGTGACACAGTGAGAATAACGTGACACACACACGCACACAAACACATGTAAAGGTCACAAATGGGCCACCAGATGTAAGACCTACACGGTTAATCGAGAGGGGTCACGTTTGGTCCGTCAACACACCTGCAGTTTTCCGGCGAATGCGGTGGGGTTGGTCTCAGCCAGGTCAGGCTCCAGGTACTGCAGGAAGTCGTCACACTCAGACAGCCTGTCTAACAGGGGCATGGCCAGGACTGGAGCAGGGGCCTCCACGGGGCCCTGGTAAGGGGACTACAGGGGCACCGGGAGGAGTAGGTAGGAGGGCAGGGGTCAGCATGGCAAAGCAAAGCGCTGAGTCGGGAGCTGTGTGACTGAGTTCAAGCTGGCGGGCTAGTTTGGCGGACTGATTATGTGTGATCGAGCCCTTAATGAGAATCACCACGACTAATGGCGCTTATGTTGGAGGGCCGAGTCACGGCCATGCAGCGTGGCAACCCCCCCCCTCGCGACTTAACACTGACATCCTTTTACAACAACAAAGCTCACAAATTATACTCGAGCGATCTTGATAAGACCCAGCAGTGACAACATATGCGAGACCTCAAGCTCAATGAGTCTTTACACAAGCGTCGGGCTCACCTGCTCGTCCCTCTCCGCGCTCTGCGTTCGGCTGAGGGACTCGCCCTCTCTCTTCCTGCCTTTGTCCCCGGCGGAGCCCTGGGGTCCGGACCGGGTGCTCAGCACTGGTGTCTTCATATCCGCTGTTATCTGGGCCTCCATCTCCTCAAAACTCCTGCTCAGTGTGAGAGACATAGAGGAGAAATGGAGAGAGTGAGAGGGGGAGTGGGGGGGGGTCAAGGCGAGGTGAGAAAACGTTGCTGGAGCAGCTGAACTGCAAGCGTTATGCAATCTAGATCATTTTTATTCACCATTAGCAAAGTAGAAAGTATACTGCACTAATAAAGCACAGATACTTGCATTGAAAGAGTCTGTACATGTTCTCAGTAAACATGTAATGTAGAAATACAAAGAAATAAACATTAGAAGTGTGTAGTACCCTGTGCAGGGGGAACTGGGCTCTGATCCATGCGCACACGTATTCTTGGTTAAGCTGTCAGATACGGAGTCCAGCTTCAAGTACAAAGACGGCTTCTTCACGGACAGCGGCTACGAGACACACAAGAGAATGAAACATAGTGTTGTGTGTTGTAATTTTAAATAATGTGTATAAAACAAGCCACCATCAATAAAGTAAGCAGCAAACAGTTGACAAAATAATTAGTATCAGATACTCACAGGCGAAGCAGAGCCAAGCTTCTCCATGTACTCAATCTCATAGTCTTGCACTGATATAGAAAGAGAAAACAAAGTGTTGGAGGCAGAAGAAGAAATGGAGGCACATTTCATTCAGTGTTGAGCTCCGCTCTGATGAGGGCAGAGCCGTCTGTTGATTATTCCATCTCTGACCCAGATGCGTTGAGCAACACAGCCAATGGGAAAAGGAGGCTCTTCTGGAGGTCAGAGGGTAGTAGACAACCGGCTTATTTCACTGCCACAACAAGAATCAATAGCATTGCTGGATACATGAAGAGTAAAAGGGATAGTTGGCGTACATGGCGATTCATGTCCTTTGAGCACCCGCCTGTATGCTTCGATCTCTGACAGCAATTATTTGTATGTCCAAGAGAGAGCTAATCCTCACCTGGAGTCTGGGGAGGAAGACTGTTCTCATTGACGAAGGACGTGAGGTCGGACGGCTGAGGGAAGTCTTGCTGGTCAGAGTTCAAATCTGCTTCCATGTTGTGCAGGGCGGCCCACTTGTGACCGGTGGAGGAGGCCAGCTTCTCCTCGTCCGTGGCGTGGTCGTCCTTTGGCCGCAGAGAGGGAGTTTCATCTGTGGGCGTAGGATCCTGCCACGAAGAGAAGGTGAGAGTTACGAGGTCACGGAGGGAGAAATATAGGCAGACAACAGTGAGAGACTGACGTGCACAGAGAAATGTACGATTATGAAGAATTAGGTACGCACCTGGGACGGGTCGGACAACGGGGATTTCTTTGGCGACCTTTTCACTCTGAAAGTATTACTAGGGAAATGGAAAAACCATCAAATGTAAAGTCATTCAGTCATTCAAACCCAACTTTATTAGATCCCTCATGTCACTGTCAACACCAAGTATTGTGTACTTGCATCATATCTCAAATGTTTGCATAGATGCAAATTCTGTAATGTAACCCTGTACGGGTACGTCTGCTTTCTCAAAATATGACAGCATATTTTGCATTGTGGGACAATAACACTTACTGTATGTAGTCAATGAGTGTGTGTGTGTGTGTGTGTGTGTGTGTGTGTGTGTGTGTGTTTTGCCCAAGAGATGGAAATGTTGAATCTAGTTAGTAACTGCACAGTCAGTGGGGGAAGGAAATGAATGTTATGTAATGAGTGTCTTTTCACAGAAATAGACCAATAGAACAAATCATAGAGAGGCATGTTTTCGGTAATATCATTTTTAAATATAAAAATGTAGGACATAATCTGTTTCTGGAGATGAACTGTTAGTGCCTTTTAGAAAACTTTAGTTTTTAATTCTTCGATTCCAAAAATTATAGATTCTCAAATGTTTTTTTAAAGAAGTGTATTGCAATTTGCAACATAATGCACAATTCACTATTTTTTCACTAACAAACATATCTGATACATCTAAACTGAAAATATCTCAGAATCCCTCACCTAATTCATTAGAAATGAATATAAATGGGACAATAATCTTATTTTATAGGTTTAGCTTTCAACAATTTCCAACGATGAACACAAGAGGGAGCACAAGCACCGTCTTTGTAGACGGGACTTAGTAGCTTTACAGTGAACACTGATTTACAACAAGGTTTGTTACAAGTTAACACTTACGTGAAAAATTATGTAGATAATATACCAATTCTATTGTAAATGTACTATGTCGTTTCCTAGGTGGGATTGTACTTTACATGATACAAGTTTACAAAAGAAAAAATGAAAACTGGTATGTCTTGTTAAAATAAGCAGGATAAAAAAAGTGTACATGGGATCGTTTGGCACAAGGGACTGTGATGTTTCCGTTAAAAGGAAGAGGGAGGACGAGGCAACATGCTGCATTAAAAGGAGCCACGTGGAGTTATGAGGCAAAACGGGACGGGATGGTTGTGTTGGCCCTGTACTTACAACAGACAACATAGAGAAGACATACTCCCGGACTTCCTGTGACGTATGAGAACAAATACACAGACACAGGTGACAGAGAGACAGACAGAGGACACTGGCATAATAGACCGGAGGATCACATACAAACACAGACTGACCTCACAAACACAGACGCACACATTCCTCCCGTGGAATACAATGTTCTGTGTGCGAGTACGGACTCCCCCGTGAATGTGCGGCCCTGTTGCAATAGACGGGGAACTTACGATTTGATTGGAGTTTTCTTTTTCTTGCCAGGTTTGTTCTGATTTTGGTTCTCTAGTTCTCCAATGTTGTCGTTATCATTTTCATTGTCGTAGTCGTTGGATGACAGGTCGAAGGAGGCAGTAGCCTTCGGGGGTGAGTTGGCCATCTTATTGGAGGATTTGAAAGGGTCTTCTGAGTCGTCAAAGTCATTGGTGTCAAAGGCATGTGAGGGCCGAGACTGTTTGGGGGAGTTGGTGATTCCTTTCTTAGAGGTAAATGGGTTGAAGTTGGGATCATCCCACTTGTCGGGTTCCAACTTGTAAGACACTTGGGGCACAGGGATGTCCTCCTCGTTGCCATTGTGGGTTGCTGGAGGATTGTTGTCCAGCTGCTCTGTCGTGCGCTTTGGGGGCCTTCTTCAGCCCCAGCTTTGGTTTCCTCAGAGGCATCTTCCCTCCGGGCTTCTTCGCCTGACTTTCTTGGGTGGGAGAGAGGCCTGGTGCGACGCCTCACTGCCCTCCTCAGAGTAGTCAAACTCCAGCCTCACTGACTGACGCGTGGGGATGATGGGTTGCTCTTCTGGGTTAGTGATTGGCTCTTGAAGAGGAGCTGGGGGACCCGGCTCTACAGAGGAGACGGGGGGACTCTCGGGAGGGGTAGCGATGGGGGCACACACGGGGCCTTTACGGCCAAGAACGGGGGAATTGGCAACTTTACTACCTCCGGTATTGAAAGGATCGATGTCCTCAAAATTATCTGGATCCCATTTGTAGGAGGTATTAGGGGGGATGGGGGATTCGCCGTTGCCCGTCGGACTACTCACGAGAGGGGTGTCCTCCTGGCACAAGGGTAAGGCAGGGACGACCAGGCCCTCCTCTTGGCTAGTGCTGTTGGCCTCCTCCGGCAGGGGAGGAGGAGTCTCCACCCGGCTCTTCCTGGTCCTGCGGAGGGTTCCTCCGGGGCTGGGGGTGGCAGATCCTCCCTCTGCTTCCTCCTGAGGTTGGAGAGGGCTGGCCGTTCGAGGCTTCGCGCGCTTCTTGATCTCCGGGGTGCTGCTGGAGGAGGCTGGCCTCGGACTCTCTGGGTTGGAGTTCTGTCTCGGAAGAGGCTTCTTCCTCACAGACCCAGGGTGGACCTTCTTGGGCCTGCGGAGGGTCCCCGGGGCACTCTCAGTGCCGACGCTGAAGGATTCAGAATGTGGACGGAAGCCTCCCACGGAGGATCCGTCCAACAGGCCGCCGCTGTCTAGTTCTCCTCCCTGGAGGCTGAGTGAGCGGGTCAGAGTGTGACTTGTCGAATCGGCTGGAAACTCAATGTTGTATTGGCCGCTGGCTGCGATGGGCTTGTTCTCATCAAAAACTATGGTAGGGGTACCACATGTGGCATCGGCCGAGGTCAATTCAGAGTCTGCTACTGCAAAAGATGGAGAGACGTAAAGTAAAGTTTTCTAAAAAAAAATAAGGATCAAATTGAACTGAAATAAAATTGAGATGATTTTATATTCACAGCTTGAAGAAAGTTAAAAGCTGCTGCTGGCTTCTGCCACCTAGATAAATGTGCTATGAATGAATATTCAACAGGAGTCACCATGAGAGAGACCAAGCCGATTGGTCAGCCTGTCTTAGACATCCCAAAAGCCCCGGATGCTTGGCTTGCCTCAGCAAACAAAGCCAGCTGGGAGATACTGATCCATTCCACTAGGGGGCGCATAAAGACTTTCTTACATCAGGTCTCTTTTCTTTTTTTTCTGATGATGGTTGAACACAGCGTCACACGCACGTCGGTGCGCGGTTTTCTTACCCTACCTTTGTCATCGGACGTTAGTTGCTGGGTTGGGGGATCTATGGGAGAAACAGCCTTCACTGGGGTTGTGGCTTCAGGGGTCTCAAACGCTCCATCAGAGTCTGAACTCCTATAACAAAAGATGAGCAATACATGAGAGTGACATCACTTGAACTCTCGTGACCGCGTCTGGATAATGGACGCCATGCGACGATGAGCTCAACTCCTCTCCTTCAGACAGCAGTTTTCCTATAGGTGCTTAGGTTGTGAGGGCAGCAGGTGCAGTTTCCAGCATTAAATGTGTGTTTTTTTAAAAAGGCCTTGATGCCAGCGGACGTCTCGTTTTTCATTTCTTGTAGACGGTTATGGCTACAAACAAAAACGCTGAATCTGCAGTGAGGCGACAGATAATGACACACGTGAGACAGAGGGGCACCTTACCTCAACACACACATGCAACACACCACCTCAAGATCTACATCACAGATATGAAATGGATAGGGAGGGACTGAGGGGAACACGGGAGACGAAAATGGAGGAATGAGCCGTTTCCGCAGGACAACAGGCTGTAAATGAAAATGATCATCCGACGCAAACGACATATTGATTGTTTTTTTCGTCTCAGCAACACAGACACACACACAAACACACACACACACACGCGCGCGCACAGTGAAGCCCTCCATACAACCTGAGTACTAAGGTCCACGGGCTCAGGTCCGGTCTCACCTCTGCCTGACGGCACTGATCATGTTGTCATGACGTGAGCCCCAGGAGAGACTCCGAAGGAGCCCCAAAGCCGGATCCGAGCCCGGGCTGTCCCCGTCCCCGGCCCCTCCCAGCAGTGTGTCCCAGCCCCAGCGAGCCCACTGCAGGGGAGACAGAGCCTGCCACGTAGTCACGGGCATGACGGACGGCGGCTGCCCCTCTTCGCACTGAGATGCTGCTGCCGGACACACAGGTAGACGCTGCCTCTTCCCAGGATCACAACTACGACCACCAGATGCAGCCTTACCTCCGCCTCGTCTAGCTTTCTCTGTACTCTAATTTCCTTTTTTCAACCCACAATCTCAGTCCTTTCACGTTGCTCTGTATCATCTGTAGCCATATCAGTCCGTCTCCACTTCTTCCCAGTAGGTATTGATGCCTCCCAGTCTAAAACAAGACTGGCTGCAGAAGCCCAGCGCCTGCAAACTGCATATGATCTCTCTCTCTCTCCCCCCTCCCTCTCTCTCTCTCTCTCTCTCTGTTTCTCACAGCCTCCCTCCCTCTACCCCGCTCAGTCTCCTGCTCCGGAACCATGTAGCTGTATCCACACGGAAGATGATGCCCACCACTCTAACCTGCTCTGATGCAACTTTACAATGCATTCGATGTTGATAGACATTGCTCTTTTTTACAGTGTCCTAAATTAATTAAATGCATTTTAAACACATGTTTGTCATAACAAACCCACACTAAGATAATGCTTGACAAACTCGGGTCCTTTTCAGACACACAGGAAGTGGAGAAACTTCCAAACACTGTGTTGCTATGGTAACAGGAGGCTGCTCCCGCCATATGTTCCACGTTGGAAGTAAAGATGGCGGCTCACACACACGCACATACAAGCGCACACACACGAGCAGGCTGTGCACAACATACCCAGGTCATTTTCACAGACACAGAAATGAAGAAACTTATCTATTATATTATATTATTACTGTATATATATATATATATATATTTTATATTGATATCTGAAATAATAAAACTACATTATTAGTCTTTTACAATAAGCCATATAAAATGGCAATGAAAAATGCAATGGGCAGAGGCATCTGCCATCGTTGTGACCTCTATACATCTTCAACAGTAAGACACATATAAAGAGTAGAAGACAAGTTAAACGAAACCTCTGTGTCCCTACGCAATATTGATCCCGCAAATCTAAAGGGATTCCGCTCAGGTCATTGCAAGAGCAATTTAGCATCCTAAGGGGTTCCTTTGTAACACACACGCAGACATGGATCAAATAAAACTTCTCAATATGACAGAAACGGGGGGCCTGACACACCATCTAGCCGTCAATATGCCCGATGCAATCAAAATACAGAGCTGAGAACTTACTGTTTATGTAGGAGGCTGGTAACAAATGTATTTTGCTGTCATTGGCAATATGTTCACCATCCCTGGGGTCACATAACAGGAGAGATGGAGGTTCCTCTAAGCCAACAATATGGCAAGAGTCCCATATTCTACTTGCACTGCAATTCTCTCCACAGACAAAATTCGTCAGTCTGCACAGCCTCCAACATGGTATAAAACAATATGTAGTGCCTGGTCATTATATTCTCATATATTAAGTTCCCTGCTCAAAATCCTTTTTACAGCTCTGGCAAAGTAAGGTCCAGTGTGTCCCAGCAGGGGGGGACTGGTTTGCCTGGAGATCCATCTGGATCACTAGGATCCAGAATCACAGTCAGGCAGTCTGACGGGACGCTTAAAGGAAGGGACCCACTTACTATGACCAAAAAATGATATGAAGATCTATAACAAATGTATCCTTTTTTTTATTGTGTAACATAAAAGCAGATATAAGCTGCTTCTAGTGGATGGAATTAAAACAGAAGACAGTGAGATAATAAGGAAATTCACTGCTCCTTTCATTGCTCCGTTCATGTCCTTGCAGGGGATATTTTTCATCTGGCTGCATTCACTGTGTTGCTATGGTAACAGAAGGCTCCTCCCACCATATGTTCCACGTTGGAAGCAAAGATGGCCGCACACAAACCAACACAAACACACACAACTGAGGATAAGCAGCAAGGTCCAGGAAAGTGTTGCATGGTGTAGAAAATAAATGTCGGCATGATGCAGATTTATGAGGTGAGCCACTGCTTCATCAGCCTCATTATAAAAACAAAAACTGCATTTTCATTTTGCAGGGGGCTGATAATCTTTATTATATAAAAAAATATTTCTACATAATATATATGTAATTATTCATTGAAATGAGATCTGTCGTTACAAATCAATCCCGGAATGTTTTCTGTGTTAATGCCGTCATACTTTCAGCAGCTCTTATGGGAATAAGCAGCGTGTGCGTGAGCAGTAGAGTATGGGGGAGAAATAAAGACAAAGGGAGCAGCAGTTAATAGCAGCCTCTCACAAGCTGAGATGACTGCCTGGAGACTAGAACTCTGCAGCGTGAGGCAGCGAGATGCTTAGTATCGGGCAGCCAGACGTGCCGCTGCCTCCAGCAAACTCCCACTGGGCCTGTCTGAACAGCTTTCACAGCGCTGGAGGGGAGAGGGGGAACCTAAACTCAACACCACCTGTCTGTCCTACTTGTGCACCTAAAAAGTTTGAAGATTTATGCACTCATCTGCTCTGGAAAATATGTTAGATCTGTTGTCAGAATTTCAGTGATAAAGAGGCCTGTGATTTTCTCTTTACCTGTAATTCCTTTGCCTTCCCTTCCTTCTGCTACGTATCTACAATGCTTCATTCCTTTGCTATCTTATCATTTCTAGCAATGTGGCAGTTTAATGCCCTATGGATATGTCACATGTGTTGCTTTGCGAAATGTCGGTGACAAAGCAATGATTAACTATTAGTCATTGATTATTAATGTAATTTACATGAAGTTAAATTTGGTAAATGTAACAAAACAAAAATATTGCCATTAGCAAGCAAATACCTCAGATGATTGTTAACTACTGTAAATGCCGTTTTTGTTTTTGTTTTTTTAAATAAGGAAGAGGGTAAAATGATATAATAATAATATATGAAGTTATAATGAGTCTCTACTATAACATATACAGTATCTGGTAACTCATATGAGGTAGTAATGAACAGACCAACAGAGGGAGCTCCTGTGCTTTCATCCCGCTGACGAATGAGTGTCCGGATGAAATGTATTACATCATAGGCACTAAACTCCACAGCAACCTATTTTTCATTTTACAACAGCCTGTTTCCTTTCCACACAGATGTGATGTGGTAACCGGGCAGAAACGTATAGAGGCTTTATAATAAGAAAAAGAGCCTGAATTGGCTTTTATTATCTGTAAGTGATTCATGGAGAATCCTTTGTGTCGTCCGCAGTTCATAAAAACATAGTAGATGGACTAGAGAGAAGATTCCCTCTCTGTGTGATAGCTCATCTAATCTGAACCTGTGACTGCGAGCAGATGGCACATTAAACAACAGCAGGTCGGTGAGTCGCAGCACCAGAAAAGGAAGGGGTTAAAATATCTCTCCATTTTGAGGATGAGATCAGATGTCACAAGTTCGTTCAGTCATATACAAAACCACCGTCAATGCAGAAACTAACCAACTGTCCACTCGGATTCCCATGAACTCAGTAAAAGCCTTAATGGCCGTGATGACGTGGGCACAGTGCTTGAATCTAACAATAACAAGCTGCACTTTGCTCCTGATATATGTCTTTTAAATATTCGGTCTGCTGAGGGCTGAATTTTGCAGAGCATTGTGATAAAAACAAATATATATATATATATATATATATATATAATTCATGCTATAAATCATTCATTTCTGCATTTCAGACAGCCCCCCTCCCACACACACTCAAACACACACGCTGTCATGTGTCTGAGATATAAATAAAACACAGCAAAGTGGAGCACGCTTGCTCGCCTCCCTCCCTGCTGAACTCTCTCTTGCTCTCATCCAGTGATATTCCTGAGTGGTGAGTCTTCTTTACCCCCCCACACCGCACGCTCCATTTCCACACAGTCACCAGCTCACGCTCCTCAGTGTGGAAGTCTAGAACAAAACATTACCCCAACACCCTCCCCCCCCTTACTGTATTCATTGCACAGTTCTGGCCCCCCCTCACAGGAATACGCTCACGTTACTTCCACACATACAGTCAAGTGTGCCTGCACGCATGCTCCCGTTCTTCCATCCATGTTTACGTCACAAAAGCAAACAACAACAATGAAGACGTGCTCAGTGGGTGACGCTGGATTTTACATTCTAAGAAGGTATTATGACAGCAAACCGGGAAGGAGCGAGTGAGGGAAAGCAAAAAGGTAAAAGAGCACAGCGTCTCACAGACGTGTTTTTCTGGTCCGGCTTTGTCTTGCAACGGTAAATAACATCAATCAAACGTGACTGCGTTCTGCATAAGAAATCTCCCCTGCATCCGCAATGAAAATATATGCTGCATGCCTTAAAAATACGGGGATTTTCTAGATTTTCAGCCCCCAGGAATGTTTCCAGGCGCCGAGCAGGAAACCAAGTTAAGTCACACTCACATGTGTTCTTGAGAGAGACAGGAGGTCTCTCCTTGCTCCATGGACTCGTTGGCTCCCATCCTCAGCTAGCTCTGCTGCCCCCGCCCCCTGCCTGCACTTGTTCACCAGCCACGCTCCACATCAACCTGCTCCAGCCACCCCTCCTCCAGAGTCTCCCGCCGCCTTCAGTCTGGTCCTAACGGAGGAGGCGGGCGGCCCGAGTCGGAGGAGGAGGTGAGCGGCGGCGGGTCCCACTGTGCTGCAGTGCAGAGGACGAGCGAGTCCCGCTCGCATCGGGAGCAGAAGCGGTGGATGAGTGAGCGCGCTTCACTTCATGCACTGCATCCCCGAGCCTGTGCTGCTCACAGGGTATTCCGCATGGAATGATGCACCACCGGGCGGGATTCAAATTTCCAAGAATAGAAATTGAAAAGAAAGAGAATAATCTAAAACAAATAGGATGAAACAGCGGTCGTGTCGTCTTGCATGAGTATCCGAGGTGCCTCCTCTCTGTTTGGCTGCTGATATCGCTGAGCTGTGCTGCTGCTCTCCCAGCCTCCTCCCCCCTCCACTTTCTCCCCTGACTCGACCCTCCTGCGCCTTTAAAAAAGACAAGCGGCTTTCTCTCGTCTGCTAACGCGACTGTGCAGGGGAGCCGAACAATAGCAGACCCCCCCAATAGAAAACCCAGTGGTGAACAGGGGGCTTTTTTCTTTCGCTCCGTCGGACCTCTTCCTCCTTAGTCCCACATTAATCGTACCTCGCGCCCGTCTCCAGCCACAATTCTCTATATGCACAGTGAAAACATGTTTATGCCTCCTTTCACACAATGGATGCATGCCTTTGGTAAACAATAGACCATGGGAGACTTGAATGTGTGTGTCCTATTCAAGTCTGACCCTGTTATATTCCTTTTCATTCAAGTCACTCCAACGGAAACCGTGCATCGGCACACATTGACAGAATAGGCTTCATGAGACTAAAAAAAGAGAAAAAAATGAATGCAAAGGCTAAAGATATACATTTGAATGATAGAAGTCATTCTTTACTGACGGGTTGAGGACATATGCCACATTTCTAAATGAATACAGGCGCTGTGTTTAACTGCAGGCCGGGTTGGTGATCTAATTATCGGGCACTCTCATCAAACATTCAATTGCCTCAAAGTCTGGAGGAGCATTAACGATATTTTGTCTAGCCGCTCTCCTTTCTTTTAGATGTGTGTGTGTGTGTGTGTGTGTGTGTGTGTGTGTGTGTGTGTGTGTGTGTGTGTGTGACACAGACACAGGGAATGTGTCCAGAGGGATAGAAATAAGCGCAGGGACAGGTTTTGGAAATCTCCCATTGAAACCCAAGGAGCAGTGGGACAGAGAGGCGTTAGAAGTATGAGAAGAATAAATCTCACTCATGGGAAAAAGGCTCGATACAATAACGACTGTAGCCTGAAGCACTTGGAAGCCACACACACTTGCTCTTGTTAGGTTTCGGGTATCGTACCTCAGCCCAAAAGGACTAAATAGACGGACTCTCCAATTCCCCGTACGACACAAATCCCAGTGTTCATGTACAACACCACATTTTGCATGTAAATGAAGTCCATTAACTGATGTTCACAAAGAATATTGATGTGACTCTAGTCTCGGATGGGTCTGTTGATCGATGTTTCACAGCCGAAGGGACAACTAAAAGCGATGCCCCCTCCCATCTCCCAATATAAACCACTGCTAAAGTAAAAATATTGATTGCTATGACCCTCCATACCACCCATACCAGTTCAGAGACGTATCTGGGGCAGAAAATCACTCATGGAGTGGAGTACAAGTTCCTATTCTGTTGAAAGACATTGAAGTCCTCAAAAGAGTCTGGCCCCGCACTGCTGTTTCAACTGCAGAAGAAAATGAAGAAATAAAAAATTGAACAAACTCAAGCACTGGAAGTTATGGCTGTGGCAGTTATCTCTGAAAGATTCATAACGACGGTCAAGAGGAATCAGGGTCACCACAATCCTTCCAGGGGTTCCCGATGGAAATGGCGTATGCTTTTAAGCAGACTGCGAGGCTGCAGAACACAGTGTGGCTTCATGGCTGTTTGTTCATTAGTGTGTTAAGACTATATCTATAATCCTCGTTCAGTTTAAGCATGTTAGTAGAACTAAAAGTGCCCCCTGAAATGTATTTTTTCTTGGTTTCAACAAATTGAAAATGTACAGAGGTAGAAACAGTACATAGCTAATTATGGGTTTAATTTCAGAGAGTAAAAACAAAATGAGTAATAAAATATGCAGTGACATGGAGGGGATTCTGGTTTTAGAAATCAGTGGTAGGACGTTGGTTGCAGATCTGATCCCTCTGATCTTCCTGCTAATCAACCTGTACCTCATATGCCAAGAAAAGGCTGCATTACTCCCATAAACTACAACCCAAGGAATCAATTCCCCGAGGCTGTGTCCACTAAACATCCGCCCGCAGTCTGCATCCCTCTGTATTTACAGTGGATCTTCTTACGACATATTTTTGAGAATCTGTGGTGTTCCTTCTGTTTCTAATAATAATAATAATAATAATAAAGAAAAGAGTGGAGTAATCCAGGTAATTCAATGAAAGACCTGGAAAAGAAAGGCTGCCCGTCCGCTCCAGACATGTTGGTTCTTCAATATAAGAAATGTCTGGCAGCCGCACGGCCGTCGCTTGATACATCCTCCCTTTATTAACAGTAGCAAATATTCAATGCTTCTGTGTTCTTGGCCTTGGCCGTGGCTCTCACACTTAAATACCAAATGAAATGTATCGTTTATATCTGAACACTCGTTGGCACGGTCATGCCTTTTGTGTGTGTTCCGGCGAACAGGATAACCGTGGCATCTAATGAGGATTCTCCATGTGTTGGTACACCTCTCCTCTCTACTGTTACCTAACGGGGATCTCAGATGTCATAAATAATACAACAACACTATTCTATCCTCGCACTCTTTGAAATGTGGTGCGACATGAGAAAGGGACGTATTTAAGCATTTAAGTAAATACAAATTGTACACATAAAATAATACAAATAGATATTGCAGTTCAACACTGGCGTAAAGGCAGATACTTGAGCTGGTGGGTCTCTCTGCTTCCACATACGTGCAGCATTCAGAGGGCAGAGTGCAGACTATATGGACACTGGTCTCCAGCAGAGAAAACACCCTCTGCTGGTCGCAAAGTAACATCACACCGTAAAGTGGCTGAGTCATTACCTCATATTTTACACAACAAAGTCTAGCAAATAATTTGCAAAACCGGGAAAAATTATATATTTTCAGTGTGGAAATAGTTGAAAAATAATTTTGTACAAGAGCAAAATAATGAGTAACTTAAATGTAATAGGTATCAATGTAATGAATGAAATCCTTGTGTTTTGTAGCTTCTTGCCATGAAGAGGGTGACGTCGCAAGCAGCTTAAACAGCAAGACATCAGCTATAATAAGTAAAGTGGTTAGTATAACCCACAATGTGAAAAAGCATGCCGTTTATGTCCTCCTACTTTATCATTTAATGTTTAAATGATCCACATATAAACATCTCACCCTGATGCGTCTGCTATATCCACTAGTAACAAGACACAATCATACAGTTTAAATTCAAGTTTCCATGATGTGATCTGTTTGATATGAGATCATGTGGTAGCATGTCAATGTAAATCTAAAGCTACGTTAGTAACTGCAGTTCTAGGAACCCTGGATGGAATCTAGAACTTCCATTTTATGAAGTGATAAAACTGCACCCTACTCAAACTCGAGAGAGTTTCTCTGGATTTCACGTAGAAAATGGGAATAATGCTTATTGTGACATATCTATACATATTTCTCAATTGCTAATCGTAATATTATTCTGATTATTTTTGGATGTCATACATGTATGTGCTAAATTGCCTTCTTGGCGACAGTTAGACAAGAATATTGACACCACTCTCATTTTTGTATGGTGAAGATGAAGCAGGAGCCAGCAGCTGGTTGGAGCGCTGATGATTTACATCAGATCTACATCTACAAGGTTATTCAGTGCGCCAGATGGCGATTTAATGCTGTAGTTTAAACTGAGCCGGGGTTGAAAGCATAAGACGTGGCTACTTTTCATCAGGCAGGCTAAAAGGACCAGTATCAACACCGGACAAAAACTACTGACGTAGCGAGGAGAGAGGGGGCACACAGGAAAAACTCCCCCAGTGGAATGAGAAATGACAGTGAGGGTCAGGCTGAGTTCATGTGCGTACCTCAAAGGAGCCGGGCAGGGTGCAGCAGCAGGGCAGCGGTCCTCACACTGGGAAGCAGGGTTTAAAGGAGGGGAGGCGGGGGCTGGGAGAGGAGCAGGAGGGATGCAGGGAGATGCAGGTGGGGTTGGCGGAGCTTCAGGAGTGTGCCTCTCCGGGGGAGTCGGAGGAGGCGTGGGAAATTCTGTGGTGTCTTGGAGGTGAGGTGGGACGGCGGGCGAGAGGTGGTGTTCGGGGGCAGGGGGTGGGGGAGAGGCCGGGACTCGGTCGCCTCTCCCTGCCTGCTCAGCGAGGGAGGACCTGCAGGGGAGGAGGAACCAAACATCAACAAGCGGCCCGGACGCTAGAAGCCCAAGAAGAAGAGATGAGGAAAGCGCTCGGAGGACGCGCTTCCGGAAAAACAAACCATAATGGAAAATGTCTCTAAAAGCGGAGAGAAAGACGGAGCACTCGTATGGAATCCGCCTAAAAGTACGCTGTGTCATTTACATAGGAAGAAACAATAACCCCTCTCATTTGTTCCCCTACATGATAATCCATGTTTCCCTTGCTCGCTCTACTTGCTTGAGGAGGTCTGGCTCTGTCATCAATGGCCACCTGGTGGAGTGGATTTGGCCCCGATCCCTGCCCGTCTTATCAGGAGCGGTAGGCTCTCTAATCTGACGCCCATGCAGCTGTTCCCCACTTGGGGCAGGCCTCCTGTTTAGCTCTAAAAATACCCCAGTAGCCTCTTCTGCAGAGGAGAGCTTCACCGTACCTCCATCAGCCGGAGCACACATACGGAACAGAACTCGAGCACCAGGTCGACCGTCTGCTGAGCAGCACTTTCCAAACGCCCTTCCCAGCTCATGTCAGACTGATACTGAGCTTGGTTATTCTCCATCTCCCTCCCTCCAGTAAACTTAATAACATTTAATGACGGCGTTTGCTTTTCTTCAGGGTGTAGCCAGTCATAGTTTACGTCCAACGCATATCAGGTTGCCATTAGAAGGACAGGACTTTCTAATTGATACCTGATGTCTGCGGCAGGAGGAAATGTCCAGCAAATGCAAGTATGAACTTTGATTGGGTCTCATTCCTCTTGTTACGAATCCTCAGTCCGTGACTACCAGCAGACCAAAGTTATACATATGTCACCATCTGTAGCCAACTTGGCACATGAAGCCTGGAAATAGAAACAACCAAAGCACAACCTAGTCGGGGCAAACTGTAATAAGTCTTCAAAAGATGGCCTCCAAAAATGTAAAAGTATTACCCCGGAGTATTTGCTGGTTTAATGGCTTGTATGTGGAGATATGCCAGCTAACCCACTCAGGTTAATAACTTGAGCTTTTCAACATCTCATCCCAGATATGAAAGATTTCTAACCATTACAAAGGGAATGCAACAAGTTAGACACAGTACAGATGCCATTCTTTAGCAACACATTTCTTCTCGCCAGTAGTTTTACTGTTGGCATTAACACCTGGAGGCTGTCCAATAGTTTTGTGCAGGGCGTTGCTCAAGCTAACCTCATAACCGGTTCTTGATTTCAGAATTTACAAAGCCAGTCCAGTTGTTTAATGTCGTGGTTTTCTACCACAGTCGAACAAAACTGATTCCCCAACCTACACGCACAGACATTTAACGTGATCTACGGGAAAAGGCTGGACAGGAAAGACCGCAAGTCAGGGGAGGGTGTCTAATGATAAACAGAAAGCTGTAAACAAAACCAGCTGAAAGTCCTCAGAAAAGTGTTTTTCTAATGCGGTAACAATGGAGGGACCGTTGCTGTCAAAGAGCCAGCAGCTACCTCATACTGTCCAGACACACACACACACACCCAACAACACATGACATCTACTGTAAACACATACTTCATGAATAAAATAATTCCCTTCTGTGACTACAGATGTTGAGTTATTACGTAAAGGGGGTCTAGTGTGGTTGAATCAATGACGGAGATTATCCACCTTATTTATGCCAGCAAAAAAAGCACATCAACCTACAAATCGCCATGACAACTAGTCTATTTACAGTACAGTGTGGGCCACAGCACATCGTAATTCTCTTTTCACTCTAGTCACTTCACACTTTTATGAGTAAAAATGGCAAAACAAAAGATTTTACTACATTTTATTAAAATAATTTACGGCAAGTTTAAAAAAAATAGTTACTATGGCACACTATGTCAGATGTTTTATAACAAATCACTATGTGGCCCTTTCCTGCTGGATAATAATTTTTACCTCCTGATTTTTTACATTTTTGCAGCAACATATTTGTTGAAAATACAGTATCTAAAAAGTACTTTTCCTACTACTGCGATGTCCCGGCAACCAATCAGGCAGCCTCAGGGGACCACGACATGCTCGAACCTGTAACCTTATCTTTTTTGTACACTTTGTTGCTTCTTTTCCACCTTCTGCCCCTTCAGTTTGAATCTGTCCCCCCCTCCTCCCATCTGGTGAGGTCAGCCGAGACGGAGCGTCATTAGCACTAGCTACCTACAGACCATCTGTTGCATCAACCTGCTGGGACTTAAACACACACACACAGACTGAACAAATTAGTAATCTACTTCTTGTCAACTTACCCAGATTTCAGCCAGTGAGGAATTGATCACAAACCTTCAGAGCAAACTACAAGTAAGTGATGGAAAAGACTTCTGCTGAGCAACTGGTGAACTCCGAAACCCCCGAGCCGATCCATGCACGTCCCAGTCCTTCTCTCGCCCGTCCGCGGCTCTGACCGACTCTGACCGAGTCCCACACACTCACACCGCGGCACATGTGCTCGAGTGTTTCTCTGAACTCTGGCTTTTGTTCCACTCCGTCTGGTCTGTGCAGATGACTTCAGTGGGGCTGAGTGCCTGCCTAAATTCCTCCCACTACAGGCTTCAGTTCACAAAGCCGCACAGACTGAGCAGGACTGACAGCTAGGACAGCCTCTTGGGGCGGGGGGAAAAAACATATGTACACACACACACACACACACTCACACACAAATACATCATTGACCATGCAGTCACATTTGGGTGTCTGGCGCACATACCCGAGTGTAACTTTATCTATGGATGAAACCTATAGTGGAAATAGCACTGTCACTCCACCTCACTCCCACTCTGAGACAACCTCTATGTCTCCAACAGCAGTGATGAGACTCGTGACTGACAGGCAACAAGTGCTACTCCGGCATGTGGGACGGCTCCTGGGCAAGCAGCAAGCGGCAGGAGAGAGTAGCGATGAGGAAAGATAACTGGGAAATCTGGGAAAAGCGAGGTGAAAATAAATGGAGCAATGATTTTACTGAATTAGAATATATCGAAATGCCACTACTCACAGTAAAAAAACTGGAGAAGCAAACCCTTAGATGCACAATAAAAACTTCTTTAGTAAAATAAGCACATGCATGGAAAGACAGTCAAGCACGAGCCATTCAAATGCTAGAATAAAGACTGAATCCACATCACCAGCAAACTGAACGACACACTGGCTTACTATGTGCATTTAACTAAGTCAAGAGTTTTAACAACATTAACGGTTGACTGTGTACTTTAAAACCATACATATCTATCAGACTCTTCTTGTCTAATCCAAATGTAAAGATCCCAGGATCTTTGGGATTTACCATCCACTTATACGGTCTCTGCAGACCGTATAAACTTACCAGACGTCCTCGTGGTGTCTAAAACCAAACAAACCCACCAAGCTAAAGGGAAATCCATTTTAAATGTTTGACAGGCAGCACAGCTGAGCTGTGACGCGCACGTCCCCCTGCGATTCTCCCTTTTTACAAATAAAGTAGCTGCAATACAATGTCTCTCATACATCCCTGTAAAGTGGAAATGTTTAAAGGTTTAGATTAGCTAGATGGGGTCTAAAAAGCCATACACAAATCACTGTGATGTCTGGAATTACCATTCTACCCCATCAACCTGTTGTTCTTCATGTAAACGGCTATAATCCTGAGATTTGAGTTGATTGAGGATTACAGAGTCATGCATTTTTAATCCAGACTGACTGAACTGTGACAGTGCAGCAGCCTCATGGGGAGACATTACTCCACAACCTGGTGAAGGAGCCTTTCCCCATAAACTCTACAGGGGGACAAAGAAAGATTTTCAGGAAACTCCTGTGAGTAGTTATTTATCACTCACCCGCTGTCCTGTCGCTCCTCAGCAGGGTCCTGGACTGCTGGAACTTTAAATGTCTCCCCAGGTTGGCTCTCAACAGGTGTTTCTCTGGGCTCCTCCGGCAGCTCCCTGCTCAGCCTCTTCTCTGGTTCAGGGGGCTCTGTTGACGCCTTGTTTGGTTCCGGGATCTCTATTTCATTATTTGTAGGTTCTGGTATCTCTTCCGGGCTTTTTGTTGATTCAAGGAGCTCAGGTGGCTGTTCTTCTTTTTCTGAGGAAGTTTGTGGCTCCCTTCTTGGTTCTGGGAGCTCTACTATCTGCTGGGCAGCTGTCAGAAGCTCTACTCTCTTCTCCTCTGGGACCTCTACTCTGGTGCCCTGTGTTGGTTCTGGGAGCTCTACTGTCTGCTGTGGTGCTTTCGGGAGCTCTACTTTCTCCTCCTCCTCTGGGACCTCTACCCTGGTGCCCTGTGTTCCTTCTGGGAGCTCTACTATCTGCTGGGCAGCTGTCAGGAGCTCTACTCTCTCCTCCTCCTCTGGGACCTCTACTCTGGTGGTGCCCTGGGTTGGTTCTGGGAGCTCTACTGTCTGCTGTGGTGCTTTCGGGAGCTCTACTCTATCCTCCTCTGGGACCTCTACTCTGGTGCCCTGTGTTGGTTCTGGGAGCTCTACTGTCTGCTGTGGTGCTTTCGGGAGCTCTACCTTCACCGCTTCTTCTAGGAACACTGCCTTTGTGCTCCGAGTTGGTTCTAGGAGCTCTGCGGTCTTCTTTAAAGGTTTAGGAAGATCCACTGGCTTCTTCAAAATATTCAGAGCTGGTGTCTCTGTTGTATTGTCCGCTGCTCGATCTGGTGGATGGATCTCCTCTTGTCTCCAAGGGGCTGCTGGTTCTTCAGTCGGAGTGAGAAACTCTAATTGAGGAGACTCCAGAGATGGGAGGGGTCTGGAAAAACAATGCAAGAGACAAAGGGGTTGAGAGATGTTGTTCAGTTTACAGCACATGAAGGATTGACTGACAAATGACAAATGTGTGCGTTTGTGTGGTTGGGGGGGATACGTGTGTGCAGAAATACTGAAGGTACATGTGTGTTTGTGCAGTTGTTGCATTGTGGTTACGACTGTGAGAAAAGGATCATTCTTGCCCTGGAGAGCAGGGCCGATGTCACAGCTGATGTCATCCTTTGAATATAAAGGGAAGCATTACTTCCATTGGACTTCAAAAGGCACAGTCATTTGACCCGAGCTCCAGTCAAAACAAAGTGCAGCTCTGTGTTTAGCTCCTCATTCATATTCATTGTCGCACGGCTCTCTGTAATATCACTCCAGAAAAAGTCCCGCACATGGTGTTACTGGAATGCTAAGTTGGAAATAAACTACAGCAATGTAACTGGTAGATACACTGAACCTCATAGATGTATAAGCCACAAAACTCAAAATAATAAAAAAAAAAGTAAATGCTCCACCCAATTCACACTTCTTAAAATGTGTTTCGTGATACAAAACTAAATTGTATTTATTTTCGATCAACATAGTTCCCTTAACGTGACGTTTCACGTGTAGTTTTTCAGTTTTTCTTACATGACATTTTCAAACACATTTGCATGCTCTTGTGTTTACCTTGATGTCTCTTGTTCACACTGAGAAAGCTTTGCGGCCTCTTTTAATGCTTGAATCCGGTTTGTTTCTGGCTTCCCGGCTGGCAGGTCGCCAGCCTCTGGGTTCACAGACACTTCTTCAACAGTTTTTCCATCGGACATTCCTTCGTACTCGGGGGTGTCATTTCCTGATTCCTTAGAAACACCAAATGAGCTACTGTCTTTAGCACTCCCAGTTTGATCTGTGACCTCCTGCTTTGTCATTGCCTCAATCTCAATTTGTCCCTCACCCTGCCTGCTAGCTTTCTCTTTGCCCAAGGCTGCTTTATCTTCCTTTGTGGTCTCCTCTACATCGGGGCCTTTTATGGGTGTTTGTACTGCTGGGCTGCTTTGTGTGGCTGTAGTTTCAGCAGCGTTTTGTAGCTCGAGAGGCTCGCACGCTGTGTCCTGAATTTCACGCTCCTCCGTTACACCACTGTTGCTTTTCGCATTTGCATCCCTGAAATCCTTTTCCACGGATCCTGCTTGCACAACCAGAGTACTGAACATGCTTGTGTGGATTTCTCCTGCCTGGTTTTCACAAGGAAAAACCACTGGATGAATGCCTTGACTGTCTGTGCTGAACTTTGATAAAACAGTTGTTTGTACAAGCGATGCCTCGGGTTCCTTTGATGCTGACTCAACAGATACTGCAGTGTTCTTGGAGGTCTCTTGTTCTCCGTGTTGGTCTTGACGGTCTGTTGATAGATTGCCTTTTTGCTGACCTTTACAAACCAGCTCACTCGCAAACCCAGTGTCTGTATCTGACCCAGCCACCGCTAACGCTGGGCATTTATTCTCGTTCACCCCCTGTCTTATCTCTTCTGCATGAGAGGAGGCCGTGACTCTCACTATGCCGGCCGAGGCATTTCTCTCAGCCGCCCTTCCACTCTCATCAACATCGCCGGCGAGGTGAGACGGCACATAAACCCCGTCGAGAGCTGCTGTAGATTTGGCTCCTTCTTCTCCATCACCACTGCTGCCGTCGCGTGTCCACTCATCCACACTCCAAACTGAGCTGTCTCCTCCCTCTACCACCCCTGTCCCCCCTAAAACCAGTGCTGGGATCGGCCTGCCCTGACGGTTAGTCCCTTCTCCCCGCTCTAGACAGTCCCCTGATAATTCCTCCGCGGGATGTCTGGATCCCAGAGGCCACTGCGGCTGCTCCTGTTGCTGAGCAAAACAGTTTGGCTCTGGCGTGGACCGTGATTGGCCAAGAGCTGCACTCACGTCTGGTGCCGTGGCCCCGTGAGAGCAGCGTTCCGGCGTTGCTGTCGGAGTTTGGCACAAACTCAGGACATGAACGGTGTGAGGTTCGATACCAGACTCTACCTTAGAGCCTAGACCTTCTCTAGGGGACCCGGCAGGTTTCAGGGCAGGTAATGAAGAAGTCTGGCTTTGAGATGCAAAGGCAATTTTTGTTTCTCCTTCATTAATATTCGTTCCTGTTGATTCAGTCTTTTTAACTTCATGTTCATGTGGTACCTGCAGGACTTCAATTGTATCTACAGCCTCTTCATCTGGCCCGTAACACTGCTGTTGTGTTTTGACGGTCTTTCCTGTCTGCAGCTTGCCGCTGTCTGCTGCTTCCTTTTGATTATCCATTGTCGCCTCTTCAACTTTTTCCTTTTTCTCTGCAAACACCACAGAGGTCTGACCTCCCGGTGTCTTATTCATATCTTTTTGTTTAATGTCATCACAAGCCTCTTTGGTAGGCAGGTCAGAACTGCGTTGGCAGCTGATGTTAAAGAGATCATCCGTAATGGAGGCTACACAAATACTGGGTTTGAAGCAAGTAGGGCCTGGCTCAGTGTGAGATTGAGAAATTACATTACCAGACAAACCTTTTGCCAATACATTGCCTGCACTTGGTGGCTGAGGAGGAAACACATTTCCCAGTAGTGTAAATGGAATATTCCGATTGTTGAATGCAGAATTGTCAAGTTCAGCGACAGATTCCATAGTATAATTTCCGTCCTCCGGTTTTAAACACGTCTCATCTTCTTTAACGCCGATATCGCCGTGCTGCAGATCCGGTGCCGAAGACGTGCGTGTCATCTCCCTGCTCTTGTTGCCATCAGCTCCTCCCTCGACTTTGGTGGCGTCACCATCACTGCCGCAGATTATCGTGTGCTCAGGAAGTGAGACATCACTGTCAGTGATGAACTCCAAGTGACTCAACATTGGGCCAGGAGGCTGCAGCACTAAAGAAGAGTTACTGGAACATTGCTCTATAACAGGAATTGACGGATCACAGACTGTCACTTCCTCTGAAGTCGCTGATTCCTCCATCGTCAGATCACAAGAGTGACTTTCGATCTCCATGGCATCTGTGGTAACCCGTCCATGAGGAGGTGTTTGATCCAAATGGGTGGGAGGCTGATCGTTTGGGTCCCTAGGCTTTGTTTGGGGAGAGGCTGTGCAGATCATGGTCACAGTTTCAGTATCTGAACAGGTCACAAGGTCAGTAGAGAGCTGCTCACCAGGTAGGTCAGCAGAGACATCGCTTAAAGGCTGGCGGGTAACATCGTCAGCTGGATCCAAAGAACATGAAGATGGAGGGTGTTGGTTACCTTCATCGCAGATTACAGGTGATTTCTGAAACTCAGCATGTAACTTATTTATCTTTTTCTCAGTCGACAAACCCGGATTTAAGGCTTCCTTCTCTGTGTCCCCCTTTGAGTGCTTGGTCACCTTTGCTGACACCTCTTCATCTATTGAATGATCAGCATCAGCGGTGGCTCTTTCTACTCTTTGTGAAAGGTCCCCAGTCTGACTCCTCTCGGTAGCACTTGGACGCTGTTTTGAGCAGGTCATGTCCACTGATTTTAAATCCACAGAGTTTGTCTTCAAGTTTTCGTTACCTACTGGATCCTCTTTAATCTTCTCCCCGGTATCTTTACCTCCTTCATCCAGACGGACATCTTTTTGTGGCTTTGGAAAGTCGGCCGAGCTCCGTGTTGCTAGTTCATCCGCGACGTGCGCTGCATTTGTGGCGATTTCTGACTTCTCCACCCCAAGGTAATCCGGGAAGGTGTAGCTGGCCTCGACGACGGGATAGTGCAAGCTCTCATGTACGGTCAGCGGAGGCAAAGAGGCGCAGTCCATAGTCGACACCGGCATGCGCCCTACAACCACAGAGGAACCGCCTTCTTGTTTCACTGAGTCTGCGAAGTGAACCCTGTTGTTGCCTCTACTGGTGCCTCTACTGCTCTGCCCTACGAGCACACCCAGTGCTCGCTCGGCTAGGATTTGTTGAGAAGTATGCAGGTGCTGAGGTGGGAGTAAAGGCGGGACGACTTGGCCGTCGTTTCTCTCTGTCTCTATGATGGATGACTTTCTCACAAGACGGGGCATCCTCTGCAATCAAATTATTTCCGAGATCAGCCCTTACCCCTCCGTTAGTATCGCCGGACCTCAGTTCGATGAGGAGAGGTAAGATTGCTTCTTCATGACGATCCTGTTCAGTGCAGATGGTCCCAGATATGGTAGCAATCGGCTCACTCCAGCTTTGTGACCTCAGCTGTGACTCGGCAACATTGGTGGGCGGAGGCGACTCGGTCCCAGCTGATGACACCCCGCTAGCAGAGCCTTCTGGCTGGCTGAATAAACTGTGCACTTTGGTCAGCCTGGCTTTCTTTCCCACATCCTCTCCTCCTCCTCCTCCTCCTCCTCCTCCTCCCCCCTCCCCTGCTCCCCCCGATCGCGCAGCACTGTGATCCAGACAATCAGGACCAGTGAGTAGCCCGTAGGGAGGAGTATCGCTACAGGCTGCTAACAGGGGAGCCTCCTTTGCTCCGTCTCCCTTATCTGCTGGCATCTCCGCGTCTGGACTGCGAGCGCTCGTCCCTCTCGCTCCGTTCATTTCAGCCTCTGTCGAGCTGTGTGGCATTTTGACGCTGCGGCTCTCCTTAGATGCAGCCTCGCCCTCTTCGCCCCGTGAACAGATTAACGCGAGCGGAGAAAGGCTGTCCAGGAGTCCTTCTTTCTCTCCGTCGGCGGAGCCGGAGCACTTCTCTACTCCTCCCAGATCTTTGTCTCCTACCGCTCTCTCCCTCTCCGCGATTGCTACAGTAGCCGCTCTCTCGCCTGAATCACGCCTCTCGCTTTCTCCCTCTCGCTTGCTTTCTATCACTTCTGGCATCGTGGGTGTTGCCAGTGGCAACGCAGCAACCACTACTGAAGCCTCTTCAAGGGCAGCGTCCACGCCGCTCGCTCCCACACAAGTTTGGGTGTTTGAGAGTGGGCTGCGATTCTCATGTGAGAGTATCGCTGCGTCGGAGGTAACTTTAGCCTCCCTGGTTTGTGGACACAATCTCTTTTCAGGATGAACAGATGCATTGATAACTGCATTTTGGACATACGTCCCTGGTGTATTGTGGTTGTCAATGACACATTCGGTTACATGTTGCTTCCGCTGCAGTATTGAGCTATGATTAACGCCACATGGGGCGTCCGTTATGTGGTTATGTGAAAAAGCTCGGTTGGACACAGGTGAACAGATCGAGTCAGTAAGATGATCCTGCCTGCTGTGGGGGGATGATAGTGGGGGGCTGGGGCTTCCCCCGGGACTCAGCTGTCGCTTGGAGTCACACCCATTATCAGGCTGCTCCCCACAAATCACATTCTGACCATCTGCCCGTGTCCCGGGTTTGATATCTGCCGTTGAACCTTTGTGATTTCCTGCATTCTTGAGAGATGTGTCCTTTAAATCATTTTCAGGCTGAGTTTTTGCTTTGTTTTCAGTCTCTATGTGCTTCTCTTCCACTTTTTTCTTTTTCCTTTGTTTCTTTTTTTCTTTCTTCTTTGCCTTTTTGTCCAGCCCGGCATGTTTGTCACACGAATTCATCCATTTGTCTGTGTTTGCCTCCTGATCCTGATCCCTGTAATTGTTTGCTCCCGTTGTTGTCTCTGCGAATGCATCTTTACTGCCCTCTGATGTTTCATTAACTGAATCATCAGTCTCTCCTTTTTCAAAAACACAAACGCAATTACTGGACTCATTGCCGCAATTATCTTTCTTTGTATCTACAGTCTCTGTGGTTGCCTCCGTACCTTCTTCCTTAATCACTGAATTACAATCTAGAGTGCAATGTTCCCCAACGGCTGCATAAGAGTTGACACACTCCTCTCTGTCAGAGAGAGCAATATAATTGTCTTCTTCTTTAAATAAATCTTTAGTTGTTTCTAATTGTGTCTGCGTGGGTGTTTCCTTCTGCTCCACCATCTTTATTTCTTTGTCCGTCTTAAGCTCTGGACATTTATCCAGGCTGTGTTTTGCTTCTATTTCACTCTCTTTCTTTGCGGCCGTAGGACTACTCTCTGTGCCCAATATGTAATTCCTGAAACTAAACACAACTGTATCCGTCCGAGGGTTTGCTGCCTCACTGTCTCCGTGTGTGCTCTTGTTTCCATGGACCCCGTTGCTATGTCCCTGCTGGATAACGATAGGAGGAGGTGGCGATGACTCATAGGATTTATTAACCACCCCGTCTCCAGTTTTCCTCTCTACTTTAACCGTCTCAGACGTGGTGCTTGGGGGCTCTATGGGATTAAACATGCCCAGTGAGGCCATTTGTTCTTCACATTGCTGGAAGGCCTCTTGGAGCTCCCGGTCTACGAGCAGCGATAAGGGAGGGGTCACGCTTTTGGAAACCTGGCAAGGCGCGGCAGCCGGCTGAGGTGGCGGCTGAGCATCTGGCAGAAGTGGGTCGCTGTCGTGAGGCCTGAGGCGAGGGTGGGGCGACACAGTTAAGAGTCTGGCTGGCAGACAGCTGTTCATTCCACGATGCCACAAAGCGCTGCGTTGGGGAGAGCCTGTGCTCAGTCACAGCACTCCCCGATATGCACACACACAACACACAGTGCTCAAGTGTACTCACAATGCCGGTTCCCTGCAAGAACTACCACCAACTCTCTCTGAGCATATGCTTGTTATTGAACATGCAGGTCTGTTCACACAACAAAATATGATCCTGGACGTAACACCTATGCAAATAATCATCACAGCATTTAACAAGCGGTTAATTATTATTTCCTTAATGTGATGTGACAGCCTGCTTATGTAAGTGTGACAAAAGCCAAACAATGATGATATTTTATATTTTTTATATTTTTCATGCCACCTTTTTACGTTTGAACCCAGTACTACAAGTAGCAAGTACTAATGGTATAGACCAGTAGACGACTCTATGCTGTAACTGTTGTAATACTACATTACGGCCTAATCATGTTAGGGATTATCATACATTCTGTATGTAGTGCTTATTCACCAAAACAAAGACTGACTCATTATGGACCGTTTATCATAAGCAGAGAGATTGGCCTGCAGAACTCCCCGCAGACAGCATCATCATATTAGAGTGCTCGGGATATAATGTCTTTAACAATTGGGCGAGCTTTGTGCCAGTCAGTCGTAGCCGCTGAGTCACTGCTGGCAGCAAAGGAAATGCTGTGGAATCATCGTAATCCTTAAGCCTGACTGAATGTTTAGATCCACCATCACAACACATGTCATCAGCATGTTACTTGAAATCTGCCCTCCCACAAAACCACCCATGCGTGTATTTAATGAATGACACAACCGCTATAGTCATTATTCATGTTGAGATGTGAATAAGCAAAGTGACAAATAATGTCACTAAGCGTCGCAGCAGCTAACTGGTTACCAGTTAATACAATCGAAGCGCAAAGCCTAAGGGCTAAAAAACATGTTACTCACCTCACCGACCTGCTGCTCAAACCTGCATCTGATTCACCTGGCACTCTTCACCAAAAGGGAGGAGCGGCAAATATGACTGAACTGTTTGCAGCTGGAACGTTGTGCTAAGCAACAAGCTGTTGCCTGCCACATCTACGCGAAGAGGAACGGACCAGGTGTGTCTCACGGATCTACATTATTAGACACTGTGCTCTTTAGATGCATTCTGCAAGTCAGAAGGTACATCGTGGTAGTTCCCCAATAGTCCCTAATTACTATGATCACTCCACGGAATTTACTTTGTCACTGCGTTGCCCTTATAGTAAACTCATAATTTTACACGTTCAAATACAGTCATAACAAGTATTCTAGCTAGCGCCAGAATTTGGGTTGTCAGACCACATTAAAACCTTAGTCAAATTAGCACTCAGCCAAGAGCACAATGCCAGAAAACAAAAAGAGGGTCTATACGCCTCAAGCCAAGTCTACTCAGACAAACAACACTCACAATATCAGCAGGTTGTTTCACTCCATGCACCCCGGTTTTACTCTTCACCCTCCCTGCTGAACACACTCCGACAGCCCCACAGCAGACGCCCGACTCGCCCCCATCATGCTGAGCCTTGTCTCCCTGGTACCTCGCATCGATCACCCCCGGTGGTCGGCTGTCCATGTGTGGCTGCAGGCCTGCCAGCAGGGGGTTCCCCTGCTCACATTTCCTCTCGCCTGAGCTGCTCTGAGCTCTGCTAAGAAACAAACCCACACCACACACGTACAAGGACACTTGTACACTTGATTAGCTTCCACCTCGACGGCGTAATTGTTACAGATCTGTTCCCGTAGGGCCATGAAGCAAGTCAACTAAGTATCCAATGCATTATTCTCCAGTGATACAAAATTACATTTCTATTGATTGTGAAACTGCATCTCCCAGTGAAGGCTGGTGCGTGTGTCTGATCACTAGATTGTATTTTCATGTTTCCTTGGATAAAAACCTTGCCAATACCAACGCTATGATAAACCGCTTCCAGTTACTACAGAGTGAAGGCAAGTTTGAGCTAAAGCAAAGTTAAGACTTGATTGCTGGTAGAATCCAAAGTTAATCACATTGTCTGTAAATGCACCTTTAACCCTCAGCGGGTGTAGAAAGTAGATGGATGGATGCAGACTTACCGGGGAATGGGTGTGTCCAACAATGAACTGCCTTTGTATAACATTAAATATTTGGACTACATAGACAATAAAGATTGTGTTCGGGGAGGAAATAAATCTTGCATTACGTTGCAAATCTCTGTACATACAAAAACTTTGATTGGTGCACAAAAGTATGGGATGCCATTTTTTCCCTACTTTAAAGCAGTGAGAGAGCATGGACGGCCCTTAACAAGGAGCAAATGTTTTTTGTGAAACTAGCTTTGCTACACGGTGTGTATTTGGTATTTTGTGGGACCGAGTTGTGGTGCAGATATAGCTCAAGAATACCTACTGCAAACTGTAGTTAATAACATATCATATTTCCCGTAAAAGCCCCTGGAAAGAACTTGTCTTTCTCCTTTTCTGTGAGAACAAGTGAAGGTTTTGTCTTGATAGTATGAGAGAGAGTGTGAACATAATTACCTGCATAGCTGTATGCGTTTGTGTAACCACTCAACTTACCCCAACGAGGACTCCCAGATGTGGAACTCACTGCTGAAGTCGAGACTGGGCAGCAGGTCGTGCGGAAACTCGAGCTCGTCTCCGGGCTCACATGCGCTCTCCTCCACTCCGGCGATGACCGCGATGTCTGGCAGCGCTGGTTCGGCCAGCAGACCCTGCCGGCCGGTCGAGGTGTCGGTCAGAAGCGCTCGGTCGTCCCTCCGGGTCAAACTCTCAGCAGGAGCTTCGACCTGCGGGCCGGCAAGACATGAATGAAGTGGGCGGCGCGCTTGAGTCTTTGATGCATAACGAGTGATACAGTGTGGAGTCAAACAAGTGGGAGCATGTTGCGTGCAGTCATGGGAGCACCTACAGATTCAACGCTCTAATACATCAGACAAATAACTCCACCCACGTGTAACACTATTACGTAAAGTGGGGTTTGTGTGGTTCTGCAAAGGTCATACTCACTGGAGCCTCTATCGTTGTTACTAGATTGGCTTTTCTTATATTTATACTATGATCAAAGATTATTTCCAGCTTTGCAGCCTAGAATTTATGCCGCGCTCTCTGCAGCTTTGTTTACACTGCACTTTTAAGTAAAACATAACTACTACTCTAACAGGAAATGTTCTAACTCATTACAGTCTGGTGCTTTCCAGCTTACAGGGAAGCTTTTACCAAGTAAGACTAATCATTAAAGGCAAACCCGTCCTGCTAGATTATGACCCGGATAATCAAGTTGTTTAAACATTATCTAGAACATTTAATTAAGTTTACAATTCACTGTCTTTAATTCTCACCTTTGTCACATGTTCATAATTAAGGGAAATACTTTCTTTATTATGCGACTGAAAAGCGCGTGTGTCGCCAAGACATGGAGCTCTTTGCCTTTGCTGTTTTTCCTTTGCGTCTGTCCGACTGCTTGATGGACCACATTCAACCACAGCCTCACACCACAACACTTGGCTGTGGCACCACATTGTAGCGACACACAACACACAACTGTGGAATTTCTTCCCACATGCGCCGCCTCGTTCTGCACCAGGGAAAGTTTCCATTATTTCACCCAGTCGCGTATAAACTGATGTGCGCAGGTGCAAACAAATGGGAACTTGTGCAGACTCATATACACATGTGCAGATGAAACGCAGCCCTTAAACACTCCTCTTTTTAGTTGATAAAAAAATCTCAGCTGAGTGTCCACAGAGATTCAGAAATTAATCTGTTCATTCATTGTTTATTAACTAGTAGTAGGCTGCACACAGACGAAGGGGATTGTCACGACGCAAGGAATTTATGAATAACTTTTTGGAGTTGTAAATTAACTTTTGACTTTCCTTCTCACCCTCTTTACATTACCATTCAATTGCTGTGGTAAAAGAAAAATGAGATGATTAACTCCTTCATGATAGAATGAAATGCCACCTGTGCCCTGGGTGGTGCACAGACTGGATGTGGGTACTGGCGGCGGGTAAACAGGTAAAGCTGAGGGTGTAGTTGGGAGTCCCTTACCTGTTCAACCACTACAAAGTGTGTCCTCTGTATGAAACATTCAGCACAGACGCAGGATCACAAACAGGAAATGTGCTCAAACAAACCTCAAAATAAAAACAGTTACAATCTTGCCTGCACGGGTCCTTTAAAGATAACGTTAAAGAATGCTTGAAAAAGAGCTCCTACTTCCTCCTTCGCTGTGTATGCCAACCTCCATCCTTATGAGGTTATTTTTAGACATTTATTTAGACTACTGCAAGTAAACGTTTGGTTTGCAGAAAAAAAGATGCCTGTGAATTCCATGCTGCAGTCATGTTCTGTATTACATTATAGGATAAATAAAAACACACCTTAAAGACGTGAACGTGTAGATGTGGCTGAAGCTCGTCTAGGGTTTCGGTTTCCGACCTTAACTTTCATGTCCTCCAGAAAAGATAAGGTCATAACGTATATCAACTCAGACGTGCTAACACAGCGTGTCCAAGTGCACGGCTACTCACCACACTTCCCAGTGTGACTGGCCTGTGACTGAAGAGGAAGCCCAGTGACCGTTGCGTTAGTTGGCCTGACGGTCCCACGCACAGAACGTCTGCTATTAATTTACCCGCAGGAACCAAACAGAACCCCAGCTGGAAACTGCTGCTTGTCCCACAGTCATTAGGTCCTACTCACAGTCAACTCGGGCCGTCGGTGCACGTGCGCTGACAGAAATGTGACGCTTCACACATGACTGTTGTAAACAGGGAGGGGCGGGGCTAACGCAGAAACCACGCCCTCACATGCGCGCTCAAGCGCAAGTAGATGCAGCGCACAGACTTCAACGCGTCCTCCCTCTCCCCCTCTCTCTCTCCCTCTCTCTCTCCCTCTCTCTCTCTGTCATGTTCCGTCCTCGCGGGACACTCACCCGGCTCCTGTGCGGCTGAAGGTGACTCCACGGTGCGGTGCCGCTCCTCTGCCTCCCTCCTGCCTCGCTCAGCCTCTGCAGGGCTCCGTGCGTCGTATTGGGCGAGAGGACGACACGAACACGCTGCTAACGCCTCCTCCCCTGGACTGACTCAGCTCACTTCCTCCTCCTCTTCTTCTTCTTCTTCACTCCCCTCTACTGTAAACTCTCCCCACTGGCCCGTCCTTCCATTCCCTCCTTCTACGTCTCCTTTCCTTATCCACCTCCGCTCGATCGTCTCCTCCCCCCCTTCTCTACCTACCGAGTCATGTGGCCCGCTGCATTGACAGACTGACAGTGCCTCTGCAGGTGAATGCTGGGATTTAGGCCAAGGGTCGGGCCTGCAGTGACCCCCTGAGAGCGGATCAGGTTTCACTCCAAGCAGCTTTGGTTACACGCACACACACACACACACACACACGCACACACACACACACACACACACACACACACACACGCACACACACACACACAGTGTGCCTGCTGCATTACAAAAGCTGCCACTTCATCAAACTTTGACCTCTGGGTGTTGCTAAGGAATCACATTATTTGTACACATGGACATTTCAGCACCTCCACCGTGACACTTAATTAGCCCCCCCCCCCCCCCTCATGATATATATAAACACTGTGTTCCTCTTGAATGCGGCTTGGGTAAAAGACTCATCTGTCAGCACACTGAATGTTTTTAGCTGTAAGTGACTCTTGTGGGTTTTCACTGAAAGCCGACTGTCTCCTTCGTATTTTTCGGGAGTGGTCTTTCTTATTTAAAAAATCAATCCACAAAATAAACAACCGCAGCGCGCAAAACTAGAAAAAGGCAGCACATCTGTTGCTTTGCCCTCTATAAGATAAGATACACATCTTCCACTTCCCTTCTACTTTCACTTTAAAATCATCAAAGCCATGTGCAGGGAAAGGGTTTATTTTAGGGGCACCATTGGGAGCCATAACCAAATCCTAATTGTCTAAGCCTTCATGTTTATTGTGAAAAGACGCATGGCAATATCTACCCCACGTTCACGCTTGCATTGTGTCACTCACTCACACGCACACAATGTTATACCTGTAATGAGTCATTGTGATTATCCTGGGGTGGAAACAGAAGAACGTTCTCTGGAGCGCCCTCTTCTGGCTGTAACAGGGAGTGAAAGAGTTCAACTGCAGATGTTCGGCGGCCCTGAGTCACAGTATATGACGATAATCACTGAAAACAGATCACCATTGTTTTTAAGGCAAAAGTAACAATGTTAAGCTTCACTCTGCGTTCCCCTCTAATGAGGTTCAGCACATGGTTTGTAAAGTCTGTAGCTTATGAGACAAATGTTTTAATTAATCCTATTAAGGTAATCCCAAATTCCACGTCTGAAGTCCTGTCACATGTGGAAATTACTACTTTTGTGGTTATTACTGAGTACAAAAATGCAGCAAAAAGCTGATTTACAGAACAAGCCAATGCAGCAATAGCTCAACATGCACATCGGAGGCAGCGACGGCCTTTCAGCAACCATGGATTTCATCAGCTGCAAGAAAGCAAGCTCAGAAGTGTCCTGGGGTGGAGCAGTAAGCACAGATGGAATAAAGATCAAATATTTATCTTTACCTCTGCTTTACAAGTTTAGTAAACCACCAAACAGCAAGGCATGTTATCTAAACGCTCATTAGACGAGCTTCAATCGAGCACGTCCCCTGTGTGTTACTGAAGCCAACAGTTAGTGATCACGCGAGCCGGGGTAAGTATTGTTAGTCTTGTTATTGCTGCAGTCCGAGGTATGCATAGCATCACAGAGGGGTTGGGGGGGGGCAGCAGGTAGCCGTCCCAGCCATCCAAAGCCCGGCGAGCTCGCGCTTACCAACGCTTCAGTTGCGCTGCCCTCGTTCCCCATGGCTCAGGCCGGCCGCAGGGCCACAACTGCCCCGACCGACAGCCTCCCACGTCGGCTGGCTGAAAGACAGCGGCAACAGATGGACCGTCAAGAGTGCGACCGCTCGCCGGAGAGACACGCAGGCCGGACGGGGGGCTCCGAGGTCCCTCGGCAGTCACGGACTCGCGCTGCACAGGATTAAGGGGCCTCCGGTGGGAGTTCCAGCCAGCAGGGAGGGAGAACGGTGGAGTGCGGGTCTTGTTTAAGAGATTAAGGGCCAGGTGATGCAAAAGCTCCCTGCAAGACCAAAGGTGTGGCTTCAGCTGTGAACAGAAGCAGTGTCCGCACAGCGTCTTGTAATTACAAAGGAATATTGATTCATGAGACTGCTTTTACATGCATTTATTATGGCCAGAATGCCTCTTCTGGCCTGCGTTACCTCAAACAAACGGCATTGCCTCCCACAAAAAAAAAACCTTCACGTGTATTCACAAATATTTTAATTATTGGAAGAAGAGGGATAAAAAAGCATTCAGCCGTGGATTGATTTTTCATATTAATTACAATTACAGTCGCTTTTATAACCGGATCAAATACTCTCTGAAAATTCTATTTTTTTGCTCGTGTCTTTGTTGTATGAATTGCAGCTAGAATGATTTTCTCATAAATGACTGCAGGGACTATACGTTATCTCTGTGTATAGTCACTGACCCGGATACGCATAACTTTATAAATAGAAATCTCCCTGTCCACTGCTGTTTATTCCAGTCTTGTGCACAATTTGTCTCGCACACTTCATTTCACAAACAAATGTAACAAAGGATGTTTATAAATAAATTATATAAATATTAAAAATTTAAAATTATTATATTTAATATCTAGATCCATCCGGTCCCTTATTCTGTGGTGCTTCGCCCTGCTTGCTATTTGGGTAAACGGGGTGTAATTTCAGCCTCCGAGCTGCAGACGTGTTTCAGGGCTTTTTGGCAGCATAAGAGGCACGGGGGTCAAATCATGTGATTCCAACGTTGCCAGATCTCTCCTGGCCTCCCCCTCGGCCCGTCAGTCACGCAGCCTGAGCCATGGTTGGAACTCTAGTATTCGGATGAGCACCGTGTGTCTTTGCTTAGACACACACAGTATGAGGTTACCGTTTCCACCTGGGTGTGTGCGTTCACACACTGACTTCACTGGCTTTTTTTGCATCTTGAAAGCATTTTTTTTGTACTTTAAGAGACCCCCCTCCCTCCTTGTTGTTGCCCTGGGCCTCCAGTTTATCCTCATTACCTCATTCTAACTGTTGAATGCCAACCCGGTTACGTGCGTGGAGCATGTCGGTGTATATTAACGCACAAGATCTCTTCCCAATATCACAGAAGATAATATAGGACTAATATCATACAACATAATATGGGACTAATGTGTAACTAACATCATACTTTATAGTTCTAGTTTCATATAACATAACCTCATATAACTAATATATCAAACATGGCATCATACTTAGTGTTTCTAATATTATACAACATAATATCATACACAGTGTTTTCCCTACCATTACATCCCCCGGCACGACCCAACGCCCCCCTCCGGTACGTCCGCCCCCCCATAGTTGGGAACACAGGGAAACACTGATATGACATAATATAGTAGAAGTAATATAGCAGACATGGCTTTATACTTTAGATTTCCAATATCATAGAACTATTATAACAAATTAATGAGGAGGCGGGTCCATAAAGGCTACACAAAGCGCTGCGACTCTGAAAGGCTGTCCTGGCTATATTATGTTATCAGTTAAAGTCATAGTAGTTTGTAGTTAAATTTCAAGAAAACAGTAAAAAGTATGTGTAGGCCTCAAAATAATGAAGGTGGCGGAGACAAAAGAAAAGACGTCTGGAAACAGGCCCAGGGTGTTACAGCTGAACCGTGTAATATGAAAAAGGTCATCCTGCTAGTTAACACTTCCCCTGCTCCTTAACCATCAAGCTCCTAAAGTCAACGGAACTAATGAATCCATTCCGAACCAGCAACGCAACGTGTGTGTGTGTGTGTTTCCATCCTGATTGGTGGAGCCGCTGACAGACCCTCCAATCAGCACCTGTAAACGCTATTTCCAAAATTCCAGAGGTGCGTAAACGGCGTTTACCCTCCACTTACAGCCCTGCCTGCAAGTGGCCCCGCTAGGCTACCGGAACAAGACAACCAGCAGCACAACCAGCTTTTCTAAAACAACAAGAGACAAAAATTGCCGATAGTATTTCTCAGATAACACTTACACAAAAGCAGGTAAACATTATGTACATTAGATAAATTGTTGGTTTATATCAAGTTCTTCAACCTGCCCGATGGCGCCACATTGGAATCTTCAAACAACGTTGAACCACAGGAGAATAAAAGCCAAACAAAGACACACATTACAATATGAGCCTTCACAACCCCTGCTCTTTACCCCGTGTGTTCCTCAAATGTCGTACGTTGTTGACCAACCAAACAAATAGTTCAAAGTCCACCTGCGCGGCAACTCCTCCACTACTCACCGCAGAAAACGACGCGCCGAGTCGAGCGTTTGACCAACCCGAATCCACTCGGTGTTTACCAACTCTTTCCACTCAAGGCCAATGTTTGTTGCTGTCCTCCACTGCGGAGAAGCCCCGAGGCTATTTATGTATCGGTGGGAGGAGAAGACGGAGGGTGGACACAGGACAGGGACAGAAGAGGGGACAGGACTGAGGGGAGGAGGCCGAATACGAGCCGCGGAAGCCATGTCAGCTTGGAGTGGTATAGGTTGTGTGTGTGTGTGTTGGGGGGGGAGAAGGGGGGTGGATCACCTGTTTTGACAGCCTCAGGAGGCCTGGCAGTCAGCCTGAGGGGACGCTAGTTCTACGGACACGCTGTGACCAAAGACGCCGGGGACAGAAGGACGGGCGAATGCTCTCCGAATGCCTCTCGGCTGCCCGGCCGTCCGGCAGCGCGTACGTACAACAGGTCAACAGGTCAAACACTACAGGCCTTGCTCCAACAACCATGGCGACAATAACAAAGCGGCCAAGCAAACGGGAGACAAATTGACATCTTCGGAGGGTTTGGAATGTGTTTCGGGTCCGGTTTTATCACGGCTTCAGAGGGCCTAATCTGGAACAGAGCAGGCGTACAATTTGATTTGATCGGCACCATTTCTAATGAGCACCCTTAAACACACTTGGCTCCGTCGCGTGTTTCTCCGGTCTGAACTGACATCCGGCCTTCGGTCAAAATAAGTCCAACACATGCACACAACCCACTTGCTTTGTCAACATTCCTCCCGTGTCCCTCCAGTCTCATCAGCACCACCCTCTCACTTTTACTCAGCCCCCTCCCTTCCTCACCGTCTTCACAGCTGCTTTTCCTCGCTGACGTCGCCCCTCCTCCCAACACTTGAGCACGCCTTCCCTCTCTCTGCCTTCGCCCGAGCAAAGGACTCCTGACCAGTGAAAGCTACTCCGTCACCTGCTCGGTCGGACGGGCATCACCGCAGACGGCCTCGGCGCCCTGCCCCCCCTCTCCTCCCGTTTACCTGTCTTCTCGAGATTCCGATGCAGCTCCCCATCTTGTATTCCATGTCCTCCTCTGGCGAGGTGACCCGGGCGCTACACGGCTTGCAGAGCACCCTTCTGCAGAACTGCATCGTTACCAGTTAGAGCCCGAGCATCACCAGGGGGGTGGGGGGGGGGGGCAGGTCTCCGCCGGAGCTGCTGAGCGAGCGGCGTGCACGACCCCCCGCCGTGTCTGTACGAGCGTGCGCCCGAGTGAGAAGCGCTCGGCCCCGCGTAGCCCGTGGTGCGCCGGTGACGTCTAATTTCAAGCCATCGTTATATAAGCAGCCTAAATTACATAAGGAATCCAGCATCAGCAGGCGATGGTGAAGAAATAGGAGCTTCTCCTCCCAGCATCGGATGCAGCTCAGCCTCACATCGCTGCACGGGTGTGACTGAAGCGCCGCTTTGGAGGGAGAAAAAAAAATGCTCAGAGGAAGAGATGGAAAGGCTGCATAGAGCGCGTCTGTCCCTTTAAGAGGCCGGGGAGGCTGCACAGAAGATGTTGGCATATCATTACGATGAGAAGGCACGATGATATCAGTTGGTTATTCCTACTAAAGCAGGTCAAGTTCACTCAGACTGAACAGAGGAGGGATTTGCTATGTTTTGCCTTCCCTTTACATGTTAATACAATAAGCAGACACGTGAATCCTGATACTGCTTCTTCCCAAGGTAGCACAAGACTCTTGTTTAAACCAGCGAACGGAGAATTACACAATGAAAGGGAGGAACCGGAACAAAGACTTTCAAATTTATTTAAAAACAACATAAAAAATGCTGGCAAATCCTCTGAACATCAGGACACATTACACATGTAGTTACAGATATGTGAAAATGTAGTGCAGTAATGTGTATCCCAGCGGCTTTGCTTCGTTTACATGGCACCGAGCTCATGGCAGCCGTCCTGGACGGCGCTCTTTAGGCAGTAACGGCTGACAAAATCTTTCCAACCAAAGCTGTACATGCGGAGGCGTCCCCCCCCCCTCAGTTAGTTAGTTAGCTGCTAGCCACCGGCTCAGCCGTCGCCATAGATACGCTCATAATTTCCTAACCAGTGATTATCCAAACATTGAAACAGATTATTACATATATAAACAACACATTAAATATAACAGTACCAACCTTTTCTCATATTTATTTTTTTATTATTCAAACTTCTAAAAATGGTAAAAAAAAATAAAAAATAGGAGAAATTTAAAATGAATGTGAAACTGAGTGATTGGGATCTCAAGGTGCTATGATACAAGAGTGACCTTCACTGAAATTTGGCCTTTGACAGTTTAGAACTTTTTGGCTTTATTATATACAAATTAAAAACACAACAACAAGTAAAAACAACATTCTGTTTGAGGCGTCACTCATTCTGCGTGTTCGGCTGAATCATTGTGTCTCTGATGTCGAAGGCCTCAATAAGCTCCTGGAGAAAGGGGGGGGCGGCACATTAAAATGATGATCAAAGAAGACAAACAAGGGTATTTTTAAAAGACAATTTGGGCCTTGTGTTGTTGCAAGATTAAGTAAAACCTGCTCACCTTCCACATTTTGGGGCTAATAGAGACGATGCATTGTTTACGGCTGACCGACCCGCCTGCTTCCACCTCGCCCTCCTCTACGGGTTCTGAGACACACAAACAAACAACTCAAACAACTGAAGCAATTGACCCCAAAACATTTTCTCTTTCTGTTTGTTACCAGCTGTACGGCGAAATGCAAATCTGCTCACCTATACATGGCAATTTGGAATTATCCAAGTACATGCGGGCCAAGCCGTCCTGAAACACAAAGCGCATTGTCACACGGGCTGATGGTCCCCACAGGGCGGGAAAAGCTCCATCCGAACAAACGAACGGAAAAGGCAGCTCACCCTGATCAGAAAAGACGTGTGGAAAATGTTCTCAACTGTCCGGGAAAAGGACTTTGGGTCGATGACAAACTCGTAATACAATATCGGCGACGTTGCTGTGATGGAAACAGAGACGCGTGAGAAAACTATAACAACAACGACAACGCGGTGGCGAAATGTTGATCCTTGAGCTCGGCTTTCAACTCACGATCATCTTGGAAATAACTCTTCAGGTATCCCAGGATCCTCTCCACCTCCTTCTCTGTCGCTTCCTGATGCGAGCCTTCCATTCTCTTCAGCTGATGAGACGACATTAACGTGATGCCACATTAAACATTGAAACCCGCCCGCGGCTTTAAACACCACCCACAGACTCCGTCACCAACAAAAATCATGTTGACGGCAAAGTGACAACAGAAGAAAGCGAGTCTCACCTGGCAACCGTTTTGCGAAATTCCACTAAAAGAACTACGTTGCTTGGCCGACAAATCATTAATTTATCAATAAAAAGATAAATGTCGGTGTACGTTTAGGCACCTGCGTCGGCATGATCCTTTTCGCCTCCTTGGTGGAGGCCTTCTTTTGCCGTTCTAGCCGCTGCTTTGGAGGAGGCGGCTCTGCGTGGAACGAACCCATCCTGAAGACAATGAAAACGTCAAAAACAGAAAGCAGTGCCGGGGGGCACTAAATTGTTGACTAAACGCATTCTTCGTCCCGAGTTTGCAACGGTGAAGTGAATGACAACGAGTTCTACCAGCGGCGAGGGGGCTTACATGTAGTGGAAGGAGGGCGCTGCCCGGACGCAGCTCTCTGCTCTCCTGGCCACCCGGTGCCAAGCGTCCTGGGGCAGGTAGCCGTCAACTGCCCCTCCGTTCTGCTGGTCGTCCTCCCCGTCCTCCAGGCGGTTGAGACCCATGAAGGACAGCTGTCAGAGGAGAGGAGATCGCCGCGTGACCACTTGCTTTGGCGCTCGCGTCGACAACGTGTTCAGTCCACAGCATTCATATTTAATAGCGTTGCTTTGCATATTGTATTTTTTCTCCTTTTTTCGTGTTAAATCGCTCTGTGTTGTAAAATACGGTGCTGTGTTGAACCTAAAACATGTCAAAGTCCTGTCCTTTACCAAAAGGTGCATTTTATAGGTGAGACTTTGATCACAACAGTGTCCCTGTTGGAGTTCAGAGGTCCAGAACACAGACTGTAAATGTACTTATAACAATGAGGTCTATCGCTCTGTGGAAAAGGCAGATTATATTTAGGTCACACTGTACATTTATTTGAATGCTCGTTATCGACGCATCAGACTTATTTAGAATCTTTCTCCCCAGTTTTGAGTGTAACAATTACACCAAGTAGGTGAGGTTTTTCAGCCGAGGGGCGAGACTTTTAGAAACAGAAGCACAATGAACACTGTAAAGAAATGAACGCTCACACAAATAACAGCACACTGGCTCACATCAGTGGTGCCCGTTTGTGTGCACCAAGAACACACAACCAACATGTTGCGTGTGCGCGTGCAGGCAGTTTTAAAAGTGCAACATAGTATAAACAACGAAAGCACTCACAAGGTGCTCGGCGAAAGCCGCGGAATCGAAAGCCGTGCCCTCGGAGAACAGTTGGCTGGCTTTCTCCTTCCCCAGATCCGTGGCCACGACCAGGAGCTGCGCATCCAGAGCCGCTTCCCTCGCCTGCCGTACTGCCGGGCGACACACAGCGGAAGCAAAGGTGAACAAAAAAAACTACGGAAACAATTATCCAGCTCTTTGAATTCCTCATTTGAGGTTATAGTTGCGATCAAACCGAGGTGGAACTTGCAACCTCGGATGCATCACTTTTCCCACAAAAATACTTTACTTATATTAAGAATTGACTCTGAGAAAATGTAAAATTCCATCACATCCCTTCCGCATAGCAATCCTGCTAAATGCAGAGTCACAGGATTCCCCATTTCTGTGGTTGTAATCCCACTTACCATCTTTAAAGAGTTTGTTAGCCTCTTCTAAAACTTCTGTGAGCTTGTTGTTGGAGGGCCTCAGCATATCTTCTCGATTCTCTAGGAGGGAAACACACAGGGAGGAAGTGCATCAAGGACCCGTGGGCGCAGCTGAACATCTCCTCATCCAGCGGTCAGCATCACTCACGTTGCACCGAGTTGATGAGGTCACGGTACTTGCTCCGTATCTCCCTGCGGAGTCCCGGGTCATTGTCGTCGCCTTGCAGGTCATCTGCACCGAAGTTACAGTCGCCATCGTCCTCTTCGCTCTGCCGCCGTTCCCCTTTCCTGCGGCCAGCGGGGCCATTCTGCCGGGGAGCGGCGGCGTCGTCGCCGGCTGCTGCTGCTGCTGCTGCTTTGGCCCTCTTCATCTTCCGCGCGGGTCAGTGCGCGGACGAGCTGTGCGTCGTGGGGGAGAAACGCGTGAACGTCAAACGCATCACGCCAAAACTAAGTGCGCTTTGGGGTTGTGAACGTTACAGATCGGTTAACTTCCCTCTTGGCCACGACGTTTTTAATTGTTTGGCGTAATGTGACGGTAGTTATACCCGCCAGAACCCTGTTGTCCTAAAGTGTAGCCAAAGACGTTACGAAAGTCAAGATGTAAATCCGCTACTCTATCCGGTTGGGGGGGGAGGCTAGGCACAGCGCACACTGTTTGAAACTGTTACCTTATCGCTTCTTATGTACAGGTTATGTGTAAAATGACATGAAGTTGCCTAACGCGATACAGTCAACGTCACGCAGTCGACTCACCGATGTTGTTCTGCAAAGTCCTAACGTTAAATTGGAACTAATTAGCTACGGCTAACTAACGTTAGCTTTTAACTACTTTAAGATGAGTTACGTTGTAGATCTACCACCAATGCTGTTGTAGTTACAATATGCTGATTCCTTGTTGACAAACACACCGAAGCAACTTAAATATATTTCGAAACCAAACCATGTTGTCATCCAAACCAAAGGCAACTTTCTTCCGGGCCAACGGCAAACGTAACGTTAAATCCGGAAGTACTGGACACGTTACTATTTCGATACAACATGGCATCTTTGGTTTTAGCAAACGCTAGCTGACGTTAGCTAGCCAAACCATTGGTATTATTAACGCAGCTGCACGTTAGTACACGTTTTGCTAATGTCGCATCTTAGCTCACTCTTAAATTAAACTCATAGCATGCATGGATTATTGTTAAACGAGACCTATCCGTTTACTTCTGAAGATAAAACTTGTACCTGTGTATCAGGCAGAAGGCGTTCCTAATGCGCTTTAGCAGTGCAGGCGAAGACGAAGCTCGTTTCGCGTTGGCACTTCCTTATCTGAGAGAGGAAACTGAAATTGAAACGTGTATCTGATGACAATAATAATACTAGTGGTAATAATACATAATTGTCATGAAAAATTAGCTACTTCCTCCTACCAAAACGCCACACAAAGGAAATGCACACATCAACATATTAAAATGTGTGTGAACCTTCAATTATTAAAATATAATTAATAAAAAAGGAAGGAATAAATAAAATGCCACTTGCCGGGTGAATATCGTCGTCTTATTGCCACGGTTAAAGATGACGGTTTACAGAAATGATCAAACACTACTTTTAGGCGGCAGCCCAGCAACCACAATATGACGTTTATTTTTTATTTAAAAAATACTGTGTATTCATCAAACCCTCTTAGTCTTTACACTTCTACTTTATAAACACAAGTTTTCAAATCAGTACTTGCAAGCAGAAATGCCAAAGTCACACGGAGCTGACCTTTTACATTCTTTAAACTCGACATGCCGCATTAGCATACAATAATTGGAGATAACACTATTCTGCCTAATAATAACTGATGAATAACTGCACTGCAGACTTCAGTAATCCTAAATAGCTTTTATTGGGCGGGTAAACAAGTGACAGCGCGTGGTCATCCGGGGACTTCTTACCGGCAGGGGGCGCGCTGAGGACCGATGGCGTCTGAAGTGAGAAAGACGCTCCTTGTTTAAGTCTCTGTTTTGTTGTCATGGCAACGAGAAGCGTCTTCAGCAACGTTTCCCGTTTAAAGTGCTTCATGTTGTTTTTTATTTTGATTTGAATGTATTTATATGTTTGAAAAGCTATAAAAAATGCTCTTAAAAATTAAACATTTCACAAATATGAAATTAGCTTGAAATAGTTGCACACGGGTTTGTTTATATTATTTCTTTTTAATAGGGTTTTTTATGAATTAACGTGATTTGGCTTTGGTTTTTCGGTCCAGTGTTTTAGGAACTTTTGTCCCATTGTTTCTATCCGTAACGCATACTATTTAACGCCCAAATACATGTAGGAATAAAAGCAAGCCAAAGTATTTCTGTCAGCTAGCGACAATAAGCACAACATCTTTCTCACATTTGCATAAATAAAGCTATATTTAAACAGTGAGTAAACACAGACAGTCGGATGCAGATCAGCTCCGCCCGTCTGCTGCTAATCCCTCCGTGACCTCTGCGCGCTGGGAAAGCACCACTGCGCGCGCATACAAAGGTGAGGCCGCGGTACCGAACGCACCCAAATCGGCGTCGCGGGTACCTTCGTCGCTCCCCGATGGGAGACCCGAGGCCCACGCCCCGCGGGCCCCGCCTGGACCTGAGCAACTTCCACTGGGCCGCAGCCGAGAGGAGTCGGCACGCGTCGACGAGTCCCCGCTCGCCGGAGTCCTGCAGGCGACTCGGGGTCAAACCCGTGGACCTTCTCATCAAATCGCTGAATGAGTTCATCGCCAAGCGGCGCGACGTGCCCGTCGGGGCGATGACGCTCATGCACGAATCCTACGAAAGGGAGAGAGTGAGGCTTTTACAAATGTGCCGAGTGGAGAGGCAGCGGATTACCCGGGCGGCGGGGGGCAGGTGGCCGGGCAGCAACAGAGTGTCCGGCCTGGAAGCCAAACCGAAGGACCACACGAGGGACGGGGAGGCAACGGGCACCGTCCCGTACGCGGACCTGTGCTTCAGGGGGCCGCCCGCCAGCAGGTCCTCCTGCTCTCACAGAGACAGGAGCACAGTGTGCAGCTTCGGCCCGGGGCACCTCCGGCACACCCCGGCGGCTACCGAGGTGACCGTGGACCAGCTCACCAGGGACATTCAGAAGGAGATGTGCGTCACCGTGTCGGAGAGAGACCGCAGGATAGCGGCTCTCATGCTGGTGAAGCACCGGGAGGAGCAGGCTTGCCTGAAGCTCCGTCAGCAGGAGGAGCAGGTGCGACAGGAGGCCCGCAGGCACGAGGAGGCCCTGCGCGCCGAGGCCGACAAGGTCAGGGGGGAGAAAGTGAGGCAGGGTATGCGCCGCTGGCACGAGGAGCTGGAGGCCCGCCGGAGGCTGAGGGAGCGACGGGAGGAAGAAAAAGCTGGACAACTCGAGCTGGAGGCGCTGCTGCACGAAGACCGCTGCAGGAGGTTGAGGGAGGAGGTGGAGGGGCAACGCCGAGAGAAGGTGGAGGCCGCACGGAGAGAGGCGGGGGCCCGCAAGCGCTTGCAGGAGAAGCTGCGGGGAGAAAAAGAGGAGGCGGAGAGGAGGGAGCGAGAGAGGGACGGGCAGGCGGCGGCGGAGAAGGAGCAGAGGGCAAGGAGGAGCAAAGCGTCCCGGGAGGAGGAGGAGAGGAGGAGGATGCGGGAGGACAACCGCAGGGAGCTGCTGCGTCACATCCTGCTCAAGCAGCAGGTGGAGCAACAGGTGGCGGAGGAGGAGGCCCAGGTGAGGGGCGCACTCGACGAGAAGCTGCGGCGCCGCGGAGAAACGCGCAGCGCGGCCGCAGAGGCGCGGCGGAGGGAGCTGCAGGAGCGGGCGGCCCGGGAGGAGGAGCGGGCTCGGGGAGCCCGGCGGGGGGCCCAGCTGCAGGGCCACCGGCACCTCGCGCACAAACAGATCCTCGTCGAACTGAGCCGGCGGCGCTGCGAGAGAGCCGCCAGGAGCGCGTCGGCCCAGCGGAGGCGCAGAGCTCAGGAGGCGGGTCAGCGCAACAGACGCAGGAGCCTGCGCCACCAGCGGCTGAGGGAGGAGAGGCTGCGGGAGGAGGCGGCCGAGAGGATGGTGCGGGAGAGCTGCGTCTTCGTGAAGGACTGGAGGAGGGAGAGACTGCGGAGCCAGAGGCAGCTGATGCAGGAGGAGGCGCACAGGCTGGCGCGGGCCTCCTTTCACTTGAGGGACCGAGTGCGACAGCAGACGCGCGTGCGGACCTTCGATCAGATGGCTCTGGAGGCTCAGCTGACTGCCTCCATCAGCTCCATGAAACTATGAGGGGAGAGATCGACTCCCATCCACAGCTGCTGCGCCTCTAACCAGAGCTGTGGTCAAGCAGAGGTCTTTTTTTATGCAGAGTGTGATATTGTAGCATATTTTTAAATTCCTAAGTTGCTGATCGACTCAAACAGAAGAAATAACCGGACCGACGGGGCCTTTCGTTGGCTCATCCTGATACTCTTTCCCCTGGAAGCCAATGCTTTACTGCAACAACTGAGCTTTGTAAGCATAAATGAAAGCGGTTTGGACTGTGATCCCCCATCACACACCAGCAACAATGCAGGGGAACTTCCCAGCTAACGAGAGAATGCAGTTTATTTTTTTGCAGTTGAGCAGTGCTGGTGAGGCGCCACAGAATCAACAGTTCACTTGTATTCATAATTCATATAAGAGAACAGTTAAATACTTTTGGACGGTTGAATGAGAGATACTGCGCTCTGAATGAGGCAGACTATGGTTTGGTTTTCTCTGCTCCTCTGGCTTCATTCAGTGTCCCATCATTTCCCCCTGCATCACCAGAAGCACTTTAAAAGAAGAAAAAACGTCTTTGGTCAAAGTAGGGCAGAAAAAGTAAAGCGTACATGAACTCAAGTGGAACAATGTTTGTTGGAGATTAGAAGTATAAGTGTCATCACCTCATTTCCAATGTGTCACTTCAAAATTAGTATTCAAAACATTGCAGTATTTGTGTTTAATGAATAAATCACTTTTGAAGTGTGAAAAAAAAACTTATTTTTTTAATACCTGTGAAATAGCGAGAAAAAAAAGGTCGAGCAAGCAAATATTAACATGAGCAGACATGTTTTTAAGAACGACCACAGAGAGAACCCCAATTCAAAATGGATGTAGAGGAATATCTGTGATTGGAAGGAACAACTTGAAAAGGTCGGTTATGAACGACAACTATACAGATCTGGACTTTCTACATATGGATACAACTCACATCCAACAAGCTTTGGCAGTTGTTCTGATTAAAAAAATAAAATGAGCCTCATTACTTTGACATGTAAGAAAGATTTGCTTGGTCATTTGTACCCTCCTGCATTGGTCGTCTTAACGTCTTCCTGACAGATTTTCTCTAAACAGAATCTGATTATTTTGTTGTTCCAAACGTATCAAGTCACTGGCAATACACCTCTGAACAAGGCGTGTCCTTAGGGTGACACGGTAAAAAGGGCAATGGCAAAGGCAACAAAGGATACCCTCATTGTGATTCTTGGAAGGAATACCCGTCCTACCACATACGACGCTATCAGATTCTTTACACCCACTTTGATACTCAAACCACAGCTGGTTTCATTGAAACTGAAACACGGCAAGTTGGGTGGAGTCGTTTTCCTTTTCGGGAGTAGAAGCCTAATGGGGCCCCAGACGTTTTTCTTCTCAGTCGGCATGCAGCCCGAGAGCCAGCACCATCGGGAGCCCGACGCCGAGGATCAGTGTGAGGCTCTCCAGGAGCCCCATGTGCTGCCGACGGTGGCCCTCGCTCACAGGCTGCGGCTGGAGGTCAGAGGGGGGGCGGCCCGTCCTGCCGCTGCTGACCTCGGGGAGAACGTGCACCGTGGCCACGTAGAGGAAGGTGCCGGCGGAGAAGAGCATTCCCACACCCGTCGCCCTGAGCTGGCTCTGGGATGAACTGCCAGACTGTGGACACAAACCCGTCAAAGTAAAAGTGCAAAAAAACAGCCGGAACTAGACGGCCGAGGCGTTCCTTCTTACCGCACGCAATATGAAGTAGGTTGTGACGGCAAGTATGGGTGCTGCTGCTGAAAAGGCGAGTAAATGTCCCTGAATGTACTTCTTCTCCAGGCCTGCGTGCATCAGAAAGGAGACCAAGCCAAAAGCTGCAGGCGCCTACAGGAGACACGTGGTCTCATTGTCACTTGCGTTACACGTTGTCTGGTACTCAGTCTATACGCCAATGCAATGTCCTGTCAGGGAAGCTCACCTTGTGTAGGATCACAGCGAGAAACACTATAACCTGCACTGTTACTTGATCCGTAGCCACAGCTGCTCCCACAGCAAACCCGTCAGCTGCACACACAGGAACAGGAAGAAAAAAGAAAGTTGTATTGATGGTTGTCAACAATCTGGACAAACATTACATAATACCGAGTGGACGAGTCTGGCGTGATATTTCTTCTTTGCCCAAGGCTGTTCTGTGTAAACTCAAACAGCAAAGGGATCACATGCTGAGTCACACAAGAAAAAGAACAACTTCAGCGCTTTGTGGCCCGGACGTCCTTGTTCTAGTAAAGTGGGTCCTCCACACGTACCTGCAGCATGGATGACCAGTCCCAACGTGGCCGTTATGCCCACGGTGTTGGGCATACGAGTTGTTCGGTCTGAAATGAGACATTAAATAAATAAATAAATGAATAAATAGAAAATATATGTCGTGGATACTCAGCAAAACGGAGACGCCAACTTGCCGCGCACGGAGAGGTAACTTCCGATCTGATCCACCACAAACATGAAGGTGAACCCGAACGTCAAAGCCCCTCCGATGAGAAACCGAGGTGGGAGCCCTTTCTCCTTGGAGCTGCTGCTATTATTATTTTTCTCACTGGCATTCAGACTGGAGGGCACATCAGAGGAAGATGCTGCAGAGAGAAGACAAAGGACGGGATGGAGCTTTTGATCAAATCAGCATGAAAGACAAACAGGTTGGAGAGCGGGTAGATTGCTGAAAGCCCACTTTCATCATCACTCATCTCAATGGGTGAGAAACTAGAGGCGGCAGGGGTTAAGTGTGATCCGTTGGCAAGGCAACCAAGAAAAAATAAATAAAAAGGAGGGTTGGAAGCGGTTCGCTCAAACAAATAATAATCTGGTGGCAAACTATGATTCCAACTGTATGTCTATGGACATTCTGTGCTTTTGCTATCTTTTTTTTTAATCCCTTTTCGTGTTTGTGCAAACCAATGACCTCTTCTTTGATCACTAAACAAACCCCTTAGCAGTGCAGGTACGTATGTGTTCCATTTTAAGCACACCTGGTCTAATGAAGCCCTTGATTAGTTTCACAAGATGTACTAAAGACAGGCGGTTGAATCATTTTAAAGGGTGATCCACTAAGTACTGAAGATGCTTGTCATTATTAACTGTTCTTTTTTGCATACAGCTGAAATATTGTACAATATGCTAGTAGGCCCAATACATAATTGATTGGATTGATTGATTGTAACTACCAATCTCCTCCCTTACCGACTTGGTTCTGTGCCACTGTCACACCGTTAAGTGTTCCTCTCGGGGCGAAACTTTGACCCCTTCTTCAACCAATGTCATTACAATGTGAAGTTGAAAAGGTGATTTCCAGCGAGCGCACGGAGACGTAAAAAAGTTAGAGGACGGCACATGCGTTTTCAGATCGTCATATTAAAAATGACATTAACATTAAGGATTAAAAGCATCAAATTAGTCGCTCATTTATTAATCAATTCTCTCATTTTGCTATTCACGCCGTTTTGACAAAAAACACCAAAACATGATTTAACATTACTCATTTTATGAGGAAAGAGCCTGAGAGACGTTCAAATCAGAGAATAAAACATAAAATACCCTCGATTGTAAATCCTATTTTTAAGGCAGGCTCTAGTCTGGGGGGGATGTTTTTTGGGGGGGGTGTTTGTGCACCCAGCTCACCTCTCCATGACTCCTCCAGTAAGCCCACTCCCTCGGGGATGGTGATGGCCAGTGCGGTCCCACACAGGAGTCCTGCCCCGAGGATGGAGACAAACAGGAGGCTCTTCTGAGGATCGACACGTGATTCCAGCTGATCAGTGGGGTTGTTTCCAAAGGGAGTTCATTCCCCGGACACAGCAGCCGGAGCGCATATTCTCATACGTCCATAAAAACAATATAGTTGTAGTTGCTTATTCATGAGAGCAGTAAATTAAAAAACTTTAAAAACTTACCTCAGAGAGTCTGAACAACAGTGGGATGAATCCAAGTACAAAACAACCCACAAACATCGCAACCGATATAAAAGTAATAGTCAACCCCCCGTCCATGGCGGCGGCTCCTTGTCTCACAAGTCGGGGATTTAATCTGACAATTAAATCAAATATTCATCCGTCCGTTCACGCGCGGTCGCAGGATTCCGCCCGTTGAAAACACCACCGTCCCTGACGAGCCATTCCCACCGCCCACGTCGCTGCTCCGCAGCAGCGCCCAGTGTCCGACACGGGGGACCGCAAGCCCCGCCCACCTCCACCTCCACCCCTCCGCTCTGATTATTTGACTAATTATTTGATTTTTTTACCTCTTCGGATCTCCGAATCAACAATACAGTATTTGAATATATGATGAAAGGTTTATCCAACATAATATAATTCAGATCACAACTAATTTCCGTACATGTGCAATAAGAACAGACCGCATGCATGGTGGATTGAGACAGCAGTTAAAAAAAACTTTTGACCCACAATGCTTTGCACAAAAAAAATGGAATCGTTGCTTACAGCTGAAAATAAAATAAAATTGACCGTTAACCATTAACTGTGGTGGTGAGACTTCAGGCTTTTTGTGAGGTTCCTGGGCAGTGACACGTGGAAGTCACGTCATGGTGTCAAATGCTGACTGACATACGTGTATCATTTTGTCAACATAAAAATGGTTTAAATGAGTTGTTTATTTTGCATTACACTAACAGAATATGCTGTACTAGTATGCAGATTTGAACAAAGCTGGTTTCAGAAGTCACGAGCCACTGTCATACAACTCGTTCTTGTGTTGCTGGACCTGCGTGTGACACCGTCGACCATTGCGTCCTGTTGCAGAGACCACAACATTTGATTGGTGTTGAAGGAAGCGCACACAGCTGGTTTGAGTTGTATTTATTGGATCAATCATGGTTTGTGTTGCTTGGATTGATTTTTTTTACCCTGTATTGGCTATTTTAGGCGATGTTATCAGAAAACACTGCATAAACTTCCATTGTTATGCAGACGATACGATTGAGTATCTATCGATCAAGCCGGACGAGACCGGCCAGCTTGTTAGACTTTAAGAATGTCTTGGGGACATCCAAACTCGGAGAACCTGCAACTTTCTTGTGGTAAACAGAGGTTATCCTGATGGGCCCGGAGCTATTAGCTGTCTGGCTTAGATGGAACTGCTCTGGTATCCAGTTGCACTGGACCAGGGTGGGTCCTTTAACTCTAAGATAAACCATACTTCAAGGTCTGCCTTTTTCTTTGATGGCGCTTCTAGTTAGGGCTGGACTACCAGGGGATTTCTTAGGACACACCACATGCCTCTTTCCTCCTGTAAGCATTCACATCTCATTAATGAACAGTACTAATTCAGCTTATTCCCTGGAGTTTTTGTTCTCTCGCCTCACAGGTTTCCATGGATCATGCTTATATCTGGACCATCATGTCATTATCTAAAAAAACTAAAACAAATTGAATAGAATACAAGACAAGTAATTCTGCAGCAGCCAAAGGAGTGTGTCGTAATAAATGTTCCATTGTCTTTGAGAGAGAAAGAAAAATGTATTAGTTAATGGGTTCAAGTGACTAAAAAGAAACGCTTGTCGTCAATGAACATGATTAAACACAGATTTATTGTTCAAAGAGCTGGGGCTGGGGATGAGGATACAATATATCTGTTGTACTGATGGCCCTTTTGGAAAAAATAATAAAATGACACGGTCAAATGCTGAGATCTTCTATAGTTACTCTTCCTATCTAGAAAAATGTAAAACTATAAAAAAGACTTAAGCACACAAACAATCACATTCTAGCTATGCACAGATTTGAGACAAATACATTTTACTACCCTTTCTGAGCACATTGTAGAAACAAGCGGAGAACTTATTTTAGAAAGTGCTTGGCTGTTTACAAAAACAATCTATACAGATCTTAAGATAAACTAAAATAAAATATCCATCATGAGCAGTTAGAAAAAGACTACTGGAAATCATTGCAACCATCAGACCGACAAATGTAGATCATGTTCTCAAAAGACTGGACACCAGTAAGATTTGTAAATAAATTATAAGCACAAAACATATTTTTTAGCTAGTGAACTGTCCTTTGAGGCTGTTTAAATACAGCAATCACGCCATTTCTATAGCAACTTACCAAAAAGATATGGAATGAACCTACATTCTGCGTTTAAACACGAGTTGTTAGACAACGTGAGACGTTTAAGTATCTCCCACTCAGAGATGGACCATGGGTGTTATTTTGACAGGATTTGTTCAGATATTCAAAGCAATCAGAGGAAAAAAAAAGAAAAGAAAAAGAAAATCACCCCATCATGACTAAAGAGCACCAGACTCAATGGCGTCAAACAATTCTCTTGTTAGTACCATAATAATGAACCCACACATGGTCGACTGTAGCCATGGATACATTATGGAGTTTAGGTTCACCATTGTCATCATTACATCCACAGGCGGCGTGCCCTTCTGTCAATCATACGAGTGCAAGGAAGATTAGTGCACATTTCATACAATAGTTCTCTGAGCAGCAGGATAATACATGAGCAATAATATGGCCCGAAAACATCACTGGTCCACAGCGATGGACTGTAGTGGTCATTTGTCTGCATCACTCGTCCACCAACAACCTTTTTTTTTTTTTATGTTCAACGGGGAAAATCATAGTGTCCTCCTGACCAAGGGAAAAATCAAATGACAGTAACATGAAGCTTGATCGATTCTGAATCAGGTCATTTCTGTGTGGGCACTTTGTGTCCCATCATGATTTTGTACTTTTATTCGTATTTTTTAAGTAAGTCTTTCTGTCTTAATACTCCTGGTACTTGAAAAGGAGCTGCTCATATGACAGAGGCAGCTCGATGAATTATTGTACAATACTATTGCTCCGTCTTACAGGTGGATTTGCACAATTATGGGGGTAAATTTAATTACTTCATAACAAGTCAAGAACGAACATAATTCATTTATATTCCATTTTTGATTTAAATGACAAGGGCATAGAAATATGTAATATTCAGTAGCCTAAACTTAAGGTTCCAAGTAGATGTGGACGTCCTCCACTGGAGTAACTCTCTCAAGTGGTCTTGCCTATCGGATCCGTTATCACCAATATTGCACAATTTGAGTCAGACAATCTGCAACTTGAGTAATGTCAAATGGGAATCCGTTGCAATGCTCGATGACCATCAGAGCAGATCGCTACATGACGAGAATGGAAGGGACCCGGAAAGAGTCTCAAAACTATCCGTAGCCATCGACCCGAATGCCAAATTTCAAAATCTCTACATAATGACGTAAACATAACAAAGATACGAACCAAGGAAAACAGATAAAGAGAACCCGTCACATGAGCATCACATGAAGCTGACCCAGAACCCCCCCCCGCCCAAGAAGCCTTTCCCTCTAGCCTTTGAGCAGCACTGAAGGACCAGCAGGCTCCGGGCCTCCGATCCTCCTGCACCAGTTGTACAAGAACGTCCCCTACTGGGGGACGCATCACTAGCAGCAGTCCAACAGCAGTCTCTTCCCCCCCTCCCCCTCCACCCCCAGAGGCTCAGAGACCGAACGGCTAAAAGATCATATTCAATGTAGTGCGCCGAGGTACGAATTCCACGCGGATGCATCAAGCTTGATGGCTTTTAAAATTCAAAGCCTACAAATAAATAGCATGCCATAATATGTCAAAAGAGGCTATTTTTGAGATCCACAGTTTTGTAGCTGTACAGTGTCTAGGAGTGTTCGTGACAGCGGGGAATAAAAAAAGGCTTTTATGGAACTGGAAGAACAGTTTTGAGATCACATCTGCACAGACCAAGCAGACAACTCCTCTCTTGGTCTCCGCTGCTTATTTAGGGGAAGCATTTAGTGCAGAAATAATACAAAGGATTATTAAAAAAAAAAAAAAAAACTCCACCATTTGAACTTGTAGGCATGCTGTACTATCGTACGCTAGTGAAAAATGGAGCTTATGGGACAGGTCCTCTCTTTCAAGGGCAACAACGTTTAAAGGACATACAGACAGAATATCACTTCCCCTACAAAACAAGGCAAGCTATTCTTCATTGTGCATTAGTGTCTTTCTCATTTCGGTCCATGTGCGTTTTTTTGGGGTGTGCCTCAGCTATATTGGGGCAGAAGGATGTTGCTGGCCTTGCATTGTTAGAGTAGATTCCCTCTGCAGGTGTATAGCCAGAGTATGTGGTGAGATCCAGTGAAGAAAATGCAGGAGTCCTTGAGCGACTATCCATCCAATCCTTAACAGACTGTGCTTATGTTAGTGTCAAGTCCCTCCATTGAGGTTGAGATGCTTTGGAGAACTGTTGGTTCAGTTCCTAGTTAAATTCACATATTCAGTGCACTCCTCAAGTGAAACCAGGGAGATCAGTGTCGAACCTCATTATCAATGAGGCTGTCCTCCCCAGACTGGAAGTCCTCATTCAGGCCATTTTCCACGTTGATTATTTCCTCGTCCTGCGAGGAAACCTGTCCATCGTCCTCGCCGCTACCTGAACCAGCCTCCTCTAAATTTGGGTCCTGAAGTACCTGAGCAATGTACATTTGCTGTAGGGGAGACAATAAAATCAGATAGAATGTTAAAGTTTGATACCCATTTTAGAATCATGATAAGTTCCGCTCAAAGCAAAAAGGTTTATTCAATTAACGTTTTTGCAGGATTAGATTAATTTGTGATTATCTATTTAAATTAGACATTTTTACACAAACTACACCAACGCTGTTGACACAATTAACAGCAAACAAAAATTAGATATTTAATGCCAATGTTTGATATTGAGGCTCATATTTTTTATAACAGAAACATGGCTGAATACATACCGCTGCCTTGTTGGCGGCAGTAGCACACACTGGACGCCCGTTCTCCAAGCCGTCCACCGCCTGGGTGTCAATCTAGAACAGAAAAGATGCATTTAACACAAGCAGCTGAATGTGGTTTATTTGGTCACGGATTCTAGGAAACGTAAGATTAATAATATGAATACGAGGACGTCAATATTGTTACCTTGTAGTTGTGAGCACTTAGATACTTAAAGTGTCCGAAGCAGACGTGAGACAGGCAGATGATGATTGTGATGATCAAAACTACGAACGTGAACATGGACGTGGCAGCTGAAAACCCTGCGGGAGAGAAAATGGAGGGACTCTTGTTTATTAGGAGCTTGTGCTTCACGATAAAGCGGCAGAAGCCGTAAATGAATGTGGGGCCGCGTTAGGACGCAAGTGGCCTGTAGGTGGAGTCCTCGTCTTACCGGAGCGAACGGTGGAGAAGAACAGGAGCCAAAAGAGGCAGAGAATCGGAGCTGCCACCACTTGGTTGACCGCTCCAGAGTGGATCTTCTTGTCCAGTTTGGATGGCAGATAGGCGTAGTACATGTTGTACCGGTCCGCGAGGTGTTTGAGCAGCATGTACATCAGCCCTGCGCAGAGGAAAGGTAGACAAAACGGTTAGCAGAACTAATCCAATTAGACCTGCTGATAAGCTTCTGCACAGCGAACAGAGCCACTGAATGCTGCCTGCCCTCTCTTTGGTAATTCAATAAGCACACTATCTTGTTCAATGACCCGCCCCACCCTGGGGGAATACATGGCAGCACTCACCAAAAGGGACAATGATTGGGCAGGTGATGCTGTAGGTCATTACCACGGTGAACACACACATCATCCAGGCATAAGCTGCGCCGAACTGGAACTCAAAGGCTTGGTGCTGTGAAGATACAGTTACAGGATATTAATGAAAACCCCAAATGCTTCGGAATCTTCATTTCAATACCCATCACATGAAGTTGATTTAAGATCAAGCCAGTCATGGTTTATTTGATCTTTAGGTTCATAATTAGTAACAATGAATTGCTGTTTTAGAGATCAGTTATAACAAGAAGAATTTGTTCCAAGACTTAAGGACTTAATGGGACCCATTAATGATGTAAACTTGGCAAGCAGGGGACACACTAACCCTCTTGACGTTCCTCCTCTCTGCTGCAGAGCGGGCCAAGCAGAGGCGGATCATGTACATTAGCAGGCCGGGGATCCTCAGCAGGTCCATGGCGTTACCAATGAATGCAGACGCAATGACATAGTTCACGAAGAAGGCTCCATTGTCAGGAAGAAACACGCACCTAAAGAGCAAAGAAACCGTCAGTGTCACTCAACACTCACGCATCAACACTCACATTGAAGTTTGAAAAAGGATTAAAGCGTACACCAATTTTATTGTGCGTTTCAACCACATTGCATTTCATTCCGTTGGGAGAGCTACACAGTTATACGTAAACGTCAGTAAAACCGCCATACTCACTCAAATCTCACTTTGGCATCAGCCAAGAATCTTCGGTCAAAAAGCCAGCGGAAGAAAACATCCAAACTGCAAAGATACAAGGAAAGGATCAGCTCAAATATTTAGGCTACCAAAAATAATAATATCCAGATCATTCCATACCTGCTGAGTCCAAGGGAAGGCAGCAACAGGACCATAAAGATCAAGAAAGTGTAGCATTTATGCATTGTGGTCCTGTTCTCTCCTGAACTGTGAGGACAGTGGAAAAATATTTACACACTCACACTCAAGAGCTGGAATGTAAATAAAAAAACAAATTGACTGATGCATAATTGTTGACTGCAGAAAGTGTGAACCGTACCGGGTCCAATGGGCTTCAAAGAAGGCCGAATAGTAGACAATGGTAGGCAGTAAGGCGGAGAAGGACCACAGAAGGAGGGTGGGGAAGAACTGGGTGACGATTGGATTCTGCAGGACGGATCAGATAGACACGGACACGTTGGGTCAATAACTGAGTGGTGAATTCCTGTGCATCCACAACAGCAGGCAGGGTCGTAAAGAACATCGATGAGGACGCCTCGAATGGCCACAGGAAAAAGGTAAGCAAACATAAACACTCACATTAAGGTACTCGACTGGTTTGGTAACATTGAACTTGTCCATTGTGGAGATGATGATGGCCGGGGTGGTGAGGAAGAAGAGCAGGAGGAAGAGGACAAGGTTGATGATGAAGCAGCGGATCCACCAGGGGAATCCTCCCACTGACAGGTGCTCCCTGTGGGATGAAGGTCATGTAGCGGTTAAATTCACACTGGCAGATGACCCGCAGCTATGGACACAGCTGGCCAGTAAACTGATACGGCTGCTCTGAAAAAACAGTCTTAAGTAGAGCTACAGAGTCAAAATCTTCCAAATTCTTCCTCAGCATTATTTAATTAACTGGGTGCTTTTGGAAAATCCCCTTTGGGTCTTTGCGTCAAGTACTGTTATTTTGCAAAGACGTATCTGCCCAATTCGGCCCATTTGTGACACAAAGAGTGACCGGAGTGTGTTCTTACCAGTACACATTTTGCGGATCAGGGGCGTAGCTGACAGTCCAGTTGTGTGTGTGGAGCTTGGCGTTGAATGGAGAGCTTTTGGGTTCCCGGCGACACTGACAGCCTTGACACTTGCAAGCGTTAAAGTCTTTTAGGATTCTGATGAGAAAAATTAAAAGATATTTAAAATCATGTGTGAATTGTCACAGATAGGGTTTCACATATTCTACCACATGGAAATGTGCTTACGTGGCAGTTATGGATTCATTCTGGAAGGTGACGAAGGCCATTCCCAAGGGTTTCCTGTTAACCTTCTCTCTCTCCTTCCTGTAGTCATCCTTTAGCTGGGTCTCCAGCTTGGTATAGTAGCCCACGGCCTCTTCCTGTGGAGGACAAGGGAAGCAAAGTCAAAGTCTGGGATTTTTTATGATCTAAACTGCAGTTAGTAAATCACTTAATACACAAGGTCAAGATTGTGATTATTATGTAAATCATACAACATACACTACAGCTTTTGAAGGCACTGAGGATACAATTATTATTTTGAGTACATTTGATCCATTTTGGTGTTTGGCGATTTTCAACTATTTTCAGTGTCTACCTGAAATTTTTTAATGTTTTGTCAGTACTACAAAATTGATCGCAATGTTAAAGTACAGCCATTTTTGTAAAAGTGAGCACAAGGAGCTTTGTAACTAAAACCCCCAAAGGCTAAATTATGTTCAGGTGAGGTGAACTAATGCTGTGGTATTATATGGTTTGGTGTCTTCTCTGGGAGCAGGTAGCATAGCTTATCTGATTACCAACATATTGATTCAGTATCTAATTAGACTGTAAAAAGAGGTTGATGTCTACTTTATCTCGCCCTCAAAATGCTGTAAGCGTGAGTTTGTAAATACAATTCAGGAGTGTGTCCGACCTGCTCGCAGCCTTTGATGATGCAACAGCAAAGGTGTCCGCAGGGTTTTGGATTGATCATGGTGGGAATATGCTCCTTTTCCACCAAGTCAAGGAAGAATTTCTTGCTCCGCTCGGTCTTCTTCCTGCACGCAAAACGTCAGCTGTGTCAGACTACTTCACTGAAACAAGCCCAGGTCCTGGAGCCAATGAGGCCCATCACAGCTACATCTCTAAAATGCTAGGAAAGGGCAAACTTACACTCACGCAGGTATCAATAAAACATACCTTTCCGAGTTGAGGTACATCAGCCGGGCCACATTGTAGCATATACGCGCTTCCAGTACGACACAGTTCTCATACGCCAGCCTATGAGAGAAGAGCAGGGAGGGAGACAGTCAAAGGCCGTACACATGTTAACAGCATGTGCAACAACAAAGTGGATGCACAGTAGTTGACGTAGCTCTAACACGTTAAATTAACATTGGTAAGTCCCCAAAAATATATTAGCGCAACAGCAATTAACGTAAAAAGGACTTTCTTCTTTTCTTTGGAAGTCAATTTTGCGGTGTAGGGGCAAAGATAACAACATTAGGCAGTAGGACTTGAGCCAAACACCCCATCCTCAGTCTTCAACCAGCTGACACATGACTTGCATGCTGCTCATCTGGCGTCTATTATGGACAATTACACATATAGGCCCGTCATTGTGTGATCCCAGCCATATGGGCCAGCACAAGACTGCTGCTTTTAACAGGAAAAGGCACGGCTGTTATACACTTTAATATAGTTACTGCACAGCTTTCTGCAGGGTGGACAGAGCAGTGCACTGTACCACCTTTGGAGGTTGGACTTAAAGCATTCTGAGATCATAACAGTGGAGCCTTACTGAAAGTGTTGCTTTATCTCTGACTCCTCTGCATATTTGGAGATTCCATTGACAAATAAAGTGCGTTTCACCTGCATGGAAATGGAGACAAGGAAGTAATTAGCGACACAATCCAGAACGGTGTGTGTTCAGGGAGTGTATAAAAACAGCCATTTAGTGAAGCCGTGCCACCCACCAGGTCATCCTCCTTGTAGTGCATCTTGGAGGTGTGCCGTCGCATGCTGTACACCGTAAGTAACAGGTAGAGAAAAGCAAAGATGGTGTGCAGCCAAAGTAGTGCATTACTGAGGAAATAAGATTTTGTGACAGCATTAGACAGTGAAGACTGAGGCTTCAAAGTACAGTGCATAATAAAAGAGTAAAATAATTACTCACTCTGCATTCAAATTTGCTATCGTAGTTCGCCCAAAACTATAGGCATTGTTTTCTGAGGAAAAAAAGAAAAGAAACAAGAAAATCACTCATCAGCCACAACTTGTCGGGTTCTGCTGCCCACCTGCAGCTCCAACTGCTCCATAGTCCAAAGAGAAACGGTCAGGGTGGCCAACAAATAAAGTGTAGTTGCAAGAAGTTTGAAGGACCATAAAAGTTCAAACTTGACAGCCCCGAGGCTCCAATAACAACCACTTACGGATAAAGTGGCATATTTCTCTAAATCAACATATTTACCTGATGTGTTCTCATTTGTTTCTTATTCTTAAAAAAATTGTGATTGTTTGGACCTACCAGCTGAATAAGTTTGCAAAGCTTTGCATACTTTAATTTATGAGAAGGACGTTTTCGTGAAAATCCAAACGACAGGAGAGAGCCGCCGTGTTGAACTTTGACAGCAAAACATTATACTAGTAATTTCAGAATTTCTCAAAAGGCTCGCCTGGATGTAAATTAAAATCACCAACTCACCAAGTAGGTTTCCCGAGAAGTTAACAGGCAAGATGATGCCCACAGACAGGACGCCGACCACGACCAGCAGGCCAATGATGTGGCGCTGAAAGGACAAGTAATGCACGGCATCCTCGCCACACTTCTCCCTTATCTCTTCATCCCTGTGGAGAGATTACATTAACAACGTCAACTGCAAATGAAAGCAAAACAATTAAAAACGTGTTGAACCAGTATTTTGCAAATGCGTTGTAATTGTCCTATACGTGACTAGTAGGGTGACTCACTTGATGCGAAAAATGGCAGTTAGCCAGGAGCAGAAGCCCTAAAAAGAAAAAGAACACAAAAAATAATTTAAAAAAAAAAGAGTAGAGCAGAGCACTTAAGGTGTAATAATTAAAACATGAAACATACACTTAACCCTGTAAGAAAAACGGCACACTTACTGTGTCTCTCTGTTCGAAGTCCACAGAGCTGGACACTGAAGTGAGGCGCTCGTAGCGCTCAGTTATGTCTGATGTCATGCCAGAGGGACCGCTGTAGGGAGAAAACACAACACAGAGCCTGAGCATGATGTCACACATCTACCCAACATCCCCACCTACTACACAGGGATGTTGGGTCTTTGTGTCTCTGCAACGTGGGATTACCCTCAGTATTGAAAAGTTGACATCACAAAACACACAAACAGACTAACACAAGCTCTGAAATGGACTGAAGAGATTCTCCCCTGTTAATTCCGACTGGGGTCAGTTAAAGTCAACAACCGGAAGAATCTCTGCAGACGCATTTCATGCGGCTTTAGGAGCCTACACACAGGTTGAGAGCACCACCGCTGACAGAGGACAGGTTGTGATAAAAAGGTTAGTAGGCCAAGCTCTACAGAAAAGAATCTTCACAGAGGAAACTGAAACCCCAGGAATTATAAAGAGGCAGATGTGAGGAGTCCAGCAGAGCCTCAGGTTGTCCTGGACATGACACAGCATCAACACTCTATTAGATCCTGTATGTAGGTCATGTCAACGTAAGAATTAATGGAAAATATGAGGGGGACCCGGGCTATGCTGGAATTCCACCAGCTGTTCAGTGTCCGATACTACAGGAAAGGATGACACAGATATCTCTGAGGAATGAGGAGCGAGCCTGCGGCTGTAATCCACCACCGGCCCTCCTCGAGCACATTCCTTTGACAAGTCAGAATGGCAACTCTTAGCTCTAGTAGACAGGATGTACTGCAACTGCACCCGGTTAGGGCCTGTACACGGACAACCACGGGGAAGCGTTACCTCTCGCCGTGAGCATCCTGCCCGGGCAGCTCGTGAGGTGCGCTCAGAGCTGAGAAGTCCGCGCTTCATAAAAAGAGGTCAATACATAGATTAGCACACACAGATCTGATTAGGACAGCGAGAGAGGATAGGCGCGCACACACGGCTGCGGAAAGACGAGAGTGACATGGAGGGGGAGAATAATTAGGAGCATGGCACTGGGGAAACGCCTGGAAGGAGGAGGGGAAAAAAACACTAAACCACCAAAAGTGAAAAAGAGGCAGAAACCCAGGGCGGCCGGGGCAGAGTGGACGAGAGTTATGAGTTCACTACACAGTCGGAAAAGGAGAGAAGATAATAAAAAAAAGGCAAGGAGCCGATGTGATGTAGAGATAACATACTATTCCCGATCATCCAGGCGACTGTAATGTTGATCCATTCTTCTGGTGAACAGAGAAGCAAAACAAAGCCATTCAGCAAATTGAGAGGAAACGGCCCTGTTGGCCGAGTAAGGGCGCTGGTTTCAGAGAAGAACTGGGAAGGCCCTTCACACCACAGGCATACCAATGAAGGTTTCCATTTATCCTAGTATACATTACACATCCATTTAAGTGCATCTACGGCTAATGGTATAATAACCCTTTCATGACAGTCACGGCGTATATAGCTGGAGCAGAAGAAACATGTCTTTGAACGATTCCTTTTTTGGATGAGAATCTAAGAGACGTTGAAGTCAGCGCAGTGTCATGAGAGAACAAACTACATTTCCTCACAAAAGTCTCCCAGGCGCCAACCCCCCTCGTCCCACCACGCTGCATCCCCGTTCTCTGCTCGCATGCAGCTGCAAAAATAGTGAAGCTGCGACATCACACAGACACAGCAGGGGGATGTAGGTAATGGAGCACGGCGTCTTCAAGGGTGCAGTCAAAGGCGACTTTATCACTCCTCAGTTTAGAAAAGGAGCAGTGCTCTTGGCTCAAACTACGTCAATCCATTTGGAAGAAGATTCTGGCCTTTCTACAGTACACACGTTTCTCATTCGATGAAAAGGCGTCTAAACTTTTGACTGGGACTGTATGTCAAAGTGAACAAAGAAGTGACTGAGCACGACATTGTGAGCAACTGTATGTTTGCCCTTACAAAAGAGGAAACTGCCGACACCGACTTCCCGTATGGAGAACCATCCTTGTGATGCCTGCTTCTGTCAGAAGTCAACCCGATTGCCAATGACCGATACGACTTCTCTCTGGCAGATTATCCACTATTGGTCAGCAGCCACAGTTTGTTAGCAGCCTCCCTTCTCAGACACGTGCACTTCCTGACTTGCTTGCGCTCACTCTACAGAAAGTCCTGTCTAAACCTGGGCAAGAATGCTTTTATTTCTCCTACAACTGTGACATCACACAAGGATCAGTTATCAAGATAATGAGGCGTGTTTTTACAAGAATTATCTTGAAAGATAATTTATTTTATTCCAGTACATGTGGGAAACCACTCGGGCATTTTCTCACAAAAAATATTCTATGAATTATTTTTTCCTCACAAAAAATATTTTGTAATGTGAACTTAACATATATAATTTAAACCTGTTGATATATCACAGGATGTTTGCTTGATGTCATTGTTTTTCATGACCCCCAAAAAGTACTGGACCTTTCAGTTTGCGTCAATGTTTTCCAATTACCTGTCGGCGTCGTTCACCAGAGCGAGGCGTCCATAGTCCCATGCTACTTTTCTCAAGAAAGAGAAGACAACCAGCAGCCCCTAGAAGTACACAAGAAACAGATGCCGTCAACCCCTCCAGACACAATTTAGAACGCTGAGAAGAGTAAAAAAAACGTCTTAAAAAGGCGCTTATCAGTTAAAAACACTTGACAGAAAGGACTCACCAGGAAACACATGAAGTCAAGGGCGAGAACAGTAGGAACCCCCCCAAAGGGCAAACCCTGGAGCACTGTACTGCGAATTCGAGCCGAGTAACAGAAGTCCTTTGAGGTGATGTTGGGCGGCGGTGGCGGGCAGCTCTCTGAATTGGAGCATCCTTGCGCCCCCCAGATGGCCATTGTTATTATCAGCACTCGGTGCATCACTCACTGTAACATGTTGACAGCCTGTAAGGAAAAGGGGAAAAAAGTCTTAGAACACACAGCATGCACGTTATTACGGTTGCATTGTCGCACACTATGAGTCGATCATGGAGAAAAATTTGGGAGAAGTAACCTCCAGCGGTACGTCCACAGTCCCCAATAGTCACATGCTGCTTCTTTTCACCACATGCATGACAACACAAACCCTTTCTGTTCCTTGTTGGTCACCTGGGTGTTTTGGTAAAAAGCACCAACCAGTCCACAGAGATAAACACTGCCACGGCATTGGTTGGAATACTAAATGCAGTCTCCTTTTGCATCCCATTTAGTTCAACCCCTGGACAAACAGCTGGGTATTTAGCTTGTAGGATTCAGCCCTTCTGTACATCATCATTTAGCAGATGATCATGTTGCCTGAACTTGTTTGACAAGATGGTGCAGCGTACCGGCACGTCTCGGGCTTCCATCAGAACGGTGACTCAACCCTGCAGTCTGTTTGGGTTGGTGGATCAAACTAATGTGCCAAAAGCGGCTAAAATGTTGGAGGACACCCTTCGTATTACACTGAGTCACAGGTTAGCGGTGTGTATCTACCGCTAATGCGAGTCGGGCTCTAGAGATGTGGCCGGTTACTTTCCACTGTTCCTTCCAGTCTCTGAGGAGTTTCAGTGAGACACAACAAGCAGTCAACCTCAGGAGGAGCCTCAAGTATCCTGGCGGAAAACACTGGCAGAGCATGAATAGTGTATGAGGAGTAAGATGTCCTAATAGAAATGTATCAATAGTACATCCTGAACCCAACACTTAAGCGGGAGAAGAGGACTCCTTTCAGACTGTTGTAAAAGAATCAGAGTAACAGTATTTCCTGATGGTCCTCTCTCCTGCTCCGACACAAAGCAAGTGTGATACACTGACGCCTGGTCAGAAAATTGACTAAGTTGCCATTTCAACTCCTGTGCAAATACGAGGGCAGCGGTTGCTTTGATGAAAGCCTGACCATTCAATCATCACCTGTAACCACATACGCGGCTGGAAAAACCCATTGACAGAAAAAAACACTGAGGTACCTTCTCCATCCTTTGAAAATGGACCCGATCTAAGGCCCATCACAGTTGAAAAGGGATTCATATTGCTCCCACTGAATGGACCTTTGCATGTAGGTGTTGTGGTGAGTGGCGCAGAGTGGGTTTGCACTGTTGCACTGCTATTCTTGTGCTCTTCGACCCACTATTGCCGGCAACATTCATGATGCTGCTCATCTGCCCTAACACTAACTCATTTATCCGCTCCCTGGAATGCTGTGACATCACTGGAGAGGGACGCGGCCAGAGCTGAACAATAAGCCGATAGAGACCGCAGGGTTCAAATGGACCGGTCTCAACCCAAGGAGGACACAACATACCCCCCTGTGCTTTCAGCAACACTGCTGCACATCTCGGACCCATTGCCACGGTTCGGACCGTTTAACATTCAACACGACATCTACAAAAGCACTTGATCACATTACAAGAGCGCCTTATTATTAATTCATTCACAAAATCAGTGCACCTCATCGCTGGAAGGCCAAGTAGTGTTCAGTGTTGGTGTATAAATATAATATTCAACCATAAACACCTGGTAAGGAGCTGTGAGGCACATAGCATGTGCAGCATATCTTGTCAGTGTGGTGAAAATGACTTGTAGAGATTTTATTTATTAACCCAATATTGAAATTAAAAGTCTGTGAAAGCCGCAGGAATCCAAGAGTTGAGCCATTATGTCGTTAGATAACTAAACCGGAAAGGCAATAAGAAAAGAACAAATGTCAATGTTGAAAACTACAGAGGTTATATATGTAATCATTCTCAAGCCTTTAATTGCGTGCTTCTACAGATAGATCCTGGTGTGGGTGCCATTCCATTTTAGTAAGTTCCATTTAGTGTTTAATAGGTATTTGCAATATGACGGTTACGGTTTTCTTTGACAACTTAGAAGAGCACGCATTGTGAAAAATAGGAACTAAGATGCAAAATAACCTGACAAAAAAAAGTCTCCTCAATTTGATTGATTGGGAATATTGGTTGGATGAGAACAGACCGTGTGACTGACTTAAAAGATGAGCTTTGTGCTTTTTAAATAAAGTTTCTTTCAATATAGCATTTGTGTCTGCCAGGTCCTGATCCGTTTTTCAAACTTGTGTTTGTGGCCATTTGTTTCTACTTAAAATGTCTTTCTTGTAAAAAGACAAACGTGTTTTTAACTGAATGATGCATTCGGACAACTGCTTAAATTTGTAGTCATTTTTTGTTCTGGCTAAAAATGCAATATCACAGTGATTATGAATGCTAATCAACGTTTAAAGGCTTTAGCTACAACTTAAATATTAAAGTTGGGAGGCATGAAATATGAATCCAATTTTCCAGGGATAATTAAGGCCTGATAAAACATGGGGGGGGGGGGTATAGTTTTTGAATATAGCCTTTCCTACCTGCTAACTTTGCTAAATTATTCTATGACTATAAACGCAAATAGATGTAACAGCCAATATTGCAAACTAGTTTTTAACTGGAGCTCATTTAGATCCTATAACAAGTCAATGTCTAGAAGCCTTTCTAACAGCACCGTGGGCGCGTGACTCAGCAGCAGAGAAACACGGTGCCACCTTTCCACCTGATGCTAGTTGCTATGGCACCATCAGTCTGGCACACATTCTCCAAATACAAATAAACATCAAAGAGACGGAGGCAGCGGGGGAGAATGACCATTCTTGTTGATTTGAAACTCCATCTACGGGGAGTCTGCTTTATAGCTTAAGCAAGAAAAACAAACCGGTATGCCTAATTGTCAGGAATAATTAATGTGTTTTTATCGAGTTGGACAAACAATATCAGAGGCAAACATCTACAAAGAGAAGCGAAAAAGAAAATACAATGGCTCATTCAAGCCCATGCAGGCCGCTGTGTGTCCATGTCATGCTGATAATGCAGATGCAAACGTTTTAAGTGCAAGTGTCCCTACCTCCATATTTAGCCATGGAGAAATTAGCCTCTGAAACTGCACAACACAGATGCTTTCTCCTTTAAACGTCCCGCTCTGTTACATTCACATTTTCTTAAAAAAAGTTTACCTGTTGTGAAATAGCGATATGTTAGTCAGAGAGGTGGTGCGAGTCCTGTTATCAAGTTCAAACTAGCAACTGCAAACATATTCATGACCGTGTCCAGCTAAGTACAGCCTTTGTTCAATGCTTTAAAAAAATGGGTTATGAATGATGTCAGCTGTAACTTGATGGTCTACCTTGCTTTCCCCACTAACTAAAAACATTTAAAACAAGACGGGGACTCACTGGGGGCCAACGGGAAGTTTTATCGGTTTTATTCCAACCTTTAGTGCAAAATGTTATCTGTGATTATGTGAGTAACCAGTTAAATAAAAATAAATAAACACTGCCTTGAAGAAGAACGATACAAGCCACATTAAATAATGTTACCATTCCACTGAAAACAAAAGGTGTTCCATTGCAGTTCCAACAAAAAAAAACCTCTGGCAGACAGAAATACTGTTTGTTCAGTACAATCACCTTGTGAAACCTTTGACCGAGATGTCATAGATTCTTTTCACAACAAAGTCTAAATACTTTATCTTCATAACCCCACTCTCAATAAATGTGTCCCACCAAGTCTCCATTATCACATTTTAAAAGGTTGGTGATAAGTGTATTAGCAAATAGAAAAATAACCAAGAATAGGTGGACACTGTGTCAACGAAGTTGTTGAAATATAATATATATTGCTGTTAAAATAAGAGTCTTTTTCATTGTGTTAAGTTCCAAACTTGCCTAATTGGTGTCTTTTCTCAGGCAATGCTAACGGGCTGATAATGCACATTAGCACACATTAGCCTTGTTGGTTTTATCCTGTAAATCATTGACGAGTGCTCAGTGTCTGAGCTTTGATCACCGATCATGACGATAAAGTTCCCTAATCACGTCACAGGAAGAAAGACCACACACAAACTCACTAAAGAAATGGAGGAATTAGGAAAAGGGTTCAATGTTGGAGTGGTTTTCCCTGCTCACATAGATGTATGTGTATATAATCAGTATTCGTAATAAAAAGGTATTATAAATTCAACATGAGAACTAGAGAAAATATCATACCAAAATGTTTTGGACGACAAATCATGGCTGACACTTTATCATATTAGACCATTACTCTAAAAGAGAGCACAAGTGCAATTGTCATCTATGAGTCACACAAAATGAGTAAAACTGCTGTATGAATGTAATAAATTACAATTGGCTCTCTTTGTAAAAGGAATTTTACTACTGAAACGACCATCTTTTGATCGTAGAAGGGGAAAAAAACCCGTAATCCAACTCAAATTCCAGCAAGGGAAAAAATGGACTTCACTGGAGTCAAACTAGTGTAGTTTGTAAGTATTGTATGAGATCTATGATGAGCTGAAGTGTGTCAGGCTGATGCTGCCATTTGCCAGAGAACCAGCGCGAAGCTGCTGGACATCACGTGTCCCGCTGGTGTCCATCGCTTCGCAGCCCGACAACACACCAACTGTCACCGGGCCACGAGTCCAGCAGACCACCTTGAGACCGATCTAAAAAAGGTGTGTCAAAACACGCCGGCGTGAATCCTACGGCTAAGTGAGCGGTTATTTAAAATAGAATAAAAAACAAACATGAATTGTCAAATACCTCATCAAGTTGATTGATCCAAACAGCAAAGAGAATATATAGAATATATAAAGAACATTCTGATAGATCAATTTCCCTTCGTAGAATGGGAACAGTGCGGAAAACAACACCAAAGTGCCTCATGAGGACACGGAGGCGAACTTCAGTCCGGCGCCGGAGCCTCGAGTGTCGCAACCCATAAAACAGCAATGAATGTCACAGTGCGCGTCCCCCCGTAACCAGCGTTGGATCCCTCGCGTTAACCCGAGTTAACGCTGCTTGGCGAGTAGCCGTGCTGTTGCCTTGGCTACACGGCAGTTGATTTGTTGGCCTAACGGGACGGGTTTAGTCGCGTGAGGTTCTGACAGTAAGTTATTAAGTTTGCTAACGGGTTAGCTGCTGCGAACGTAGAGGACGATCAAGCGCATTTCCCTTGGAAAACAGATGAACTCAGCTTAATGTTAAATAAGGATACAACTTACCTTGCTATGATACGCAGCAGGGGTGAGGGGAGGTAACGCTATTAGCTCGTATGAGCTAATGGTCCGCCGTAGCGTTTTGACGTTAGCTAACCGCTCGATGTAGCAAATAACAGGTGGAGGCTCTCTAACGTGTGTAAGTAAAAAAAACTAACGACCGCCGGCCAGTTCCTGCATCAAAGTGGGTTTACGCCGACCTTCCTGGTAACAACCGCGGGGGCTTACTAAACGAAACCAGCCAGTCGGACGGTGTAGTTGTTGGTAATCATAGACGAGTATCAGCTGCTGCGGTTGTGTACGCTGCAAGTCTGTCAGCCAGAGGAACAACTAACGCTAACCCAACCAGTCAGACGGGAGTCAAAGCCACTCCGGTTTAGAGCGTGACGTAAATAAAGTAGATCACATAGAGAGACGACACATCTTTATCCGTATACGCCATTGCCGTAATGCCTTCGTCGTGTAGCTTCTACGGGTGTGCATTTCTAGATTTTACAGGCGCGTTTATATGACGTAAAGAAAAGTAGGGAACAACAAGCTAATGGGGGCGGTAGCTACATTTACGGTATGCACAATACTCTTTTTTTGTTTTGCATGTACAAACGTTTGACATTCAACAACATTTAGCAAATCAAAGTACGACCTCTCAATTTTAAGAAAGGAGTATTTATTTGTAATTTGTGAATCCATTCTAGGTTTTTTCAGCCAGCTCGGCTAAAGGGTAAATGTTAATGACGCACTGCTTATGACATTGGTATGGAGCGTGATTAAAGGGTATAACAAGATAGCTGTTTTAAACTAAACCGAGAACCTTTTGAATAAATACTCCTGGATGTATGCATTCGGGAGAAACACAATAAACTAAATGATTCTGCTGCATTATTCGAACTGAATGATGCCACGTGATTGTTCGCTAATGCTAGCCATGTATGTAACGTTAGCAAACCTGTAGTTTATTAGCTTGTAACCATATAATCTCTATCCAGCAGGCATATTTCTCGCTGTAATCATGGCTCTCCACCTGCTTTCAAGATCTCTTCCTGGGCTCATTGTAGAGTCATCGTCAATGATTCAGCAAAATACTTTTAGGTAAGTCATTTTTAATCTTACTGCCCTTAATACTTTTGACAGCTGTGTGTTCTGATTATCTCTACACATTTTATTTATATCTTTAAACCTAGGCAGATCAATTAAAACAACGTATTGACACAGTGATTACTAAAGCCGTCACATTCTTTGGCAGAAATGTGTGTGTGTTTATTGTGACGTAAAACTGATGGTTGACCTTCATTCTGCAAAACCTATGAGCAGAGTTACTAGATGTCTGTTTTTATGTTCTATATCGGCCCTATTATTGCTTATTTATTTGTCTGGAAGCTAATTGTGTTCCAATATGGAACAAACAAATGTGATGCGCAAATCCGAAGCCTCCAATGCACTTACACTAAGAATCAACTTGACATCTTGAGTCCAATATATAATGGCAATATATATCCGACTTACTCCATGGAGGAGGACTTAATGTTTCTATAATAATTGATACCACACATTACATATTCATGCATTTCTTCTGGTTAGATTGTCTAGCTGTGGCCCAAAAGCAAATTATTTATATAACAAAACAGGGTGACCATGATGCATCATATATTTATTGAACTTTATAGGACGTTACTGTTTATCAAACAGTCTTTTATGTTCCTCTTAAGAAGCAACTTTTTCGATCGAAGGGACATTTTTGCTTCACTTTACCCCATCGAAAAGTAGATGTCACACGTGACTGCGGAGTCTCTGAAGGAAAGCTGTACTCATCAACCAATTAACGTTTTTGTCTGGTCAGTGTATCAGCTGCTGCAGCAGCCATTCAGAAGTTGACAAGAGTGCGTGTTGTGGACAACAGCTCTCTTGGAAACACACCGTATCACCGCTCCCCGAGAGTGATCCACGTCTACACCAAGAATGGCGTCGGGAAGGTCGGTGACAAAGTGTTGCTCGCCATCAAAGGACAGAAGAAGAAGGCCCTGATTGTTGGACACAAAATGCCTGGAGAACGCATGAGTCCACGCTTTGATTCAAACAACGTTGTTCTAATTGAGGAAAATGGAAATCCAACAGGAACAAGGATTAAGGTCCCGCTACCAACCCATCTGCGTAAAGTGGAGGGAGATTACTCAAAAGTTCTAGCAATTGCTAGTTCCTTTGTTTGATAACACCTTTCTGTAATGTCAGTTGTATACTTTACGTCTACTTGGGGTTTATGAATATTGTATGCTTTGATGTTGTCTTCAATAAAAGTTAAAGTGAGCATCAAATTGTCTCTGAAGCATTTTGGTGTCTCTTAATGGGCCTCTGTCGACATGCTTGGCATTTCGCTGAGGCCTTGCTGTGCTTACATTAAATATAACCTTTAGCTTGAAAGGCCAAGCGAGAGCTTCTGGGGAAGTTTGACCAGATACATGTGAACCAAACTCATGTTATCATTAATACAATGAACAAACAGTGTGAACTGCTAGGGGAGTATTTTATTGAAGGCACAATATACATTCACTACAAAAAACACATGACAGACATACCGTTATTAGCTCCATGGTGTGACGTATGAGGCATTTAGTATGTTATCCCTGTTAATGTCACGTGAGTGGACTGAAGCATAGTATTTCTCAAAAAGGTCAGGCAACTTCATGAGAATCTTTAAACTAAAATATCAGTGCAAAATACAAACAAAACCAAAATAATCCCCAAAATATTTGTGTAATATAACAGACTAAATTTGAAATAAGATCTTTCCTGCCTCCTACAGGTCAAATCGTGCAACAACCATTTCAACACAGTTGATCATTTCTTAATCTTTTTGTTTTAAGATTAGAACAAACTACAAACAAGTGCAGAGAAACTATAAGACTTTACATTTTAAAGCATCATTACAGCAACAGGCTTATTTAGATTTCTTCTATGTATTCCTTGGCAAAAACAGTTTGAAGTGAGTTAATGACAGTGAAATTATTGTTAGTAAATTAGTTGCTAACCATACGGACAGCGAGAACACAATGTAGAAATGCTAAATCTACTTGAAACAATATTCCATCTAGTGATTTGTGTCATGCACGGGGTCAGAGACATGCCGCTTTTACAGTGGAGACCGATCTATGTGGCACACTGACTGGTGGTTTGCATAGTTTCTAAAAGTGGCTTGATTGGACTTTGCTTGCCATTATATAGATATTTTTATGTTTCACGTACGCTGAGGGGGAGGCGAGGGGGTTTTAAAGGTTCCTAAGGTTGACAGATCGTCGGTTCTCTGGTTCTCGTTGCTATCTGCAGGCACTGGGCCTTCACTCTACATCTCACTCCGGTGAATAACTCCCTCTTCAACCACACATGGTCAGGTAAAGCCACTGGTAATACAAGGAATGTAATTAGATTACAGAAAGACGGACAAGACTGTATTGAGATTTTGTTTTTAAATATAACTCACCTCTGTGACATTCATTTCAGCCTCTCCTGATCCTTCCTTGTCAAACTGCTGGAAAGACCCTGTTAAAATGTAATAAAGTAACACATTTACTAGTCTTCTAGTCAGCAAACACGCTGTATACGTTCAGAATAGCATCATTTGCATGAATACTCACTAAACATGGCTTCAAGCTTGACCAAGCAGCAGATGAAGTTGTCAAAGTCAACCATCTCGTTCTCCGCATACCGGGCTACCAGAATCTGGTTGAGTCGGTTATTCAGTTTAAAACCTGCGCAGCATGTCAATGAAAGTGTTACACTCCGTCATCTGTGAGTGACAGCAAATAGCGGTTAAAATGATAATGAAGCGCATTATACCCGCAGCCTCCACAGCAAGACGCATCTCATATGAGCTCATGGCCCCTGACTTGTCGAGGTCAAAGTCTCGAAAGATGACCTGGAATACAGAGACAAAAATGTAAATAGAAATCTAGAGAATCTAAGTGTGAATACTGTACCTTTGACGCTGTTATTATTTACCAGCCACTTTCGGATTTTATTCCAGAGGATCTGGAACTCCACAAGCCCTAAACGGGCACTACCATCTTTCTGATAGACGCAATGTCAAGAATTGAAACCACCACCAAACAAATCAATGAAAAAAAATCAATGTAACAACATATGTGATGCTTTCCTGCCTGTTAACTCAACAGGATACATCCATCAGGTTGACCATGGTCCTGCATGACTCCACACTGAAGCCGTCGGTCTTTAGATCTTTGTCTGAAATAACAAAGACTTGACTGAAACACTCTGGTCTACAAAGACACAGTTGCACTGAGAGAGCAGAAGAGAGGCAGTCCACACAAGGACCGGTGTTCCCCACGGGGATCTGACATACAGCGGGGCGCCAGAGGCGACCAGCCAAAGGGTCAAATTCCACAGCAGAAAGCAATAAAGTGAAAGATATCTCACTAATAAGTAACTTTTCCAGAAGATATGAAATTCACACTAGAAATAACTCACGCCTGCAGACGACTCGGTTTAGAATGGTCCGAAGCTCACGAACAGAAATCTCCATGTCCTGAAAAGGCGCAGAGCACAAGAAAAAAGAAAGATAACGTGATTTACTCTAATGTCATCACCGTAACAAGGCTAAGGGCCTTTTTGGATCTATAAAGCTTGAGATGTTACCTAAAACGCCACAACTATGTCAAAACTAACATAAAAATCATTTGATCAGTGTCAGCAAATACAAATGCAAATAGAGATGCAAAACCAGACTCACCTCTCCTGCTAGCTGGGCAAACATGGACTTAAAGGAGTCATCGATGTCGTCCTCAGTTATTACATCCTGCGGGAAACCACAAATATAAAAGGCATTGGTTTATGATCGGGTGCCAGGTCATTTCCTACATGTCATAGAGAATACTGTGTGAGATTTTTGTTTTAGTGTCTCATATACACGTACATCATCTCCTAAATCGGCAGAGATTTCATCATCCAGTTCCCTGCAATGATCAAAAACATATCAGCATGATATTCTATTTTCTACGAATTATTTAAATGAAAAATGGCATTTCAATTCTCATACAAAAACGGCACATACTCCGTTTCTGATTGCTTCTCAGTGAAGACTCTGAGGACAAAGTCGGCCTCCTGGCTGGGCTCAAAGGTGGAGGGGACGATGAGGTACTCTCCGGGGGGCAGGCGGAGCCGCGTGCTCACCTCTCGCAGGTTGATGAAGGTCTCGGAGCGAGCGCAAGACGAATGGCTCAAGAAGAAATTTTTCTTCAAGTGGACATTCTGGCAGCCTCTGTACTATCGGCAGAAGGAAAACAATACATGAGAGATGCACGCACATGTTTTATGTCCCTTCAATTGAGACCATATACTTAACACTATATATTTAACACTACTACCAACCAGTTCAAAGTATGAGAATATTTTTACAAGGTATAGAAATAAATATAAAGATCTAAAACTTGAAATAGAATTAATATCTCAACTACAATGGAAACTTTTCACAAAATGAATGAATGTGATGAATACAATGTGCAGAGACCGAAGGCTACGCGGAATTGAAGGAATTACCTTTGTAAATGATCTGATGTAAAATACGCATCACTTAAGGTGAAAGGGCACAAGGTCACCAGTAGTGTCACATTCAGTAATGTAATCAGTGCTCTGCTTACCTCTTCTGGAATCTGCACAAACGAATGAGAAGAAAACATTAATGAGCAAAAAAACACTTTAAATGAATGTAAAGTTCTGTATCTATGAGACGGGCAAGCACACAAACACATCGCTTTACTCACCTCATAAAGAGCAAAGCCAATAGTGTGCATGTCCTGACCATGGCGCCGATATCTGCGGCGGTCCTTCTGCATGAGGGCTACTAAAAAACTGCACGCCACCTCATCATCCTCCGGGTCGTCATCCTCCTCCAGCAGCGTGATCTTGTACTGAGGGTTGATCCAAAACGTGTCTGCACAGACGGCGCACTTGTGTTAGCCTGTTTCATAGTCTCCATCTCTTCCAAGTCAGCGTGTACAGGGCGGTTGGGACTCACTGGGACTGTTCCTGCAGCCTCCGGCAGTGCTGCCCCTCCTCCAAGCGCCGTAGAACTTCATGGTGTGCCACTTGCCGAGACTGTCCTCACTCAGCGTGTCAGGAGTCAAGTTGCAGATCTCTAGCCGAGAAAACTGCCTCTTGAATTCACTGAAGGACATCCTGGCAGATCAAAAAACAAGAGTTTCGCATCAGAAACCTGAATTCAACATTCTCAGAAGAATAGTTTGACATTTTGGGACACGCAATCATTCCCTTTCTTGAGACGGTTAGGTGATTCCGTGGGATCTTCTCATAGAACTCTCTGCAGTAAAGTGAACAGGTGCATTTCCCACAACTAGTCCTTTAAAATGACAACAGTATAAAATATTGCTCTTACCAAAACTCCCCGTCTTCCATCTTCAGATGCAGGTCTTCTCGTTCAGACGGGTCAATCTCGTTCCATTCAGGAGAACTGCACACACAAGACAAACAGACTGAAAGGAACACTTAGAAATAGCTTTAACGCTCATAAAAGAACACGTTACCAAACTGCAACAATACTTTGTCCACAAAGACACTTATTCACTCACTTGTCACTCCAGGCACCGGTCCACTCCACCTGACCCCAAGGGTTACGTATCCGGATTAGGCGTTCCATGTTGCCGCGGAAGTGGACCTACAAAACGCAGAGAGTAATGGGCAGCTTGGGACCACTGACATTATTCATGAGGTACCGATCAAAGACGACAAAGCCTTACAGACCTCCTTCATTCCGGTTACCGAGTAGGCGTGGCCCTTTACCAGCTTCTTGAATGTAACGGCCTCCATGTCGAAGGCACTGGTGATCTGCGATAATATTAGAACACCATCACGGCATTGACCGGCCCGCAAACAAATAGAAGCGCAAATTAATTAATTAATGCGCAAATTAATCGGCTGCGTGACAAGATGGTGCAGCGTTGAGCCGCGTGCGTCCGGGGGTTTGTGCGCCAGCGCGTCGCGCACTTACATCGATGGAGCAGCCCAGCAGAGAGTCTCTCTCCAGGGCTTTGCCTATTATCCTGTGCAGGTCTCTGGGAGCACTGCGGAGCTCGTACATCTCAGACACACCCCCTGTGAAGTCCTCGAACCCCTCAGTGGTGCTTCCTCCGGACAGAGCCTCGTAGGAGCCACTCAGCCTGAAGCCACAGTAAAAGAAAACACACTTGTGTGTAACGACTTCCTGCTTCCCAGATACACGAGTGCTGAATAATTGAATAACAGGGTAGGCTCTGTTAATACGTACTTGGCGTAAGCTTTTTCCAGGAGCGCACTCCAGTATTCATTGCCCTCAGCAGAATGGACAAACATGAGCTCGCCGTCTTTGACAGGCAGCCTGTCATCTATCACAACATCTACCCAGTCGCCGAACTGCCAGAACTGCAACACAGAGCAATAATGGACAACTCCGTCAACCCAAACTGCTTAACTTACGCTTTATAGGAAGTGCAGTGTGTGGAAGATGAACTTGAAGCACCTGAAAGTGGAAGATTCCTGCGTAGTCATCTTGAAAGGACTGGCCGTGAGGGACAACCCGATGAAGAAGCCTCTCGTTGAGGGTGAGAGAGCCGATAGCAGCTAAGAGCCAGCAGTCGCCTGCAAGTGAGGAGAAGCATTTAACAATATTTATCTAATTTGGTCTATTTTTTAGTTTTTCTTCCTAGAAGGCTCAACATGGACACCAACCAGGGCTCACCTAGCGCTCCCTGACAGATGTCAGTTCTGGTGGCCCCACCCACGATGAACTGAGGATCGTCATTCAGTTCCTATGGAGAAATGAAATGACTGGGTGAGGACAATCAAAATAGATCAAAGTCTCGGAATTCCTCTCAAACCACTGCTATTCTTGAATCTATAGCGTCAACTTGCAAGTGCACTAATGCATCGTAAAAAAACAAATGTCAGGAGCGAGGGAGGGGTCAGGCAATACCACGAAATGACAACAGCTGCAGTGTTCTGGGAGGTTACTGTCCCTGCTTGTCCGGTCCTGCATGAGTTTGCAGACATGAAATAACACTATGGTCACGGGGTACGTCTGTTTGTTATATACGTTTCTCTGATGTCACAACAACAAGCTTGTTGTTGAGACACCAATCCAAAGAATGATGAGGTATTTCCACTTAATATGCAGCTTTAGGTGCAGAATCTGTCTTAAAAACACATTTCAACTGTACGTAGATGTAGATATGTGCCATCTTGTTTCCTACTATCAGTTTTGTGGATTCATGGTCACCACTCACCGAGGGCCTCATCCACACCACATCCTTAGTTTTGGAGGAATAGGGGGCGAGCTCCTTGAAGCCCAGTGATGGAGGCTCGGCGGGGAAACAGGAGTCTTCAAACAGGCAGCCGGACTCCAAACATTCCTGCTTCAGGGTCTCGTAGTCCTGGTTGGAGAAGAGCACCGCCTGCTCCTTGGAGCCCATGCCGTCAGCTCGTAGCCTGTTGGCCTGTATGGCTGAAGATATCCCTCCGGTTGGATACATACTGGAGTGTGATAAAAATATGGGGCTGTGTGAGCACGCCTATGAACGGTCTATGAATAGAAAGCTTATGGGTGAGACAATCTTGGCAAAGACAACAGGGCAACCAAAAGTCTATGCAAAAATATGTTTTTCCATTACAACCTGACATAAGACTGCGCCCAGAGAAATGATAGACAATTTAAGACAGGAATACCAAAAGCACTGTGATAAATGTTATGGAAATGCGATACCTTGTCTGTATTGGCTGGCTGGGAGGGAGAATGGGATAGAAGAGAGCGAGAGAAAAGGTCATCCAAGGGTAAATAGACAGTGCTTTCTTATTTAAATAATTTTTAATTGCACTGCAAAAGCTTGTGCAGCCCAAATCTGTTCACCACAGTGGGATTTCACAAGTTCACAACTTCCTGTCGCGTCTCACGTGATAATAAGAGCTCTGTGAAGAATCCAGGGGTTAAAAAGAAACAGGCTGGCTGTTAGACTTAAAGATTGTACTTGGCTGTCCCGCCCGCTCTACTGGACAGGAATCCTAATGAGCTCCATTCAACAGTAAGAGGAGAACACGTCAATGGAGCTCCAGTGGCGAGAGACAAGGAGATCCCGTTTGTCAAGTTTAGTTCATACAAGGTAGAACAAAAAAAGATGCGTTGCTGTGCAAAACTGGCTATGCTTACAGGAACAATTCTGCAGGCAAAGACAATGTTTATAGAGCCAGGGCCCCCAAACCCCGGGTGGCCCTCACGCCTTTAGTGACTGCAGGAATGTCCCTCCGCTCTGGCAAACAGCTCGACAGAGACTACTGCTGGCTGATGACCCCAAAAATATCTATATTCTTCACGTTAGGGAACAGCTGATCAATGCATTCCTGCAATGATGATGATGTCATCCGAGGGACTTCAACCTCAACAGAGCACGGAAATAACCTACAGCCTCTCTGACATCCCCTCAACCCCCCAAAACACGCAGATGTATGCAGCACGTATGTTGGCTGCTTTGTGAATCCACAGTCCTGTTACTTGCAGAGAAGTCGCAGCACGTCACGCAGGCGCGGGTTGTTTACAGCACCTGTTTAGGCAGAAGCAGGCCCGTCTGTTTACGCGACCGCAGCAGCAGCGCGCACACGCACGCACGCGCGCACACACACACACACACACGTTTTACACCGGATGTCACATCTGAATGACAGCTGCCACTTCGTGGACTCTTCTTAACGCTACAGCGTGCAGTTTAGTAAATCAAAGCCGCCGCACGAAGCTGCATCGAACCCACCCGGCGCCGGTAGTCTGCAGGCGGCTGAATGGACGCGCTCGGGTGGAGGAAATAAACTCACCACCGGTGTAACGGCGAGTTACGGATCCTTCGGTGGTCGAGACAATAGGGCTAATCGCGCAGTGGTGTGAGAAAGGGGGCAGTGGTTTGGTGGCCGGGTTCGGGTCTTAAGTCCAGCCCTCTGAGCTGCGCGCTGCACACACTGCGGGAGAGACCCGGCCCCTGCGGGAGCGGGGCGGGGCCACCCCCTCCCTCCTCCCAGCACACACTGCGGCTCGAACACACGCCGAGCAGGCCAACGCCTTAATCCCTTTAAGAGGCCGGTAAATACTAAATTAGGTGAATAAAGAGTGAAATCAAAGTATCTTTAATGTTGTAGCATACATCAATAGGCAATGAGTTTGAAACGTGTAATAACTGCATGGGCCCGTTGGCAGCCTGTTTAATGGATGCATACTATAAAACTATAACAAAATGACTAATGTCATATGCAGGTCGTTCTTATAGGGCTATATGACACGTTATGTTTAGAATATGCACGTTGGAGGAAGAAATATTCAGTCAGAAAAAAGACGCCCTTCAACTCAAAGAAGTGGAAGAATTATCACCATATCTTGATAATACAGAATGGAACCATAATGCCCCAAAAAGCAGAGGTAATTATTTTAGATTCAGTAAAATAATTTTTTATAAAAATAAATTTGTCTGTTTTCTGGATGTCTATCTCCTATAGAAATGTCTTTTAGACAAAATTGTATTTTTTATGACATTGGTGCCCTTAGTGTCACCTGATATAGTGTCAGGTAAACAACATCAGAGGCCAACAATCCCCCAAAGAGAGAAGTGTTGCTACTGCTGTTATTTTATGTGCTTTATGTTTGTTTGGGTATCATGCAGACAGAATTTTGTGACTATTTAAACTGTTCAGAAATGAATGAGATTTTTAATTGTGATAATTGTGGAAAGATTGGGTAGCATAAAAAGTTAAATGTTATATACCGAGTATGAATTTATGAAATCAGACTGAATGTGACAAAAAAAAATTACTTTCAGTCCCCCGACAACAAGTCTTCACAAAAGAACAGCGCTTTTATGATTTTTGAAAGATGAATGTGATAAAGAAAGGTAAAAGCAATTATTAGGCTGCAAACAAAAATGACAACAGTTACATGAGCGTGCGTACATACAACCAGGCTGAGTAGGAGCATTAGGAGGCGCACTGATGGTTCCTTGTCTCATTTAACCACTAGATCTTTTTTATTAATCTAAAACATTACAAGTTCCAGCACCTTTTATTCACCATTGAAAAACTCTACTGTACGTTTGGTGTCTTGTGAAAATAGGTGGGGTTATTATTGGCACTCATTTGTCATGTCAATGTCCACAAACAACAGTGTGTACATTCATTGGTTTAGGACCCACCCTTGCTTCAGCTCGATAGTAATTGTCTTATCTATTTCCAGTTCTGAGGTAATCTAAACAAGGGTGGATTCACTACTATTCACTACCTTTTATCCACATGCTTAGTATGTGGTGCTTCTAAGGCTCACAGAACAAACCGTGTTTAATGCAGCAGCTGAAACAGCAGCGGAGCTCCAGACAAAACCAACTGTTTGACTAAGGATTAGCTTGGTCTGTATGCGCAGCACAGAGGATGTAAGTACAGCAGAAGGATATAAGGATAATATAAGAGCAAACTGTACGTATTTCAAAACAGACTAAACCTGGCACAAGTCCCCCTTGCTCAGTGTTGCAATGTTTTTTAAATACCCTTCTTAGTCTTGCCTAATTAGACATTTGAACCCTGACAGCTTCCCTTTCACAATTCTAAGCTGTGTGGCTCACCTGTAAGCGCTTCCATACTTTGATGCGATATCATTTAACGGAATGTCTAATTGTTATCAGACAAATTTAAATCAAGAGGTGTGTTTTACTGTCTTCTTCTTTTTCGTACGTATCCACCAGGAGGCCAGAGACAATGACACACACACACACACACACACACACACACACACACACACACACACACACACACACACACACACACACACACACACACACACACACACAATCGACTGAGGCAATGACCATGGAGCTTCAAGTTGCCTTTAGGCGTGTCCTTGTTTGTATTCCTTCTGTGGCCGCAGCCATCTCATTGCTGATTTGCTTAGAGTTGCTGCCTTTCTGTTTGTGAAACAAACACAGCCAAGCCAACCCTCACCTGCCGCAGATATAAAGGAGGCCGGTACAATGACACGTCTGTATAGTGCACAGTGTCGATGCATGGAGGTGAGCTCACAAAACAACTCAACTCACTAGGAGCGAAATCACCATCTGGCGAGTCTAAACACTCTTGAGAGGTGAAGATGACGTCCACTGCAGAGCGACTGGCCCGTCAGAAGGAGAGGGCAGAAGGCATCGGCACCAACCAGCAAGCGGTGAAGTTCTCCCAACAGGATTATGAGACGCTGCGCCAGGAGTGCCTGAAGCGCGGACGTCTATTTGAGGATGACTGCTTTCCAGCTGAGCCTAAATCCCTGGGCTTCAACGAGCTGGGACCGTACTCATCCAAAACCAGGGGCGTTGTTTGGAAAAGGCCAACGGTAAGAAGCCCCTGAGAAGAAGAATGCTGCACTGTTTTAACACGTTGCTTTCCCAGATCACTAAAAAGCCACAAACAAAAACTGTACTAAATGAAACCACGACTGAATACTATTCACTGCTGTTGTATTCTCTGGGAAACCCGAGGTTTCGCAACTATCTTTCTTTGATGGTTTGGTGATCTTTCTAGGACCTGTGCTCTGAGCCACAGTTCATTAAGGACGGGGCGACGACCACAGACATTTGCCAAGGAGCTCTGGGTAAGTTATTGGGGGAGAGGATTGATGAGTTAACAGATAGTTGGTTGATGGCACGCTTCGGTTTTAGAATGAAACTTGAAACATGACCGAACCCTTCCACCCGTTTGGACGCTTGTAGGAAGGGAGTGTTCTGCAAACAGCATGAATGCCACATATGGCTCGATCTCAGACCATGTCTCTGTTCTTAATGTGCAGGTGACTGCTGGCTACTGGCTGCAATAGCCTCTCTGACTCTTGACCAGCGGATCCTGGCTCGCGTGGTGCCCCCCGGACAGAGCTTTTCCGATGATTATGCCGGGATATTTCACTTCCAGGTCAGACATTTGACCATTTTAACCTGCCAGGTTTTCTTCTTCTTCATATCAAACCATAGAGTGATGCCTTTTTCTAATGGGAACTTGTAAACTGGTATAGAGCAATCCAAAAGTCGGCAAAATTTGGGAGCGAAATAAAATCATCCATCTGGTGCCAACATCAGTCAAAACGTCAACTCAAATCGTTAAGATTCAGTCGCTCAGTTATATCCACAATGGTTAACATGTTCTGCTCAATTTCAGTACATTCATTTAACAACAAAGCTGATCAGGAAGCTGAACACTTCACCACACGTCCATATGTCTTGTTATAGTCGTTCCAACACCCACACCAGTTAAAGGTTTTGTGTTCATATCTTGCTCTGTGTTTGATACCATTCTTAAAGACATTATTGCACAGGAAACACAATGGTTTTGCATGAGTCGTAAATACCTCAAGTGGTTTTCTGATGGGAATATTTTTCTGTTCAGTTTTGGCAGTTTGGCGAGTGGGTGGACGTGGTGATTGATGACCGCGTACCCACCAAAGATGGAAAGCTTCTGTTTGTCCATTCAACGGAGGGCTCAGAGTTTTGGAGCAGCCTGCTGGAAAAGGCCTACGCCAAGTATGGATCGTTCACTCGTTATGTCTTGCTTCTAATTGTTAATTAATAGGAGTTCTACAAATATGTATTTAGTGACTCCGTCCACGTCACTTTGTGTCCGACAGAGTGCAAGGCAGCTACGAGGCCCTTTCTGGAGGAAACACCATCGAGGGTTTTGAGGACTTCACAGGAGGGATTGCAGAAGTCTACACTTTAGACAAAGCTTCAGCGAAGCTCTTCCACATCATGCAAAGGGCCCTGAGCCTGGGTTCGCTGCTGGGTTGCTCTATAGACGTAATACCTATTTGCATACTGATTTGCGTGCTCACATGCAAGAAAAAACAAACCCACAGCCGACTGATACGATCTAAACGTTTGTTCTTGTTTTTTTTGCAGATCACCAGTGCCTACGAGACAGAGGCAATTACAGCGCTGAAACTTGTCAAGGGGCATGCTTACTCAGTCACTGATGCAAAGGAGGTATACAATTCAACAAACCCTCACTAAGCTGTGTTTACTGCATGCGAATTGTGTTTGCCACTGATCTCTCTCTCTCTCTCTCTCTCCTCTAGGTTCAGTTTCGAGGCAGGCCAGTTCAGCTGGTCCGCATCAGGAACCCCTGGGGTCAGGTGGAATGGACTGGGCCATGGAGTGATGAGTAAAGGACTTTCTAGATCTATTAGCCATTAGCTACCATTCTTTACGTCTGGGACTTCCATAAAAGCCTGTTAAATCCTAATCAGATCCAGTGAATGGGACCACGTCAGTGAAGATGAGAAATCGAAGTTGAACCATGTGGCTGACAATGGAGAGTTCTGGTAAATCCATTATCTTTTGCATTTTATTCTAAATGTCAATGTGCATTGTCTCAGATTCAGCAGAACACAACATTCTTTGTTGAAAAGAGCTTTATTCTACTCAGGATGTCCTATTCAGACTTCATCAAGCAGTTCACAAAGCTGGAGCTCTGTAACCTGACCCCGGACACGCTCATGAGTGACGATGTGGGCCACTGGAACAACTACCAATTTGAAGGGGTTTGGAGGGTGGGATCCACCGCTGGTGGCTGCCGCAACAACCCAGGTATAGGAGAAACCACGCGGATGTTTGGGCCTGTACTTTAGTTACACTCATGTTATGTAAGGGGTCACATGTTTGTGTGTTCCAGCCACATTCACGTCCAACCCTCAGTTTGTGGTGCGCCTGGAGGATGTGGATGATGACCCTCTGGATGAGGAGGATGGGTGTACCTTGCTGGTGGGGCTGATGCAAAAGGATGGAAGACGGCTGAAGAGGCTTGACCGCAACCTAGAAACCATTGGCTTTGCCATTTATAAGGTTTCTAGGAAAAAATGAATATTTAAATGAAAGTAGTATTCTGTATATGACCGATTTTAGAAGATATAACTTCTGTCTATTTTCTTTCAACAGGTCCCGGACGAGGTCTGTATTTGCACTGTACCATACCTGCGTCTATCCTTTACAGGCTTGAGTGTGTCACTGTTGCATTGTGCATTTCTGGCTAGTCGTGTAATAGACCCCCGTGTGTCGTGATATTCCCCAGTACAAAGGCTGCAGCAATGTTCACCTAGGTCCGGACGTCCTGCTGAGACAGAAGGCCGTGGCCATGAGCAGCAACTTCATCAACACGCGGGAAGTGTGCGACCGCTTCAAACTTCCTCCGGGAGAATATGCAATAGTTCCTTCGACCTTCAAGCCTCACAAGCCGGGCAGCTTTGTCCTGCGGGTGTTCTCAGAGAAGAAGGCTGCAGCCAGGTATCTGCGTTACAGAGCAGAGGTTGAGATCTAGAGGCCATTGTGGGGATCAGAGATTTAGTTTACACAGCCATGTAGCGGACAAAGCTCTGAGGAAGCTTCCTGTGACGGTTATTTTCTTGCACGCCAACAGAGTGTGCTCAAGCCTTTTCATTGTTGTTTTTTAAATTTTTTTCAGTCGACTGCAGGTGGATATCAAGGCTGAAATAGAGGAGGTAAGAAAACCAACAAAATTGCAATATGCTGCTTTTGCATGCATTATAAAATTAATTTATATGGAAAGGGTAGTTTTTCTTCATTCATTTATTTCCAGAGATTGAAGGGAAATCTGTCACATAACATTTTTTGAATGCTTACAGCTTCACGTTTAAAATACAGTGTTTTACATTCATCATTCTAATATCGTCCTCTCACAGGAAGAAGTATCTGAGAGCGATGTGGATCCTCGTTTCAAACATCTCTTCAAGCAGATTGCTGGAAATGTAGGTTGAGTAACATGAGTACTGAAAGTTATTCAAATCTAAACTCACTTAAAAAACAAGCTGTATGTGCGTTTTTCAAACAGGACATGGAGGTATCAGTCTTCGAACTGATTACAATTTTGAACAACGTCGTCTCTCACCGTGAGTACATTGAACTCATACTCATACTGACGTTTGGTTTCTTTTACTTTCATTGATTTAAGAGTTGCAACTATCTATGTTTTGTCACTTTTTTTTGCAGACTCTGACATCAAAACAGATGGCTTCAGCCTCGAGACAGGTCGCCTCATTGTCAGCCTGCTGGATGTATCCTATTTAAGAACAGTATTGTCTCCCTTTTTGAGATCTGGGTGCATTAGAACTATGGAATTGGTAAAGGAAATGAATCATCCAGAATGAGCTTTTTATTAACCTTAGCATTGCTCAGAAAGATGGGAGTGGCATGTTGGGATTAATGGAGTTCCACTTGCTGTGGAACAAAATCCAGAAATACCTGGTAAGTTTTGATTCATGCAATTTTAAAGCAGATGGCAGATTGGCCCTGTTGGAATTAGGATCTGTGTTAATACAACAATTGATTGCCTGGGTCATATAGGAGATCTTTCAAAATTTCGACACAGACAACTCTGGCACAATGAGCTCCCACGAGATGAGAGGCGCTACCGCTAAAGCAGGTAACAAACATCGTCGCGTGAGGAATGTTACACACTAAAAAACAGTGAATATCTACAATAAACACTGAGACCCGGCTGTGAATTATGACGCCCAATTCATCTGCACAGCAAAAGCCAAATGATTTTCTTTGTAAACACACATTCTTTTACTTATTGTTGTTGTTGTTACTGTAGTTTATTTTTCGGGATTGAGTCAGACTACTGAGCCCTGCCGAAACAAATTACAACATGTTCCTGTGTTATCTGGTGTGTGCGTGGGTTTGTGTGTGTGTGTGTGTATCTGGCAGACTTGAAAAGCCAGTTAGGGGACTCCCTCCCCTTAAATAGACACTTTAGCCTTTCCTGCAAGAACAAAACAAGCAGGCGAGAATATATATATAACATATCCGACACCTTCCAAAAGCGATGCACCTCTATAAACCTGATCTCAAATTCTAACAGGTGTTGATGGTCACAGCTATTTTGCTTTTCCAGGTTTCCAAGTGAACAGTAATGTGTTGCAGTCCATTGTCAATCGCTATGCGGATGCTGAGTACGCCATAGACTTTGACTGTTTTGTGGGGTGCCTCATAAAACTAGAAATGCTCTTCAGTAAGTGTCAGCAAACACTATTTACTCATAAACCTCTGTTGGCATGTTGAAATGACCTGTATTTATATTTCTCTCTTCACCAGAAATGTTTAGGGCTCTGGAGAGAGCTGACACGGGGAAGATGGAGCTGGATATACAGCAGGTGTGTGAGAGAATAACAAAAGCTGCTGGTTTGACGGAACTTCTAGATTAGACAACATATATTAAGCCTATATTTATGTTTCCTCCTGCAGTGGCTGTGCCTTGCGATCCACTGACTCTGGAGCGAGAGAAAAAGGAAGGATCCTCTCTTGAACTGCAAGAAGATTACCTGTGAATGTATTTCATTCGCAAGCAAAAAATATTTTAACAATTTGAGTAAATCCAATACAAAAGAAATGTCATATCGACATGTTTCAACTGCTGAAAGAGGTTAAAAAAATATTGGTACATTTAAATGAGATGTGTCGCAACATTCAACATTTGTAATCCATTTTTTCAAATAACATTTGAGCATGAATTTCACAAAAAAATCCTCTGTAAAATGAAATAAAGAAACTATGAAACTACGTCTTTATGAAAGCTTTTCACATATCAGACAGATTAGCTGTATCAACGACAGTATATTCAACTGAACAAAGCTTTTATGGGGAGCAGCATTAGCTTCACTCATCCACCCATGTGGGTCACATGTGGATCACATGTGGGCTAATTATGGCCCATCAATCAACGGCAGCTGTAGAGTGCTGGATGAAGCAGGTGAGTCAGCCGACTGTCTGGTATGAACGATAAAGGGTGTGGAGCCTGTTGAGCTGAACATACAACACAGAGCCTGTCTAACGGCACAAACGCACTCAGGGAGACGGTCGAAGCAATAAAGACGGTTCAAAAATCTTTCAAAAATGTCCGGGATTGCGTCAAAACTTCAGCACGACCGAGAAAAATCGCACGGGATAGGATCCAACTCTCATGCGGTGAAATACCTCAACCAGGACTTTGAATCGCTGCGGAGAAGCTGCCTGGAGAGAGGACAGCTATTTCAGGATGACAGCTTTGAGGCTCTGCCCTCGTCCTTAGGATATAAAGATCTCGGACCCAATTCCTCCAAAGTGCGAGGCATCACCTGGAAAAGACCCAAGGTGAGTACAATAAGTAGATGGAAACATCCGGCAAAAGATTCAATCATTAAGATGAAACACTTCTCTGTGTGCATCACATGGGGTGATGTTTTTTGTCATATCATCTTTTCTATATCGCTAGTCACTCAATAGGCTACGCTCGTCACAAATAAAATATACTTGGTACTACATGTACGTTTGTTCCTGCTTGTCCTCACTCCAAATATTGTGGTTTTATCAGACTGGAATGCTCAAAGAGGACATGCATTTTGTACAGTGTATATGAGTAATTATCATATCCACTGAAACATGATCATTTAAATCGGGATGGGAGGAATAGGAGATGAAAGATATTGATTTGACACAGTTTTTACTTTTGTTTTTCTCTCAGGAATTGTGTTCCAATCCACAATTTATAGTTGAAAATGCAACCAGGACTGATATTTGCCAAGGAGCCCTCGGTGAGGCACACACATTCCTACATTCCTTCATAAATGTTTCCATTTTTACTTTTATAACTGACATAATCTAATAACTTACCTTACTTTGGTATCGAATAACCTTTCAATACATTTGGATGGCACGAAAATATGCACTGTATTTTACAAAGAGCACATTGATTTCCATCTTTGACTATTTAAATGAATGTTTTACATGCTTATCCTATTCAACACATAAGATAAACCACCAACAGCCTTTTGCTTATTGCTTAGTTTTTGTCTTTAGAAAGGGCATTTTAGCAGTACTTTGGTAACTACACAAAATACAATCCAAGTAAATGCCTGTGTGCCGACATCAACTGTCACTCATTCGACTTCCTCAGTCTTCTCTGTCCTCACCCAAAACATACCGATGTGTGTGAAACTGAGTTGTTTACACCAATAGAGACTGGAGAATTTTTCCCAACAGGGGTGCAAACAAATGGCATACCCAGAATGTTTTGGATATTCACAGGAACAACTTTATCACGTCGACCATCGAGGCCAACGTGAAAAAGGGGGAATTAAACTACCTTTGGACTAGCGGACAACCGCTGTGTCTCCAGAGCAACAGCCGTCCAGAATTAAACTAAGATGTGTCCATTCCAAACCTCCAATTTTCACACAGAACTTCCCTTTATTAACACTGTTACCTTGTGTTCAGGTGACTGCTGGCTCCTGGCGGCCATCGCCTCCTTGACTCTCAACAAAGAGGTTTTGTCTCGCGTTGTCCCTCACGACCAAAGCTTTGAGGAGAAATACGCCGGCATCTTCCACTTTGAGGTGCTCGACACAGACACCCTGTCTCTTTCTTCTGGAGTGAAGTTCCATGTGGCTGATTGTGTCGTGTCCTCTCTGGCTCTCAGTTCTGGCAGTTTGGCGAGTGGGTGGATGTGGTGGTTGACGACCGCTTGCCCACCAAAGATGGAGAGCTGCTGTTTGTTCACTCAGCGGAGGGCTCGGAGTTTTGGAGCGCGCTGTTGGAGAAGGCCTATGCCAAGTATGGAAGAATGGAGCATCTGGACACCGTTCTGTTGGTATCAGTAACTCCTTTTCTGGTGTAGTAATCCACAAACTCATTCATCTTTAGAATAAATGGATGCTATGAGGCTCTTTCCGGAGGCAGCACCACTGAGGGATTTGAGGACTTCACGGGAGGCATTGCCGAGAGACATGAGCTGAAGAACGCAGATCCTCGCCTCTTCAAAATCATTAAGAAGGCCTTGGAGAGAGGCTCCCTTCTGGGATGCTCCATTGATGTTTGTTGGAGCCTTGTCACACACTCCCGTTGTTAGCGATATTTCATTGTTTTAGGCTCACCTGCTTTTCCTGTCTATCCAAGATCACCAGCGCATCTGACTCAGAAGCTGTCACATATCGCAAGTTGGTGAAAGGCCACGCCTACTCGGTGACGGGAGCGGAGCAGGTGAGCAAATGTTTGTGCCCGCACACAGATCATCCAGATGCAAGTGAAGATGCCGTGTCTGTATGTTGTAATGGGCGAGGTGTCACTTTGGCTCGTTTTTTTTTTTTTTCTGGTTGAGAGTCATTTACACCGTGTTCTGTTTGTCAGGTGGATTACAGAGGAGACCAGGTGCAGCTGATCAGGATTAGGAACCCGTGGGGTCAGGTGGAGTGGAATGGAGCTTGGAGTGACCGGTGAGTGTTGTGGCCATAAGGGGGCCATGGTTTGAGGTCAGGAATTGCAAATGAACATGCACTCATTATCCCAAGTCCTTCTAAAGTGTTTAGCCCTCGTTAGCAACATGTGGCTGTAGGGGTGCTTCCAAAGGGGGGCCCGTCCAAGATAATTCCTGCTCAGAAAAAGTTGTTATTATACCTCCTCAAAACTCAAATAACTATTCACATCCATGATGTGCGTTTCACCTTTAGCTCCCTTAAACCTTTAAAAACAAAGTTGACGTCTGTCAAGTAGGTGCACCTCCTACCAATCACACGCGAAAACCCCACCAATCTCCCAAGTTCTTTCCTCCGGTGACCTTGGTACCAGTGGAATGATCTTGCTTGCGATCTAGAGCGGTGCCCCCAGCTACAAAAATGTAATCCTAAAGTCAGCCTACAGCTTCAAATCAAACTTTTAACTGAAATGCTTTCAACCACTTTTCATGAATGGACTTTTCCAAATACGACTTTTGTGTTGTTCATAAATGACCGATTCAAATTGAACCATCTGCATCCTTTGTTTGGAAGAGGGCATTCATCCGTTTCTGTCAAGTTTGTCACACAAAGACAGACATACAGTACACGCCTCTGTGGCATGACCGGTCTGTCCTGTGGTTAAATAAAACCTGTTATCCTGTGGGGTTTAAGCTTGTTCTTGTGCTCGAGGTGTAGGAGTGTGCTTCCCTCAGTTAGGGTGCAGGCCTGTAATTCATGTTTGCATGCCATGTTTTAATCTCGTGACACAAACTGCTTCACCACTATAAGGATGTATCTGCAATTGTCCGCAGGTCGTCCGAGTGGAGATACGTGAGCGACGGGGACCGAAAGAGGCTGACCAACCGCTGTGAGGATGGGGAGTTCTGGTAAAGGCCACTGAAACCGCATTTCATCCCCTTTCGGTCCCCAGTGCGGAAATACTTGTACTCTAGACTTTCTTCATACTGTTTTGTCCACAGGATGTCGTTTTCCGACTTCCTGCGGCAATATTCTCGCCTTGAGATCTGCAACCTCACCCCTGATGCGCTCACGGGCGATGAGTTCAAGAAATGGGCAGAGTCAGAGTTTGAAGAAACGTGGAGACGAGGCGTTTCAGCTGGTGGCTGCAGAAACTTTCCAGGTATGAGTTTTCAAAATGTTCCCTTCAGCACTGGTGTACATGTGTCACAAAATAGTAGTGGTAGTAGTAATTGATTTTGGCCTTTTATTAAATCTTAATTAAGAAAGGGTGCTAATAAAAAGGATTAACATTGACCAAAAGAAGTGGGATGAAGCTTAAGCTTGTTACACCAATACTGTTTTTACATAATTAAAGGAATTTGTTGACCAAATTTTAAAAAATATACAAAAATAGAAAAAACATTATTCCTTTCCACAGTATTTAGAAGCATTTCCAACTTTTTCAATTTGCAAAGATCACTTTCATATTGTATAAACTGTTCACTGAACCTTGTTGAACCCCACAGACACCTCAAATAAATCAGACTTATCAACATTACTTATTTGTACATATTGATAATTATCATGAAGCTTATTTCTTAGCCATGAGTATGTTATCCGTTTAGCTCTCTCCCCAACCACCTCTTCCCAGTTTCTTTGTAAAACAACACACATGATCACTAGTATAGAATAGTTAGAAAGTCTTTAATGGATTCATAGTACAGTTTCGGCTTTCCATTGTAGTAAATAGCTCTTCTACTTTGCTCTGTAACCATACTAATGCTCACTTAATCATTTGTGTTTTCTATGAAATCATCAACTCTTACTAGTATTTATTTCATAATCATATTTTGTTTCTAAAATATGTGGAATTGGGAAAGCAGAGATATTGATCTATTGGAGAATTTATGGTTTTACTTTTATCAACAGGAATGACGCTGTTGTGGATTGATTAAAGATGCATTCACTGTAGTTGTTAAACCTTGTTTTCCTTCCTAGATTCCTTCTGGATGAATCCTCAGTTTGTCATAAAGCTGGAGGAGGTGGACGATGATCCTGAGGACGGTGAGGAGGGCTGCACCTTCATCGTGGGCTTGATGCAGAAGAACCGGCGGCGTATGAGGAAAATGGGGCAGGACATGGAGACCATCGGCTTTGCCATATATGAGGTAAGGAGCTACCTTAAGATGTAAATGGTGATACTTACGATGTGGTTCTATTAAATATTTCTATCTGTTCTTACATTTGATTTGTTTGTGTCTTTTTCCAGCTGCCTGATGAGGTATGTTTTCAAAGGACAAGACACAACACTAGTTTTTAATGAAGAATGAGTATTGAAAGCGGGGGGGGGGGGAGCAGAGCGAAGGAATGAGGCGCCCTCGTGTGACTGCACTGCATGTCTGTCATTTTTTCAGTACTCCGGCCAAAGGCAAGTGCACTTGAAGAGAAACTTCTTTGTGCGCAACTGTTCAGCAGCGCGCTCCGAGACCTTCATCAACCTGAGGGAAGTGAGCAACCACTTCTGTCTCCCCCCGGGAGAATACCTCATCGTCCCCTCCACCTTTGAGCCCAACAAGAACGGGGACTTTTATGTGCGGGTGTTCTCTGAGAAACAGACAGCTTTCCAGTAAGTTCAATTAAAAAAGTGCAATTACATGATGAGAAATGATACTGAAAACCATTCAAAATGATGACTATAACTACTCTGCTTTCAGAGAGATTGATGATCCTGTAGCCTGCCATGTTGAGAAGGTAAACGAATATCCCTTTATACACTCTGCATGCTTTTGAAGATTGTTATTTACAAAGCAGGGGGAAAAAAAAGATCCCTTTGTCATAAATAGATTGACATCGATGAAGATGACATCAGTGACAGATTCAAGAGACTGTTTGGACAGCTCGCTGGACATGTAAGTACATGATGATTAGGAACGTTATCCTGGGATCTGAAATGATTGCGCATAGTTTAGAGTGTCCTTGTCACGCGCTTCTTAGGATGTGGAGATTTCTGCATTCGAGCTGCAGAAAATCCTCAACCGAGTGGTGGTGAAGAGTAAGGAACCATTTCTTTGTCTTCTTTCAGTCAGGATTAGTATGTGCATTCAGGTGAGCTTGACCAGCAAGTCACCTCTGTGTGTCATTCAATTTCAGGAGAAGACATCAAAACCAGTGGGTTTAGCCTGACAACCTGCCACCACATGGTCAATCTGCTTGACGTATCCTTCCTTCGCGTCTACAACTATGTCAAGAAAAATACAGAAAATGTTTGACCATCGACTTTAATGAAATGGACCTATAAAAAAACATTATGTATTTTTATACATATTTCACCCCACTTGAGCGCGGCACATTTGGGAAATTTACTCGACGACACACAATCAAGTTGCAGTCTGTTAGAAGTCAACAACCTGCCACACATCGCTCCTTCCGACATCACTTTCCTTGACACGCTGAATAGAAAGATGGAAGCGGAAAGCTGGGACTGGTGGAGTTTAAGATTCTGTGGACAAAGATTGAGAAGTTCCTGGTGTGTTGCTTATTCCTTTTACTTTGTCGAAAACGTATCACCTGTACCATTTCTTAGGAGAATAGTGGTAGCGCACAAGTGAACTGTTGCGCTCTCCATTAGGATGTGTACAAAGAGAAAGACGCAAACCAGAGTGGCTGTATGAACTCATCGGAGATGCGGATGGCTGTTGAGGAGATTGGTGAGAGGTCCATTTCACACACAATGTATTTCTCTGCAGTCAGTTTCTTCTAACTCAAGGGCTCAGTGTGCAGCGGATGTGGCACCGATTTGAGAAAACACTGATTCACATGGAATAATCATAACCGCAAAAGAACTTAATGTGTAGAACCTTTACAGGAGAGCTTTTTATTTCTGCACATTGGAGAGTGTGTGATTTTCGTGTCATTATGCGCAGTTAGAAAATCTGATCTTTTGCGCTCCGTCAGGTTTCTCTCTCAACACCGCTCTGCATCAGATAATTCTGGCCCGCTACAGCGAGGAAGACCTCACCATTGACTTTGACAGCTTTGTGTGCAGCATGATCCGCTTGGAGTCACTCTTCAGTGAGTTGCCGTCCATCGTTCACACTCTACTGCCATGAAGACATCATTACATTGATGAGGCTTTTTTTAAATTGCTCTTCCACAGACATCTTCAACACCCTGGAAAAGAACGGGTCCGGTGAGATAGAATTGGGTTTTATGGAGGTAAGAGCCCAAGAGTGATAATGACAGAAAAAATATAAAGGGACGAAATGGTTTATGGACCTCACTGACTTGTGCTTGTGTTGTCATCCACAGTGGCTGAATCTGGCAATGCTGTAGAAAGACGCTCTGAGTAGTGATGCTCGAAGAATCCGGCGTGGAAGAGCCATCCTATGTGAATAATACAAGTGTTCATTCTTGTGTACAACTTAATCAATGGATATTGATATTGAGGGAAAATCATTTCTATGTGTTTGATTATCCACAACCATAATAAAGCCCCAATGTTCCACAAATAAGAATGTTTATTCAGGGTTACAATTACATGTGAGTGTACGGAGTGTGTTCAAGTAGGCTGCTAAAGGTGCATCATTCTTGGCAATAAACCTTGCAGTGGAATACACAAGAGCACAATGCAATCACTCGCATCTCTTCACGGTAAATATTAAGTCAACACCACATCGTGCTAGTTAGCTTAGCGTAGCATAAAGGTATTGCTAATACTAATGCAACAAAGTTACAGCAATAATTTGTGTAAAAATAATGCGTTCACTAAATCCCAGTATACTTCATAAAACCACACAATTTTAAACTTTGAATTTTGAATGTATTAAACAAATGATAAGTAATCTGTCACTTGTAGAGCTTTCTGGTACAGGCTTATTTTAGTTTGTTGTCCCCGCTGCACCCAGCCTGTGTTCTGAGTAAAGCAGACCTGGTGCTTGTGGTATTTTCATATCAACTCTACCAAACAAACAAAGAGTGGCAAGAAAACAAAAATGTATCTTCTAAAATGTTGCACTGCTCATTTCACACCATCCACCAGTAGATGTCAGAGCTCTCATGGACTCGTCTCTGCTGTTTGACGTCAGCGGCGTCGCTCGCAGCAGCATGCAGTCTTAAACTGAACGCAGCAGCCATTTCCTCCTCTGTGCGGTTAAGCGTTGTGCTTCCCTTTCTCACTGCTTTGAAGAGTTTCTGCCATTTGCTCCGGTGCCACAGTCATGATAATATAACTCCAAAACAAGCAACTCCTCGGGCCACCGAAATTGAGGTTTTGTGAGCTAACGCTGTAATACTTGTGAGAAACGGAACAACTATAATAACAGCGAAAAAGTATTCATTATGTTTCTGGTGATGGTCATGGTCTAGTGTTGGAGGACGTGCTATGACATGTGCTGACATTTAGGTATTCTGCCGTAGTCCGGATGTGGGGTGGGACCGTTGACTCTCTGCACACCACTGATCCACGCAGAGGAAGCAAAGCCACTCTGATGCTGAAGCAAGAGTTTCTGTATTTAAAAATAGTTACAGTGAAGGAGGGGGGGAGGGGGGTTGTCAGGCCGTGAATGCTCTTTCAAAAGCCTGGACCTAAACTGTGTATCATCACATAAAGACGCACAGTCGATTCAGTTGACATACATCATGTACGTAATAGGACAGTGAAAAACAAGCTCGGCATTGAGACAACACACTCATTTGGCACCAGAGTGACTGTTACAATTTAGTAGCCTACAATTATCAGTGCAATTCTACAGCAAACACTTTAGTGCAACACTGGATTGCACATTGCAAAACAATGCAATAAAATCATTGAATGCAATTAACCCTTAAAGATCATCTTATCCAGGTTACTCCTGTTAAATGCTAAATATTTTTTTATGTTAGTTGTGTTGAGGAGTGGATTGAACCCAATGCTGATTTGGCACTTTTAATTAAGTATGACTACTGGAATCTGACGGGAGGAGTATCTTTCTTTTCGTAGGTGGATCAGTCTTTTTGACTCATCCTTGTTTCCTTGTTTACCTTATAAGGTCATTGCAGTGGATCTAACAGCAGATGTGCTAAATATGTGGACAGGTCTGTTCTCCATATACGGGTGTGCCGTGAGTGCCACTCCCACTGGTGACTGGCTCAGGCTCACCTGGGGTATTACGCAACACGTTACAGCTCTACGGCTTCCAACCTTTATGATGGAAAAGGTTGACAAAAATGTTTGCATCGTGCCGCACAACAAAGCACACAAATCCATTGGGATTTAGGCTTCGGATGTAGTGTGATTACATGCAAATACTGTGGCTGCAGCTGAGACTGTCACACCTGGGAAGAGAGGGGCGGGCCTACTTTTGGAGGTGTGCACATTCACCCCGACTCCTCCTCCATGAGTCAACCTGCTCCGCTTCCTTTATATGACCCTTCAGCACTTTGACTGCTGCCATTTTTTCTCTGCTGTCTGTTTCCTTCACACATCAGAAGCAAAATGGTGAGTAGTTTTCACAGATACTTTGACTAGATCTTGTTGTGGCGGTGAACAACTTGTTGTCTGTGGTTTGTGCGGCCTGCAGGAGGTAGAGATGATCGGACTTTTGTGCCATTTCCTCATTTTAACAGCACATGTTAAAGCTGCGTAAACTCAATGGATGCCCGGTTGTCATTACATCTAGAGTGTGTACAATTTCCTTTTTGGGTGTTTCCTTGAGGAAATTGCCTGCTGAGTGAAACTAGACCAGCGTGTTGAAAGTGCTCGTTCAAGGTGGGGTTTTTGCCTCCAAAATGGAGGGAGCTCTGTTCAAAATTGTTCGGAGCCAATCCCTCGGGGCGGTGTTTCTTGTGCCAACTTGTTCCACGATGACAGGAATGTGACAGCGCCGAGGCCATAAAAAATCATTTTGGAAGCTACACCCATTACACGTTACTGGTGAAAAGAAGCTATATTCACATTAACTTGCTTTTTTAATACCATTTATCTCAAGGCTAGTTCAACGTACTTCCTGTTTCCTCATCTTTTTAGGTTCCGCTTTCTGTGTCAACCAAAGTACAAGTTGTCTCAAAATATGACCCGAGGGCCACATTGCATTTAAAGGGGTTCTACTCTTATGGTTACCATCATTCTCACAACTGGCAAATTAGACATGGTGCTGAACTTTATTGCATGACTAAATGATAACCTAGTAGATAAGAGCTGCTTTGAGTAGAATTATTTATCGCATCTACAACTAAGAAATTGCCATTCAAATACTATTTATTTATTTTTTTAAAGCGTTTCATAAAACATTGTCATGTTCCTTTTTTGTACCAATTACTGATGTGCAATGTTTCTGGTTTTCTCAAACAGACGTCTGGGGTAAAAGTCTGCGACGATGTGAAAAACATCATCACAAAAATGAAAGTGGTGAAAAGTGACGACGCCGAGGAGGATCGCATAAGATTGCTGATATTAGTCATCGACACCGGCGAAATTAAAATCGAGAAATGTCTCCTTCAGAAGGATGTGGAGGGCGAGGCGGACGTATTCAAGTTGGTCGTAAGTCTGATGAAACCTGAAAAGTGCTGCTACCTTTTGTACGACTGCCACTTTGAAACTAAGGAATCAAGTAGAAAAGAGGAACTGGTCTTCATGCTGTGGTAAGTCCTCATTTCAATTAGAGCATAATTACACTTCTTCTCCTTCTGCATAGTCAGCTGCCTGCAAGAAAACTCACGCGTGTGCACTCACCAAATTATTTCTCTCCTCCCATCAGGGCCTCTGATACCGCAAAAATCGGCGAAAAAATGATTTACGCTTCCTCCAAAAGTTCTCTTAACAACCTGTTGGATGGTAAGGGTTTGCTTTTTACCTCCCATTTAGATTTTCCTCAACATTAACACTCTGGTGGAATGGTGCTGACTGTGCTAACTTTATTCATTTCTTCCACAGGTGTGAAGCATAGGTTGCAGATAAATGACATTGCAGATATGGACAGGGCGGACTTTGCCAAAAGACTTGGAAACGTGGTGAAGCTCGAGGGCAACAGTGTTTAATCGTACTTCCCAGCAGGCACCGAGCGCTTTCCCCATTTTTTGTAATGAGCTACATTTAAAGGGATTTGAGGGGATGATTGCAAGATTTTCCCATTCAACTTTGTTTTTGCAGTGGGTCCACAACCAGGGAAGTTAAGATTTTGGCTTTTTGACCCTGGACCCTTGATGTTTGTTCCCGCTAAACTTTCCACACCAGTTTGGATGTCTCATTTATCAATTTGACACATCCATTCTTAAGACCACTATTGTCTGTCACTTCATTCTTTGTACTTCTATATTTCGCAAATTAATAATTTGCTGTTCCATTCTTATGTCCATGTCTGATAACCTTGTTGAATATCCCAAAGACTCCCTACTCAAGTTCAATAGGTCAGAATGACTGGGCCTGTAAGTTGAATGTTTTTCCTATCGCATGACTTATACAAAGAAATTTAACAGAAAATGCAAAAGTTGTACTGTAAGAGTATTATCAAATAAATTCATTGCAATCTGTTACTGTACTTTTCTTCACTAAAAGCTGTAAGTGCGCGGCGCTAAGGGTTGGTTTTAGCACCTAGATGCATACCAGTGATTGTCACATGTAGACCGGTTTAACCAAGCATTGCAATTAATGCTGTCATTTATTTGTAGATTGAACATTACATATACATTTTTCAGCAAAAAGTAACTTGGACTTTTTATTGTGGGAAACCATTTGTTTCTTCCTGCAGCCATATTTGGATTCAATGGTGTATTAATACTGTGAATAAACTGCGCCATCCTTGTAGTCTCATGCTCTGAACAGATACAAAAATAGTTGAGTTACGGCTGAAGTTGCTCTCCCTGTAACATAATCCTAGATTATTCTTGTTGACACAGCCGTCTCTGCTGCTTCTAGTGAACGTGTTCAGCTGCAGCGCTACTTTCATTACAGCCAAATCATGCTTGAGGACCAAACTCTTCACTCAGCCACAAGCTTTTTTTTTATACCGCAAATCAAACCATACATGGCTGAAGGAGGTAAAATACTTGTCTAAACATTCATGCAACTTGCATCTAAAATGGTGGGTGTTTGTCACGTAGCAGTACTTCCTGTTAGAAACCGACGTCAAAGCAGATGTACAGTCGGATAATTCACGTTGGCTTCCTGCCTCTCAGCAAAACTGAACAATGAATAGAGCTACACTGAAGTTTATTCATTCATACAAATTTGACGAGTGTCAGGCCCTAAAAGTAATGAAACATTGAACCATAAAAATGTTCCCATCATTCAACCACATAGAAAAGACATACAAAGAAATTGCACAGGTTGATGTACGTCAAACGTACAATCTGTTTCCCTTTTTTAACACTGAACTATGGGTTAATGTCTGGAATATAAGGCAGGGGGGGATAAATAACTTCTGACATGGCCAGAATTCTTGATGGAATGTTTTCAATAAAGATTGTAGCAAAATTACCTAATCGTGCCTTAATGTTCATATTATCAAATATTTGATTCCTACAGTTGCAAAGTATGCAATCAACTACAGTATAAGAAATGGAATGCATAACTATGGTAATCATAAGGCAAATTTGGCAGTTTTAGTGTCTGCAGTGAACTTCTTCTCAGACGGACGTTCCTTCCTTCAGCTCCACATATTCTTCCTTGAAGACAAAAAAAATAAGCAGTGTGTTAGAATTGACAGTCGTACCGAAACGTTGAGCTTACAGGCGCCTGCGTAGTCTTGCCTCGGCAGTCGTCTCACCTTTCCTTCCAGGTGCTCCTGCAGGGTTCTCACTGTGTCCCTCTCTTTGGTCAGCTGCTCCTGAGCGGCTTTCAGTAGCTGCTGGAGCTTGGTGGCCGCCTGGCCCAGATCTTTGGACAGCTTCTTCTCCTTCTCCAGGCGCTCCTGTTCCAACAGCGGTAGCAAACCGTGAAGCAGCAGGCAGCAAGGTTTAAGAGCGTTCGATTTATTCAATTAACGGTAACATCGCATAAGCATTCAACTGAAATAATTCAGTCCTACGCTCACAAGTCATTTTTGCAGTACACACAGCACCGTTTTATTCATCACAACAGCAAAAAACAGTCCAAAGACTGTAGTCTGTCCTGCTTTGGTGCGCTTGCCCCAAGCTGTACATTCTGTATTTGGCCATGTACTTGATGTGTATTATATGTCTATATATTGAACAAACACAGTTTGATGTTCGGATTCTTCTGCCGTCATTAGTTACCACACCTTCAGCTGTGGAACATCTTCTGCGGCAGATTGTGATGACTCCGCAGAAACGTTTAGAAGGTCCAACTGAGCCTGAAGTTCTGTTATAGTCTTCTGGGCCTAAAAGGTTGACAAAACACAGAACGTTTTCTTCACATACATGGGAGAGCGGGGTTTTCAAAGATATCCCGTCCGCACAAGCATTTCATTTTAATAAACGTTGCAAGATAAATGATGGTAGTTAGCGTTAGCTCAGCTAGATAACGATGAAAGGCACCCTGGGTAGATTGAGCTTGCTTAGTGAAACAGGCCTCTGGTGTGACGATAAACAAAACAACGGCGGCTACCTGATCAAATTCTTCAGAAAGCTGCCGTCTCTGAGCCGTCTCCCCGTGCAGCTTCTCGGTCGTCTGACTCAACTCGTTCTGGAACTAATGGGAGATAAAAACAGCGCACACACACACAAACAATAAATGCAGAGGTATATGGTTAACACATGCATGGATGCATGTCTGTGCAAACATTGGGTGCAAGCAGTAGCTCTACAAACTCACACACACACACACAAACAAGCCATTCGACCCGTGTGCCGAGTTAGTGGCCCCTCCGACTACTTCAGGGGAGACGCTTATATTAAAACACAAACGTTCTGTTAATGTTAAGAATCGCACAAACAAGTAAGTGAGCATGCTGAAATGGGGTTAGAATAAGCGATGGTTAGGGTGTTGTCGACTCAGTCGATGCAAACTGTGGTCGGCACAAACAGCCGCCGTGTCGGAGGATTACTGGACGGACTTAAGACTTGAAATGGTGGCGTTTGTCAGTGTACTGGAGCCACATCGTTGACTTACGACGCGACTTTGTGTCCACTCAGACTACAAAGAACGTTTTTAGCGACAAATCAAGTACAGGTTTATTTGGGGGGGAATTTAGTATTATTTTATAGCAAACAGATCTTAGATGCGTCCCAATCACTGTCCAGTACTCTTTGACATGAAGTGGAGGGTGCCCTGTGACCTTTGCACCCTGACCTGACTGGGTCGAGCCTCAGATGGGCCATTCTGTTCTCGCTGAGCCTGCTTCGTGATCTCGCCCAGCTGCTCTCTGACCTGAAACAGGAAGCCGTCACTGGTTACATAACCTCCCATCCGTGGAATCCTCTTTGGGCTACAAGACACCCAAATGTGTAGGATAAAAAGGAATTTCCACAAACTCCTCGTCGTCCCATAAACACCACGTCTTCCTCTTACTTCAGGTACCTTGGTATATGTCTATAAATAATATTGTCCTGGGGACGGGAAAGCAAGTTGGCAGTAAAGTGACCTGTGCAAGCTCCTCCTTGTGTGCCTGGGCCTCCTTCTGGGCCAAATCCAGTTGGCGCTGACCCTCCAAAAGCTGCAGCTTCAGCTGAATAGAGACCAAAACATGTCAGACAGGTATTGTATTTTATTAAATGCATCACAAGAGGTCGATCCCTTTAAATATGTAAAAAATCTCTAGGATTTCACAAACTCAAGAGTATATCAAGCTTGAATTGGATTCTAGATCTTATTAGACAAACAGTATAAAATAATAAATTCAAACAGTGATATTATTCCTACAGAATGTTGCAAGAAAACATTTTTTGGATTGTGTTGTTGAAATAACATTTAATACAAATATATTCCAATGTAAAAGTTGACTTCTTTAAAGGAAGAGTGCAACAGGGGAAATGCTACATTTTTAGGAGCAGTGTGTCATCTAGTGAGGTTGCTGTGGTCTGATCAGATTTAACCTTGTCAATCTCCTCTGACGTCGCCTGGTCCTCTGACTGCTTCTCCAGCTGGGCTTCCAGAAGCATCACCTGCTCCTTCAACTGCAACGAGAACCAAGACAAACCGGTTCACACATTTCCAACCGGCTGGCTAAGATCAAGGGCCAATTTAAAGTGTGAAAGAACTCTTCACCTGCGCTGCACTTTGTTTTTCTGCCTCCAGCTTGCTGGCCTTCCCCAAAGCCTGGAAATGTGAGAGAGGGACTACTGTGAGGTAAAAAACACAGAAAGGAGACCAGCACTTGGGGAAAGAAAATGTAGCGAGCGATTTGGAGGAAACCGTAGAACATACCGCACTCAGCTGTTCCTCTGAGTTGGCCATCTTTGACTTCCATACCAGTTCTTCTTCCTCCACACTCTTCTGAAGGTGTTTCAACATTCCTTCCTAATGGAAACAGGATTTAATTAAACAAATCGGTTTTACACGGACGTTGAAACTTAACTTTCCCCACTCACTGACCGTCTCAGCCAGGACTGTCCTGTACTGTTCACACTCAGCCTGCAGTGAGCCATGTCCCTCCTCAGCCTCCTTCAGTTTCCCGAGCAACTCCTGAGACAAAGCAAATATACATTCAGAACTTATTCTGCCGGATACAAGTATGTGGCAAGTAAGTCTATAAAATCGTGGCTTACGGGCAACGCTGTGCCCGACGGAGACGCCTGGATCTGCTGGCCGAGAGTCTCCTGAGCCTTCTGGGTGAACACATGTAACCAGTTGGACTAAGTGAGGGGAATAAGAAGACATGAAAATAAATCATGGGCACATTATCAAACGATAAAAAAACGATTACGTCTTCTCCTGGGAAAACCTACCTGCTCCATCTCTACCGCTATCTGTGGGAAGAGTGTCTGGAGAGTTTCTTTGGTTTCACCTTTGAAAGCGGTCAGCTCTGCCGCAGCGCTCTGGTGAAACAATGGAGTCAATCGTCATCAGGAAGGTGATTAAGCAGTAGGCAGATTCGTTTGGTGAGCCACTAGAGTGTTAAGGCGGCCTTACTGCATCAATAGACGTCTTTTCTTTCACTTCTCTCAGCTCCTTTTGTAGTGATGTGACAAGCGCGTCCTTCTCAGTCAGGCTAGCCAAATAAGCAAAATAGTCAAAATTGACATCTAAAACAGACCTAAATAAAAACTGTGATTTTTTTTTTTTATATGCCAAAACCCATTTACCTTGCCTGTAGCTGTCCCAGCTCTGTGGAGGTATCTGAATGCTGAAACAACGCCGGAATGCAAATTAGTCGCAGAGAAAACTATTTTTGTTCCTACATGGCAGCTCTAGAAGTGAAATGATGTGACACATCTAGAGGTTTCACTTACTGGTGTGCTGTTAAGTTGCACCAGCTCTTCTTTGAGGTTTTTAAGTTCATCCTGAAGCGATGTAATATGGGCAACATCCTCACTAGAAAAGGGACAAATAATTTGGATAAAACTATAAATAATGTAAGTAAACAAAAGGTGTGGAGAATCCACAATGAGTCAAACGGAAGCACCATACCTCTTATTTCTTTGCTCTAGCTCAACAATAGTGGTCTCCTGTTGGAACAGCCGATTATTTATGATTAGTAGTATAGATATATACAAACACACACACACTACTTTAATAGGTACACCTTGCTAGTAAAATATTGGACCGCCTTTTGTCTTCAGAACCGCCTTAATTCTTTAGCATACTTGGTCCATGTTTACATGATCACATCACGCAGTTGCTGCAGATTTGTCGGCTGTATCTAGGATGCGAATCTCCACCACGTCCCAAAGGTGCTCTTGGATGGAGATGTGACTGGAGCCCATTGGAGAACAGAACCTCATTGTCATTGTTCAAAGCCAGTTCGAGATATGAGCTTTGTGCCGTGGTGAATTATCCTGCTGCAAGTAGCCATCAGAAGATGCTACACTGTGGTCATGGATGGACACGGGCAGCAAGAATACTATATAAACGCTTCTGTATTTAAATAATGCTCAATTGGTACTAGAGGCCCAAAGTGTGCCAAGAAAATATCCCCGACACCAGCAGCCTGCAGCGTTGAAACAAGGCTGGATGCATCCATGCTCTCATGTTGAACAACCACGGTGAGTCACTTAAGTCCCTTTCTTCCCCATTGGATGCTCGGTTTGAACTTCAGCAAGTTGTCCTCACCACGTCTACTGGCCTAAATGCATTGAGTTGCGGTCATGTGATTGGCTGATTAACAATTTGTGTTGACAAGCGATTGAACAGATGTACCTAATAAAGTGGCCGATGAGTGAATACATTTCCCTGAATAATCGTTACAAGTTTTGGTAATACATCCAACAACAGATGTTAGCAACACTTACAGCAGCTTCCTGTTTCAATCGCAGTTGCTTCAGTTCCTCGTGGAGGGTGTTTAGCTGATTGGTTTTCTCCTGAAGGCTGCAGACGACATACAGTAGCATTTCCATCAATACGTCTCGGGAGCTGAGGTCAACTCTGAGGGGAGGTGGCTAAAACGCTTACCTGTTATTTAGCTGTTCCACCTCTGCAGCATTCACCTGCAGAATCAGACACAGCAAACATGTTCAGGGGTTACAAAGTCTTCAAGCCTCAGGGCATTTTAGAAAAGTCAAACCGACAACAAAAGGTCTTACCACGTTCTTATCATCCTCCTCCTTTTTGGTCTGATTGGCTTCTAGCAGTGAATTGATGGAGGCCACCTGCTGTTCCAGCTGGCTTTTCTCTGTCTGCGTCTCCTGCAGCTGGGCAGTGAGTGCATCCACCCGAGCGCTGCGCTCGCTGTTATCAGCCTCCAATCTCCCGATGCGGACTTGGTACTCTGCAGGGACAAAAATCACAGTCACAACCCATTCTAGATTCGACGTCCTGGTATATAGCCCCAGAATCCCATATATACGTTTACTATTGAAGACGTTGAACCCTGAACATCCTGGTCACTATTCAGACCCCATTGTCTGACCTGAGAGCGTGCTGCTGTCCTGCTGCGCGTTGTCCAAGGTAGCCTGCAGGCTGTTGTTTCTGCTCTGTGTTTCCCTGAGCTCCTCGCACACCTCCTCCAACTTCCTCTGCAACACCAGCTCCTTCTGCCCATGGCTGGCCTAAGAACGACGAAAACCATCCAAGATGTGAACAACAGCAGGTGGCAGCAAAGATTCACAACATTATCCTACTTGGCCACATTGATTCCTAAGAAAATTGGTGAATTTTTTGATGAAACATCGTATGGCAGCACACAGAATAGAAAATTCCCACAATCACAATACGATTTCGCTATAGGTTATGCAACAAGAAAACCTCAAGAAAATTTCCATTGGTCACAACATGTTTAAAGACCATAACCTGTTAGGACGCATGTTAGTAAATGATTCACTAAGGGAACACTTGAAGCGCTGACTCACTTGTGCCACACGAGCCGTAATAGTTCAGACTAACAACATTCCACCAGTAAGTGACTGCTTAGGCGGTCACTTATATTATATATATCTAAATAAATATACATATTTAAAAAGTAGCAGAGAACGTAAGAGGGGGGGGGGTAATGTCTGAAAGCCCTGCGTTGGTCCTGCTGTTCGCAGCCTCTTACAGGGGGCTGGAGAGGAGAGGCGCTCGGACACGCACACATTCCAGCCGGTGCTGCCGAGAAGCATTTTTCCCTGACGCACCATCATATTGTGTGGCTTCTTTCCAAAGCAGCCCTGAGCTGCGTCGTTACAGGACAATCAAACTCCCAATAACAAAAGGAGGGTAGGCGTACAGGTATGAGACGTTTGCACTTTGGGTTTACTCTGTAACCAACTGGCCGCACAAACAAGAAACACCGTTTGTAGAATAAAAAGGTGTAAACGTTTGTTTCCATGTGGAAATGTCATCCTGTCCAATGTACTGTATGTGTTACGGTGTGGTGTTCCCACAAGCCAGGCCAACCTGCAGCAGGGAGAGCTGCTTCTCTACAGCGGAGAGCTTGGCCTCTAGCCCTTTCCTGATGTGCTCATCAGCAAGCAGACCTTCCGTCTTCTCTCCAAGTTCTTTGGTTAACTTTGCGCATTCCTGACGCAGCTTGGCCAGCTCTGCGTTTTGCCTGAGGACAAAATGAAAGACACGGAGGGAGAACAAGTCAAACATTAAGAAAATGAGCAAATCTTCAGTGCTCCCAACACACCTGAGTTTGTACTTAATTTGCACTTTCATTGCTGTGATTACTGTTACAGGGAATCACTCACTTGCTCTCAGCCTGACTGGTGGCTTGGTTGAGGGCGTCGCGGAGAATGGAGTTCTCCTGCTGGAGACGGGCCAGCTGGGCATTGGGGCCTTTTTCCAACTGGTCCTGTAGGCTGACAACCTGTCAGATTGTGTTAAAGTGTTTTTTAAATTAAACCAGCCACGTTGGACTCGTTCCCCTTTTGGAGAATGGGGTTCTAAATAGACTTAAAGACTTAATTACAAACAAAAACAAGAAAAAATATGATACTATATTAAGGAATTGGTTGGTTGTTTGGTATAACTGACCTTAGCAGTGAGCCCCTGGGTCTGCGCCACGTGGTCCTGGTAACTGGCCTGCATGCGTGCTTGCAGAGCAATCATTTCTTGCTCCCTCTTACTCAGCTGGGAGCTCAGCCTGGTCTCCACACTTGCCACCTTCGACTTCTCAGCAGACAGCTCCTAAAAAAAACAGAGCACGGTAAGATTCAGATTCTGAGGCAGAGACAAAAGAGGAATTCACGTCAGATAGATTACTGTGGAATCTGCTGCGAAACCAATGATGGATCATTTCATGTACTTTCACCCATTGGCTGCCACGGATATTACAAGAGACGACTTTGAAATTGAGTCCTTTATGATTTTTAATGCACGTGCCCAGGGTCTTGCAGTAACCACGCCACGTACCTCTAGCGCCACCTTCAGGACAAAAGGTGAAGAGGGCAGCAAATGTGAAAATTAACCCTTTTAATTCAGGTAATTGCATGGGGGTTTTCTTCCACTGACACCTTCATCCAAACGAAAACCTCTTGCCTAGTCTACAAGGTGTACCTACTCTAGTACACTACTAGTACACTAGTAAAAAGGGTCCAATAAAGGCAAAGATTGTCCTCCAAAACACAATTTTTGTTTTCTGATGCAATGGGTATTAGGAGTCTCACGGGCAACCAGGATGGCTACAGACACGTGAACTTCTAACCTTGGCGAGTTCTCTTTGGCGATTCTTTGCCGCAGAAGATTCCTCTTGTTCTGCCGCCAGCTGTTTCTCCCTCTCCTCCAGTTGTTTCTTCAGCATGGCCACCGGGTCTCCTTTCTGAGTGGCCTGAAACACGTTACGTACAGAGAAAAATAAAGTGGGTCTCCTTTCCCAGCATGCACTCAGTGAGCGAGCACCAGCACATTCCAGCTAGTTTTGCAAGTGTCCCTCCTCATCCCCGACTCCAGCTTCCATTACCTTGTGCCAGGTCTCCTGAATGATGCCAACCTTCTCAGAAAGGATCTCGATGAGCCTATGAGCCTCGACCTCACTGAACACCATGCTACTGATGGTGGACACCAGAGCCTTGTAGGGCAGGTACAGGGGCGCGTCGGCAGAATCCACCGCTGCCACTAAAGAGGCAAACACAAAACATTTCAAGGAAGCCCACAACACGTGTGGCCAATTATCAGTTTATAGATTTTGTATAATAAACCATTCCGGAGTTCATTAGGCTCTCGTAAGTGTGAATTCCTACACTGCCACGGGGAAAACACCACGTTGCCCCTTGTCCTTGGGGTCCGGGCAGCATCGGATGGCCAAACGATGGGGCACTGTGGCACCAGGCGGAGACAAGCCTCGGGCAAGGGAGAACCCCCACTACCCCCCCCGGCCATTGTAAGGGCACTGAGAGCCTTTGTCAGCTTAACTAAACAGGGCAGCGGTGTTTGGACAAGCTAGCGTGCGCTATGGCCGCCAGGGCCGAATGCCAGAGATTACCAACAGACTGCCATTGGCTTGTATTCCCCCCTTCAAGTTCTTCAGTGCTGCCATGGTGAGTGTATTGCGTGCAAGCTGTACAGACATACCCGCCCCCCCTCCAAACACTTGAATGCGATCACCAGTGTTATGGCTAATGCAATTCCTAGCACAATAACAGTTTCCACCTCATGGGAAAAGGCTAATTCCAAACAATAATGATCCAGAGTAATAACATTGATAGACTACAGGGGCTTTGGTCCATAGGTTTGTGGGTACGTTTCATTTGCGTGAAAGATGAATCGTTTAACAGGAAAGGAAAATTTAGCAGCAGGCTTAGCAGAGACCAAATAACAAGCATCTTTTAAAATATAGTAAAAAAAAGAATATTGACATAGAGATATAGAGGGGAAGTTAAGAAGAACTTAAAGATGGTGAATAGTTAATCAAAACTGATGTATCATTTTATTACTGTATCATTATTTCCCCATGCTGAACACTTCTGTATTTTGGAAGGACTTAATCATTAATAAGCCCTTCAGAGAGATATCCGTTACACTGTGTCCATGTTCAAGTGCAAAATGATCATTTCATTTCTCTAAACACATCTGCTTACCAGCTTCAGGCTTCTTCTTAGAGGCCTTCTTCTTGGGCTCCTGAACCTTTCCTACAACAGCCGGGGTCTGCTGAGACCCAACTGGGGGCACCGCCATCCCTGCGACATCTTTAGTGACAGCTTCCTGCACCGGGGCAGTCTTGGGTGCAGCAGGTGAAGCCTTGGCTGCGGCCATCTTGGCTGGGGCTGCAGCAGTTTTTGTGGGGGCAGGGGCAGACTTAACTGGGGCAGATGCAGGCTTGGCGGGGGCAGGGGCAGGCTTGGCGGGGGCAGATGCAGGCTTGGCGGGGGCAGATGCAAGCTTGGCGGGGGCAGGGCCAGGGTTGGCTTGGACGGGGGCGGGGTAGGCTTGGCGGGGGCAGGGGCAGTCTTGGCGGGGGCAGGGGCAGGCTTGGCGGGGGCAGGGGCAGGCTTGGCGGGGGCAGATGCAGGCTTGGCTGGGGCAGATGCAGGCTTGGCTGGGGCCGAGGAGGGCGCATTTGCTTTAGTCAGGGAAGACATGGGGGTCTGGTTTGATGCAGGTACTGAGGAGGACTTGACGGCTGCAGAGGCAACCACAAGTGGGGCCGCTTGGGAAGAGGCTGGCTCGGCCTTCGCCACCTTCTTCTTCTTCTTCTCCTTTGGGGAGGGTGCAGGTGAGCGCTCGATGACAGCAGGGCTTGGTTCAGGAGCAGTCGTTGGCTCAGGAGCTGCTGTTGCTGCATTTGGCTTAACATCTAAATCAGGGACACGTTCTGGTTCGGGGGCAGCGGCTACAACTGGGGCGGCAGCGGGCTCAACGACCACGTCGGCCTCAACGTCCTCTTGAGTTTCATCAGGCTCTGGGATTTTTCCATTCGGCTTATCCTCTTTCTTCTTCCCACGGCCCTTCTTCTCAGATACTTTGTCCTTCTTCTTCTTGTCAGAGCGGGCGGAGTGTATCTTACCCAGCTCGCTGCGTTGTTTAGCCAGCGCTTCCTCGTAAGAAGTCTCCTTCATCGAGAAGGTGGAGACGAGAGCAATCCCGAGAGCGGAGATCACCATGAATCCACCAAACACCATTATCCCCAAGGTCTGGGGGTCATAGATATCCATGGTTCAATTTCAGTTGACCTAAAAAGAAATTGGCAGACGTGTCAACACAGTAAACAACTTACGACTAAATCATACAGCAAATAATACTATATAATACCAAAAGTATTTATATGTGCCGTGGCAAAATCAAACTGAAAGCAGCTTTATTTATTGAGGATTTGATGATAGAATTGTAGAATTGTGACGAATCGCAGCAGTTTCCTTCAAAAGGCCTCAGGGTGTCACTATTATACCCATAAAACCTTTGCCTTGAGGCCGGCCACATAAGGACCAGCACATCTTACAAGCTAAATCTATGGATACAGCTGAGATATGGAAAGTTTACTTGATCCTGTGTCGGACTATTTGCCAGTACTCAAAATACGCTAAAATGATTGGTGCAAAGGACCTCGCTGATTGTATGAAAAAGGGGACTTAAGACAAATCAGCTATTTATAATTTAAACCAAAGCTAAATATAAATGTACGGCAGGGAAACTTTCAGAAAACATTTTATAGCAGTTGGCTGGTAGTTAATGTAAAAAAATAAATAAATAAAAAAGAGCATAAACGTATGTATCCTTCAACTATCCCTTTGAGGCTCTTGTTACAAACCAGAATGTTTAGCCTGCAGGGGATGATTGTTGGTTGACGGGAGCTTAGTCCCTACAAACACATTCTTTCATGTATTCTTGCATAATCATTAGGGCCAACCTTGCTTGTGTTACAGGAAGGGAGGTTTATCCCTTATGAAAACATATATATATATATATTAAAAAAAGTTCAACGTGGGCCATTACTGAATTTTTTTATTTTTTTAAATCGAACAGTGTGACGTGGTAAAAACTGCTGAGTCCAGAGTCCGTGTTCGTTGCAGAGTCAAATCGCTTCAAGCGAAGGAAAAAAAAAGGTTTGTACTGCCTCCTTATCTGTGACGTCACGCGTCAGCCTTGGCTGAGAATTACGACTTCCAGTAAAAACGATTTGTAGTGACTTTCCGAAGATGAAAAATGCATCTCTGGCTCCGTGAGAGACGAACTATGAGATTACGTTTGTTCGTAATGGTTTGTAACCATTACACACGAACATATCGAACTTTTGCTGCATTAACGTGAGTTCGTGGAAAAGAAAAATCCATCTTTTCTTTCAAGACGGTAATGGTGTTTGGTTATTTCAGCATACTTAACGCATGTGATTATACTTGCAAATTGAAACAAAAAAATTCAGACTTGGATAAATTACTTTAATGCATATTAAACCAATCGACTTCTACTAGCGTCCCAGCTAATTTATATATTAGTAATGAGTATCAGACTGATTAATGCTGGAATTCCAAAAGTGTGACGACAACTAAAAAACATTTCTACGGCTAATGAGACACACTACGTGGTAATCCATAGGAACATATTAAATTAATAAAAAAGTGTGTGCATTCCGGTTATTTTTCTAAGGGAACTGCTTGGAACATTACTTATAAGCTAGCATTGGAGCTAACGATATGAATCAATGAACTTGGCTACGGTCCTGCACAATAGTGTCGCTTTACGTTATTAAACTGCGCCTCAATAGCCATTGAAACATGGCAAATTAAACAGTGAGGGAGGGGGGGAATTCCAAGATAAGTTCAGATAACTTTGACGGCTTGTCTCTCCGTATTAGTTGGTAGCCCAAGGAGTTAGCGATCGGTAGCTTCCCAAGCTAGCTAAAACTGGCTCAAATAAATAGAAAAATTCCAGAACTTCCACACTTACCGTGGCGGTGATGTCGGCTCGCTTCTGTGGAATGGAGAGAGAGGAGTGGAAAGCCGCGTTGACTCGTGACTGTTAAGTGAAATTACTTCTGCGTAAAGGCGATCTATTTATCCAGCTAACTAGCTTCTTCTTTTTTTCCTCCTTCTTCTTTTCTCTCTCCCGACGCTGTTCCCCTCGCTCCGCTGGAGGATCCGTGGTCCGCTGTGAAGTCGTGGCACTTCGAGCTGGCTAGACGTGTTGGCCCGGCGCCCCGGAGAGCTGCCATGAATCCAGGGCGCTTCTGATTGGCTGTGACGCGACCGAGCCGGAAGTGAGCGCGCTGGGATTTGTAGTCTTCTTTTTGAGAACGCCGAGGCTCGTCTACTAGGTGGTTTCTATGTCTAACAAAAGGTTTGTTAAAAGTGTACTGTGATATTATTAACTCGAGACAATTGGTCGAGTACAGTCCTTTATCCAAATATTTTGTCCATCTTGAGAGACGTTATACTTGACACCTTTTTAAAGAAGCAGTTGCGTGGCAGCAATCGGGTTTTTTCTTGCAAAGAAATCTCGCTTCCCTTTTGGTTTATAATCATGATGATCCAAATCCGACCTCAAAACTGTCTTTCGGTATGATTTATGCAAAATGTATCAGTTTGTTCTATTGCAGCTCTTCTTTGAACCGATATGAGGTTTTAACTGAAAGAAAAGCCAAAGATATTTTGTCATATCGAAATAAAGTATTTTTTTTTCAAATTCAGCCCCACACAGAATATTGGGAAGTGTTCTATTGTCATTTGATTTATAAGTCCTCTGGGCTTGAACAAAACTATCCTTTATCTGTAACACAAAACGTGCTTGCACTATACTGCTTCAACTATAGGCCTGCTATCATCACTAGGGTTTGTTTTCCACACCCTTTATTCTTCTAACAAAAGTAGCACATGGGAATCATAATGAAGTAGTGTTAATGTGACTCATAAGAAACATGCAAAGGCATTGTGTGCCTTTTATGTCATAATTAAGATAACAATGAAATACACACCTACCTCCGTTACTCATTTGAAAAGTATTTTTAGAAGCATAATTGACTTCCTCAAACTGCCTAACACTCGTCATACTGAGATGGTCTTCGTCAACAAATTGTGTTGTGAAATAGGCCTCACAATACTCCATCCATCCATCCATCCATCCATCCATCCATCGTCAAACCGCTTATCCTGCACACAGGGTCGCGGGGGGGCTGGAGTCCATCCCAGCCAACTTCGGGCGATAGACAGGGTACACCCTGGACTGGTCGCCAGCCAATCGCAGGGCTACACAGAGACATACAACCAATCACACTCACATTCACACATCTACGGGCAATTTAAAGTCCCCAATTAACCTGATCCAGAGCATGTCTTTGGACTGTGGGAGGAAGCCGGAGAACCCGGAGAGAACCCACGCAGACACGGGGAGAACATGCAGACTCCACACAGAAAGGCCACTGGGCGGAATCGAACCCAGGGACCTTCTTGCTGTGAGGCAACAGTGCTAACCACCACGCCACCATGCCGCCCCCGCCCTCACAATACTCAATATACCCAATTCAAGACGTCCACTATCACAAAAATACGGCACCTTGAGAAATTCCCAACACTTCAACTGTACCAGTAGATGTGACTGGACTACCTGCTCCACCTGGACCCCCGCCTGTTTTTCTCTCTCACACATATCAATGGAATTTCTGCGGGTTTAGTTTGGTAGGATTGTTTACGAACCCAAGAGCCTTGCCCCGGTGCGAACCAGTGTTACTGATTACAAATCCCTATGAATCCATATCCGGCCGCCGGGGAACAGCCTACGGGCTTGAGCTTCTCATACCAACTCTGCATCGCACGAGCTTTTCCAAGGGTTTCAATTTGCCTGCTTAGCTCTGGCTGTCATATTTGTATGTTGTGATAATCAAGATGATAACTATCACTATTACTAACGGCATCGCAAGAACGTCTGTATAATATGAATGATTAATCACACCCAAAGTATTTCTGTTGTGTGATGTATTTGAAGTTCACATTTCCCACACAGTTCACCTACATATCAGTTGAGATTGATTGTATTATGTGCATGGAAACAAAAGACTGCGGTCTTCCGTTACACTTACTGCATATCAACAAACTTAGGAGGTAGACAGGTGGGGGGAAATAATTGAAGGAAGCTGTATAGCTGTGATGGACACAACGATGAGTCACCATGTTCTCTTTCACCAAGCAAGTACAGAGTTCAGTCATGGCAGCCTTGCAGGTGACCCTAGAGTGTGCCCCGTCAGAGGTCATGGTTTCTATTTGAGGAGGCCTTCGTGCTTCATGCCTCCTCCTTCTGTCTACATTTGTTTAAGACTTTTTCGGTTGAACACTGTAGAGCTTTGGGACATGAAGCAGCTGCTCTCACAGGCTCAGTCAGCGTAACTAAGAAGTTGGTTCTTTACAGTTCACTTATCCATGATCCTCAGAAACACCTGACTTTCCTGACACGACCTAGCATGAAATGGCACATATGAACTTTACCCCCCCCCCCCCCCCTCCCCTATTATTTGCTTTACACTTTTGGTCATAGCGTTTGATTATGCTTTCCCCAATTCCTAAGCCAGATAGTCTTAGAGGATAGGATTCTGATTTAGAATCATTACAATGGAGATGAATAAATTATTAATGGCCAGTCACTGATTATTTTTCCAAAAGATCTGAAAATGTTCAAAATCTCCTTATGACAAATTCAAACCAGCGAATCATCTAAGCGTGCCCAAGGGGAGATAAGCACATTCATAAAGTCAGCAAAATAAGTCTTTGAAGCAGACAGATTAGTTCCTTTACTCAATTGTAGACTAATTTTTACACAGTACAATAATGCCTTAGATGATTTTTTTTCCGGCTATTAGAACCAGAACGGAGGGAATTCTTTATTATAACACAGCAGCTATGCAAACGGAACATGAAAAGAGTAAATTTAGCTCTGATACTTCTTTTTCATATGGGTATATACTCAGATTGGAATTGCTCATAATGAACTCTCTACAAGGAACTACCAGACCGTGGCACCTGAAAACAGGCACGTCGTCTTACGGTCTGGGAGGCCTTGTTCTTTGGTTCCGTCACAGCATTAATGTACATCCTTCAGAAACTATTTGCTCTGATCCCAGTTGGTAAATGTTATCAGTTTGCACTGATAATGTGTTACAATCCCATTGGCTCTTGTCTGTGGTTGCATCCAATCAGTGAACTGACCAAACAAGTTACTGTGACTGCACTATTAGGGACGTCAATATTGACTAATCCATCATGGGCCGGTACCGTATATATTATCTCTCTCAATCCACGTCACACTGAGGTTTAACCTTTTTAAGCTGTGTGTCTGAGTAATTATATTATGACAGTTTATTCTGTGTGCTGCTTGTCTTAATATATATAGTGTTTTATCTTTAAAGGGTTTCACTTGGGCTGTAGTGTTAGCACAGACTGCTTGTTTCGGTCATATAGCTTAATGCAACTCATACAGTAGGACTTGAAATGTGCATTCTGGTAGCGGTGGTGATTCCCACGAGCACGCTGGCATTTCCTCATAGGGTACCAAATACAGCAGACAGTCTCTTCACAGAATCCACCAGGGTCAATGGATTTAACACAAACTTTTGTGCATTCAGCGGTGTTGAGATTCTTGATCCCACACAGGAAAATCTAATGGATAACGGATGCCGAGGATGGATGACATCGCCACCTAGTGGTATGACAGGGAACTCTTTAAAGTGCAGATGTACGTTTTCGTACCACAGAAAACATGTGTTATTGTTACTTTAAAAAAAAGCTATTAACCCACTAAAGAAATACAAAATGAAACCAATCAATCTTGGGAAAGTAGGATTTATTCAATATCATTGTTACAAATTTATAAAAAAAAGGCTAATGTTCTGTAAGAAAACACAATGTAAAGGAATTCACACAGTTGGAATCCATTAGAAATACATTCAATTTCTTAAAAAACTATAATGCATTTCAACACTCCACTGAGCCTGGTCGTGATAGTAGAGTGCATTTTATTTATTTAGTGCATCGTTGTAGAAATTGTTTAAATAAACAAAATGTGTAGAGGATCTGGTAAATATATCAGGCCTGATACACAAGACCGTCCGTATCAATAACCAAAAGTGGAATCTAGGGCAAAATTAAGAAAACAATAATTACGGACAAAACATTAATGGGCATAGTTGGTTAGGGTGAAGAAGCTGCTGAGGACACGATACATGTAGTAGATGGATAACACATAAGCATTGTGCAAATAAAGACTAAAAGCCGATTCAGTCATTACTACGGTGGATTTCGCTAGATGCTCAATCATCCAACTGATGACTTGTTCTCACCCATCTACAACCCTAAACCCTGAATAATTTGATTATTGTGGGATCTGAAGGCATTTTTTTACAAACAAGAAGGTGGGGACAGATCCAACTGTCTATATCAGAGATGAAGTGCCGCTATTTTAGAACACTTGATGTTGGATGATTGGTCTTATCTCATTAGGTCAGTCGTGAGTTTCTAAGAGTTCATTTGTCATTGCTCTAATCTCCAGATCATGACGATGTTTTATTTCCTCTAAGCACTAGTTTTGCTTCTGTAAATCTGCTCCATTACCAAACAAAAAAGCCCCAAAAAGACTTATGGACACGCCCTTAGCCTAAAAGAAAAAGAAAAATGAACAGTACCAGTCATAAGATTGGACACACTGTCTCATTCAACCCAATGAGAAGTTGTGTCCAAATTTTGAATGGTACTGTGCTTAAAAGTGTAGAAGAGCTTTGAGTTCAAATTTATCGAGGCAAAATCTGATGAAAAAGGCATATGTGCAGAAAATAGAAAACATAAAATTAGAAAAAAAGAAGAAAAAAGATTAACCTCAATTGCCTTAATGCTGGCATCCTCATTCTCCGGATGCATTCACATCGAGTTAAGACTTCCATAAACAATGGGAAAGGAGGGACCGCGGACCAGAGGACAGGGACTGTAAACATGAAAACATTTTGCTCACAAGACACTTGGTCTCTAGCAGGGTTTTAAAGTGGCATCAGCCCCGTGGATGGGATCAAAGGTAGGGCCTGGATACGCATCCATGCAAGGCCCCGGGGACGCCAGGATTCCATTCACTGTGACTGGTCCCTCGGTGATGGCAGCGGAGGAATACTTGTCAGATGCTCTTGAGCAGGTCAATGCATCCCTGCAATAGAGTCACGTTGTTCTGTGGACACAGGAGAAAAACGGTATTGACACTCCGGTCGTCTCACCAAATAAAACCTTATGACGCGTGCTTCCGTCCTGGTTACAATCAGGTTGTTGAATGTCCTATCCACATTGGCAAGTGCAAACATGTATTTTTAAGGTGCTAGTGGCTTTATAAAAGTATGAATATTTATAATAAAACATTTATTCGTAATTTATGACAGTTGATGACGAGGAGTGAAATTCCACTGCTGATGGTGTTTTCTGGGATACATGTGGGTTGATTCAATGACACTATGACTGTTATGGTAATTGATTATCAAAAGGAATCTACATATTTTGGACACAAAGCGTAATTGTGTAGAAATTGGGTCGGCTGTTCTGTGCCGTTCACCTTGGCATGTTTTATCTCCAGCTCGGCCATCTCGATCAGGTTCTTCCTGAAGGCCACAACGCGCCTGCCCTTGAAACTGGTGAGTTCTGTGAGGAGAACGATGTCCGGTTTAAAAAGGGATTGCATCCGATTAGTTCATTACATTTCACAAGGAAGCGTGCACAGAATGAACGGACCTTTCTTTCCAGAATCCGAGAGTTTGTCAAATTTCTGCAGGCACTGCTGCTGGTGCTGCTCTGCCTGGGGAATGTCCTTGCTCTTCAGTCGAGCCTTATCCAAAGCCTTGTTGGAGTTCTCATAGTCCACTAACGCCCGAGCTCGCCTGTACAGAAGGTCCTGACATGTTCCAGATGGTTTAAAACATGAGAAACTAAAATCATAGAGAGACTTAACTCGTCTTCATTTGGAAAATATCTAGCAATACATTAAGCTCAAACTAACTGCATGTTAGCAACATTTTACCAGCAGATGTGCTTGACAGAAAATAGTAACTATCAAGGATGCACACACTTTTTTTGTAATGACTTGGTTTCTTGCTGCTCCTCAAATACAAATATTTGATTTGAATAAATCCATAATAAGTAATTGTGCTGAATGAAACCAATATGAACATCTCTGATTGCATGCTGTTTATCTTCAATTCATCATTGAATATAATGATGAATCAGCCATACATCGCAATACAGCTTTACTCATCAAGAGCAAGTAAGCAAAAAGCTGTGTTTGTTGCAATATGTATTTGTTATTTCCATGAGTCTTGTTCTGCGCAATGTGTCGCATCGTGAATCTGGGGACCTCGTCTCACCTTGGCAGCCTGGATGTCTCTCATGTAATATCTGAGAAGCTCTGTGAGTTTCAGCTCCTGGTCAGATGCTACTCTTCCCTCTACTTTCTGCAGAAACACAAAAGAAGACAAGTTGTGGCCACCAAAATGTACGTACTAGTCCGACCAAAATACGACACCCCTGGCTCAGTAGGTTCATTTTACGTACTCGGAGCTTCTCAAACAGGTCGGCCAATTTCTCCAAGTGCCTGAGGAAAAATGTTAAATGCATAACTTTGAAAACTTCGCACAAACTCTGTCCTTGCATAAAAATCATGAAATTATATATTAACCTCACTTTTTATTTGCTGTGGTATCATCAGCAGAGAGAGTGCTCAGAGTGGCAGAGATGTGGATGTAATCATCCGCAATATCTGTAAAATAAATTAGCAATCAAAGGAAATTCTAAATGTAAAAAGGGGATTTATTCCACTCAAAGTCTGTGATAATCCGGCAACGTTAAAAACCCTGTCGTACTTTTGTGCGAGCGCGTCATTTTCTCGGCTTTGGCAGTGGAATCCTTTATCTTGCTGTAGTAGTCAAGCAGGAATGTCTTCTCTTGCTCAAAAAAATCATCCACTTCCTGTGTAGGACACAAACCGAAAGGTAATTGGGGAAGTGGCTACAACATTGCGACTGTAAAGACACATGTACTGTTAGTAGATCATGCGCAAGTCTCACCTTTATTCCTGAGATAAGGACCTCATCAGCTGACTTCACCATGTTTTTAAAGAATCCGCCAAACATTTCCTTGGCATTCTTTCTTCGCACAGTTAGCTAAAATGACAGAAAGGGTACGTGTAAAACAATGACTCGATAACTATGTAAAACGCATTATATGTTATTATGGGAACTAAGTAAAGAAGTTTGGGATTTTATCAATACTTTTATTTGTGTCTTGTTGTTTTTTTTGCTTGTCCCTCCCTCACTGAGAGCAAAACACTCGACTAGATCACGACTCTTTGCTGTCCTTCCTCCTAAACGGTGGAATGAGCTCTCTGATGACATCAGGACCGCAAGAGAGCCTTCACATCATCCACCGCAAACTAAAGACACACCTCTTCAGACTCTACCGTGACTGAAAAGACTAGCTGTTATATATAGGAAGTTGTAGATTTAGGTTTAATTGATGAAATGACACTTTCTTGTTCTTTTGTGTCTGTATCCTTATGGCTGAAATGCACTAACTGTAAGTCGCTTTGGAAAAAAGTGTCAGCTACATGTAATGTAGACAAACTTTCAGAAATAAATACTTTAAATCTTAGCAAAGCTACGTTAACAGCAAACACATCCAATGACAAAAGATGACATAGACAACTGCTGATCCCAGCAGGATGTAAGCCATGTGACACTAGTCTCCCGTAAAGTCTACTTCCTCTTTACCAACTGACATCTCGGGAAAGGAAGTCAGCAGAATGGGGAACTCACATCCTGGTCATACTCTAAGAAAATCTGGAAGTTTCGGTCTTTGCTTAAAAAGGGGTGAGAGGACAATCTCTGCAGGAAGACTTCGTGCACTTGGACGGTTTTCTTGAACACAGCCAGGTACTCACTGAAAATAAAACCAAACAGATACAGCAAGGTGTTTTAAAAAAAAAAAAAACTAACTCAACACGGTGTATAGAATACAATGCACGTTGTTTCAGTCGTGCGTCACACTCACGCCTCCAACTCCTGCTTCATTTTAGTGTACTCCTCCTTGGTCATAGTGGCTTCACCTTCCCCAAGTTTGTGCATTTTCTCTCTCGGGCTCTCAAAGTCAGGCTTTGGGGGCGCTGGAGGAATCTATGGATGATGAAGTAGGAAACAAAACCTTACTTAAGATTCATGACAGGTTGATGCTTAATGCGTCTTTAGAAATCCAACTTACAATTAGGCCAGCATAGTCCTCCGTCTCAACCAGAGTGTCATGTAGCCAGATGAAGTCTTCATGCTGCCTTGGTACGGAAAAATCTGGCTTCTGGAAAGAGCTTAGTGTTGTCTGGGAACGGACATAATTCCATTATATTTTCATTAGGAAAACAACATATTAGCATATTATAAATGACTTTAAGGTGAGTAGCAAAGTTATGTTATTTTCACTTTACCTTGGTATGGACAGTAAACTTGACTTTGTCCCTTTCACAGAGTGCATCAGGAATGTCGATGAGAAGAGAGGCGTCATGGTTCAGATCTACGGACACGGAGCGCATCTAAGTAGAAGGAATAAACCAAGGTTACCAAAAACACGTTTACCGTCAGACCGTATGTATACAGACAATATCAATATTGTGCTCAAATGTATTTTTCATTTTGGTTATGGTCATTTAGTTCTATATCTTTTTCCCCACCATGATTCCAAGTGCCATTCAATCATTTTGATTTGGTTTGATTTGACAATTCATCTACAGTGTTGCCTCTTGACATTCCTGCAGGCTGCCGAGGAGTCGAGCTTTAAAAAGTGGGACTGCATGTAGCACGGACATCAACAAAGCACAGCTCATAACTGCTGCATTTGATTCAGTCAAGCTCATATTCAGTTGGCATTCATACTTAAACTATCTTAGTATCAGCCCGTTCTTTCTTTGTGTCTGCGAGTTATTCCTCAAACACAAATACACAAACAGGACAGAGGAATGTCCCGTTAGCAGCCACAATGTTTATAGCCTGAAGCCATCGTCATCCGACACCCTAATTCTGCAATTAATTAGTTCTACAACTAAACAATGAGGACATGTTGGACGTTAAATGTTTAAATGGAAAACACTTGAGACCGGGAACAGTCTTTATCAATAGAGCGCATTTATGTGAAACCTGCCTTCGTCCATTTGGAAAGCATTCTTGAGTTTAGAGTTTGACGTGTCTTTATCAGGGTGTTTGGTAAAAGTTTTGGGAGGAGTTCGTTTTGGATCTCAACAGTAGATACAGAGAAGGAACAGTTTCTATCATTTATATCGTTGCTGATGAATGCGCGCGCGCACAGGCAGACACACACACACACACACACACACACACACACACACACACACACACACACACACACACACCTCCTTCACAAAGGTGTTTATTCGAACTAACTTTAGGGGGTCTACTTATGTAACTAGTATCGTCCCCATGATAAACTTATTTCGATAGTTGGTCATTTTAGCTCACTGGAAGTCACCAGAGTTGTCAAAAGCCAATGTTGCTAGACGTTAAGACGTAAAACAAACTATAAATGAATGCCACTCAGGCTAACGTAATGTTGCGTGTAAGTTATCTGTGCACTAAGGGAAAAAAAACATTGACATTAACACGTACAGCATGTCAGGCAAATAATACGATTCGACAGCCATGGATTAATCGATAGCACAAACGTCGATGGGGCGTTCGCTAGCTTTAGTGGCTAATGTTGAGCAGACAGAAAAACAAACACAAGTTAGCGGCAATAAGTTAGCCTTCCTGCCAACCGCTAACGTTAGCTAACCGTTACCTCAATGCTACCTCAGCTGACTTCCGCTGTCATTTAGATGCAAGACACGTTGAACTGACCTTTTCCTTGTTGCTTTCGTCTATGCTGGATGTCATGATGACACTGAAATCGACAGCACGGCAAGAACAGGCCAGCAACCAAAAATAACAAAACTCTAAGCAGGAAGCTCTCCCTCTGCCGACTGGTTAGATACCCGAAGAACTGTCATCCCGTCCCCCCCTCCTGATGATGACAATTAAACCCCGCCTTCAAGTGGATTTGATTGGACAAAATCGACAACAAGTACAACCATTAGTTTTTGACCGTGTCACTCACACGACCTTCACTTTTCCATTCATGTGGTTTAATATGAATGCGTTCTGATAAATAGTTTTTTAAACGAAGACTGTATTCTGTTATCATTAGCAAATGGATAAACGGTGAGCGTAAAAATAAATACAAAGTAAATTGTACCAGCCAACTCTGAGCGGGCACCAGTGGCGTCATTGATTCACTATGCATTGTGGGTAATGTAGTCACTACTGTTGCAAATACCCGGAAGTTCAAATCACTTCTGCGGAAGTTTGTGCTGCCAAATAATAGAAACAATGGTGTTTGTTTGGACGAGTTGCCCTGGGACATGTTAGGGCAAGTATCGTCACCGAAATGAAGGAAAGACTCCTGTGAAAACACCGAAGCATCTGTAGTCTAGGCTGTGGGTCCGGATGGCTAGCTGGTAGCTTAATCTGCTCTCTGCTTGTTCTGAGAAGCGGTCACAATGTTGGTTGTTAAGCGCGTGGTGCGCTTTGCGGGAACCGCCGGCCCGCGATGCGCCGACCTCTCTGTGAGCCACTTATCTGCCTGCCACCGCCTACCGTCCCCAAAGAGACACAGCCCGTACAGCTCGGTGGACAGTGACCGCTACTCCTCTCTCGTCAAGTCGGTCATGTCATCCAGGGTCAGTTCCCAAACCCCCGAGAACCTGCAAGCGGAGGACGAACACGTTTACGGACCCGTCGTCAAAGGTCCAGCGCCATCCTCCGGAGCAGCAACGAGGGTACCCAAAACCCTGCACCCCTTCTTGCACCCTCCCGAGACTCTAGAAGCCGAGGAGCCCGAGACGGGACCACTAACCCGGATTGTATTAAACCGAGAAGGCCGGTCTTCCGTTCCGAGCGTGACCCGCGTTCTTCAGCAGACCCTGTCCAAGGAGCAGATCTTCTACCTGGAGCGCTGGAAGAGGAGAATGATCGCAGAGCTCGGAGAGGACGGCTTCAAACAATACAGCCAGAGTACGTTGTGCAACATCAATCTAAGCTGCTGTTGAATTATGTGTGTGTTGTGGTCACTTGGATTTGGGTTCTTGTTTTCAATTTTAGATTTATTCAAGCAAGGGAAGCTTTTCCATTCAGCCGTTGAGGACATCCTGGCTTCGGGGGGGACTTCCCAGAGCAGAAATGCTTCTGAGGCTTCAGAGCATCCACTGGAGGTCCAGGGGTACCTGGAGAGCATCTCTCATGTGCTGGAGGACGTCACGGCAGTGAGAGCCACTGAAAGCACCGTGCATCATGACGCACTGAACTATCTGGGGATTTTGGATTGTGTTGCTCGCTACAGGTAAATATTGTGGTTTGCAGACAACGGTAGACTGAACTATTTCCATACTAGACTTGACTCCAGTGTAAATCCTGTCTTGCAGGGGTGTACTATGTGTCATTGACTGGAAGACTTCCGAGAAGCCCAAACCTTTCCTGAGCAACACTTATGACAATCCTATTCAGGTGGCAGCCTACGCCGGTGCGTTGAACAACGACAGCAACTACAAGTACCAGGTGATCTACTGGGAGCAACGATGTGATGATATTTTACTCCTCTGCTTGTGTTGGAAAAATTGTTACTCGACACCAGCGCAAAATTATTAAACAGGACATGAATTAATAATACTTGCAAGTAGGAGACAGAATTGACAACATTCACAGGTTATGCATCAAGGCTACTCAACGATCCTCTTCTCTGGCGCTGAAAGATAATCATAATAAAACGGAGGGTGGGGTGCAACACCGAGTAATCGATCTTGGATAATGGATATAGACCGTCATGTTTTTCCACCTCAGGACACACATTTTACCCCATGAGTCACCACGAGATTATCTGGACACTGACGCCTGTGCATCTTGGCTAATCAGATGTACACGGGTATCGTTGCACTGCTGACTATGACTTGTATTTTTCCCCAACGGTTTGTCATTCAGATGCTTGACATATCTGTCAGGTCCTGTACTCAAATCATGAATTAAATAACATTCATCTTGTCTGCTACAGTGTGTTGAACAAAACTTGATGGAATGTCTTACCTCACTTGTTTCTTCTCATAACAGGTTGAAAATGGGCTCATAGTTGTAGCCTACAAGGATGGCTCTCCCGCCCATGCTCATCAGTTGAGCGCAGAGCTGATGTTGCACTACTGGAAAACTTGGTTGATTCGTCTCGAAGAGTTCATAGAAAAAAGGTAAAACAATGAGGAGTGTTTTTTGTTTTGTTTATTCCTTTAAAAAAAAAAGTTTTGTTTCCACTTTGTTTTTAATCAATCATGAATTTAATTCGGGAACAATTAGGCAAAATGTACTTCTAGTAATTTCTACACTTGAACATTACCTGTAGCTCCATCACAACTTTTAATTTGGTGTACTCAAAGCACCAGAGCAGTCTGACAATAGTCTGATGAATAATATGTGAAGCTCCAGTTCTGTCCTTTTTAAAAACATATATAATAATAACAACTGTAGATCTCAAGCTCCCACCAACTATGTTTTTTAAAATGTTTTCATTAAGTAAAATATTTCTACACAATTACCAATGACACTTTTTAAATCTCATTTCAGATCCAGTCACGCATCAAGTGCTTTTGAGCAAAAGGGATTCGGTGTTTGAAGAGTTCATAGATTTGATAAACCCAACAGCCCCTCACCGGGTTGCTCTGGCTGGGAGTCTCCTAGCTACTGTGCTGCTGATCAGGACTTTGGCCTTTCCCTCTGTGCACCGGCAGAGTGTACAACGAGGCCAACGCACACAGATGCGCCGGTCAGGATCCAGAATGCAGCTTTCCCTTCCAGCACGCGTCCAGCACGCAGCAGCAGGGGGAGTTTGTGAGCATGTTCCGGATCATCCGGAATGTGTCCTCCTTGCAAACTTAGGCGTCTGATTCACAGAGCAAACTCTCCAGAGAGCTGAGTGAGATCCCTGAGCTGATGCAAAACAGAGTGGTCTGTTTTTTTAATGAACTGTTAAACCAAAAAATAATGATTTAGTCACACACTAGACATTTCACCTTGGTTGATCTAGCTACCTATAGAGGGAAGGCTGGATACATCCTGCAGTGTCATCAGGTGACACACTGCCATTTTTCTGCTGTACACGCCTTTGACTATTTCCATGTGGCAAGGATTTATTTCTTGGATGGAAATTGTAGAGGAAATTCTTTTAATAAATGTATGAAAGTTCATTTTGCCTTTCGTTTTAGTTCTGAGAATTTCTTTGATACAGGATTAAAGATTTTACAGACTTTACCAGAAGTCAACTTTGTTTTAAGAAACCAAAAAGGCGGCAGATGTTGATGCATTAGGAAATCAAGTAAGACGTTGATGTGTATATTTTACATAATCATCTTAAAATTCTGGGTGGCAGAAAAGTCAAACTTTTTAAAAAAGGGATTCACTGATAAAAACTAAGAAAGACACATAACAACAATAAATGCGTACGTAAGCACGCACCCAATGCTACGAAACGTGATACGAGTGTGTGTACTCAGGTTTAAAACGCACTCTGGCAGGCTGGTTTCTCGCTTACGGCCATACCACCCTGAACACGCCCGATCTCGTCTGATCTCGGAAGCTAAGCAGGGTCGGGCCTGGTCAGTACTTGGATGGGAGACCGCCTGGGAATACCAGGTGCTGTAAGCTTTTATGACACTTTTCTTTGCAAACAGCAGAAGTGGCTCCTTTTTGCGCAGTAAAGAGCTGATATTGTTCTGCAAATTTGAAAATATATAACACATGAGATTGTAACATTTATGCAACGGCGTAAAAGTTGAATTTAAGTAGTAGAGGGTTGAGAGAAGCGATTTAGTATAACTCATAATTAAAAAAAATATTTCACAAATTTCAAACTAAGTATTTCATAAGCCTGTCATATGTAGTTTATAATATTAGTAACATTTATTCAAGTACTCTACTATTGTATTAATTTGAAATATTCTATCACGTTTACCGGAAACTGCTCTTATTTTGAAATCCGTTCTTACCCTACACCACTACCGTAATGCCTAGTGTACTTCAAAATGACTGCGCAAAAAGGAGCCACTTCTGCCGTTTCAAAAGTGTCATAAAAGCTTACAGCACCTGGTATTCCCAGGCGGTCTCCCATCCAAGTACTGACCAGGCCCGACCCTGCTTAGCTTCCGAGATCAGACGAGATCGGGCGTGTTCAGGGTGGTATGGCCGTAAGCGAGAAACCAGCCTGCCAGAGTGCGTTTTAAACCTGAGTACACACACTCGTATCACGTTTCGTAGCATTGGGTGCGTGCTTACGTACGCATTTATTGTTGTTATGTGTCTTTCTTAGTTTTTATCAGTGAATCCCTTTTTTAAAAAGTTTGACTTTTCTGCCACCCAGAATTTTAAGATGATTATGTAAAATATACACATCAACGTCTTACTTGATTTCCTAATGCATCAACATCTGCCGCCTTTTTGGTTTCTTAAAACAAAGTTGACTTCTGGTAAAGTCTGTAAAATCTTTAATCCTGTATCAAAGAAATTCTCAGAACTAAAACGAAAGGCAAAATGAACTTTCATACATTTATTAAAAGAATTTCCTCTACAATTTCCATCCAAGAAGTAAATCGTTGCCACATGGAAATAGTCAAAGGCGTGTACAGCAGGAAAACGGCAATGAAAGCCTTGAAATCATATAAAAATTATTTTTCCACTTACATCAGCATTATAACAGTCCAGGTTTTGATTAATTGCTTTGGAGAGCCTCTATATTATCACATTTTAATGACATTGTCATTGACGTCATGTGTACCTGAATATGTTTCAGCTGTACATTCAATCACAATAGTTACGAAATCAGAAGTTGAACTCAAACCACGCCGCCCTGTATGAGGGATCCTCAATGAAGCCAAGGTTTCTAAAGAGCTTGTGGGAGCGCGTGTTCTCCTCCTCTACGAAGCAG